TGGGCAGTTGCCCAGATACTGATATTGTTCCCAATTTTTTTTGCTACATCTTTCAAAACTTTTATATCTTGGCTACTTTCGATGCGACTGAGCTCAAATTTTACAGACATAGCAGACTGGTGGAAGTTTATGGATGTCGTGTTTAGACAGATGATTTTATGTGAAAACGATCAGCAAAACAGAAGCGGATTTTTTCAATTCAACGTTTTCCAAAAGTTATAATCGCTAAAATTTGCAAAATTTGACATCGGTCAGTGGTATAAAGCCTTGTAACTTTTCAAAAGCATTCTTTTAGAATTACGTTCCTTTCACGATCGTCACACTAGCCTTTCAGCCTCCCTAGTTTTTCGCCTTAGGATTTCATATACAAATTGAGTGTAGGTGGACCAAAAATAATGTAGGCGACATATTATGACTTGATTTTAATTCGAACGAGATTCCTTATGCCAGATTTGGTTTTATTACGTTTTCGCATCTTTCCTGTGACCAATGGGAAAGAAAAATGTCAAATCATATTACAAAAGACTGTGTTTGTTCATTTACGTTTTTAGGTCTTCGCAAACTAATAAATTTGATTTTCATGGTCACTCAAAAAGCAATTTTCGCATAACTCAATCATGATATCCAGTGATCCAGCGGTAACTGTTAAATGTTTTACTTACGACTATTCCATGTTTAATAAAATCTAAAAAACCAAACGTAGCCCCCATGTACGTTTACAGAAGGTCATATCGCAAGGCGCTGCTCCTCAATGGACGGCCGTAGGAGGAACTCCAAAAACGAGTTGCATATGAATCGAAGATACCGCGGAATTCCAAAAGAAACGCCCTCCCCGAAAATAACTGTTCCCCGAAGTAACGTTAATTTTTTACCTTTCTATTGAACCCTGAAAGTAACCGTCCCCCCCGAAAGTAGAGGCCCTTTGAAGATTTACACTCGACTACAATAAATTGATATACGGTCAATTCAAAGATCACTGGACAACCCTGAAGTGCCCCAAAGCTATACCAATATAACGTTATTGGTTTTAAGGCACACTATTCTTAAAAACAACATGATTTCAAATACGCGCAGAGCTCCTGAAGCGGATTTAATAAGACATTTTTTTCAGACAGGTGTATGCTCAAACATAGCCAAGATAACAAATATGAGAAAATTTGCACAGATCTATTTGAAGAAAGGATTATTTTACAAGAAAACGCTTTAAGATGAAAGTTTCTGAACTTGTTTGTCATTTCATGAAACGTCTCTACAGTTTAGTTTGCTACAGGTTCCGCATGAGTTTGTAAGAGTACTTTTCCAGTCCAAAAACCCGTTGATGATAACATGTCTTTTTTGTGTCTGCCGTGGGCGTCTTATCAGCTACCTCCCATGCCCGAGGTGCTTTAAACACAACAAGAAGAAGCCTTTTAGTATTGATCTTTAAATACAGTAGTAAGTATTAAGGATGACTAACCCTCCCCTAACCCTATCATATATCGGTGTTCCAAAACAATCCAACGGCGGCCATGTTGGTGTACCAAACCAATCCTGTGGCAGTTAAACTTTTTTCTTCAGTGAACACTTTCTTTAGTTCCGATAAATTTGTATGCAACGTGAGTGGTAACGCTCTATAAGATTTCAAGTAGGAGGCTTTCCTTGCGAGCTCAGACATCTTTTACAGAAACCAGAATAAAGTTATAAAGGGAGTAAGTTTCTAGAGAAACTGTGGTGCTGCGTCGGTGGGAGAGTATAGCAGGTAATTTAGTGTTAACAACTGAGTTGAAAACGTAAATTAGCTACCGTAAAGGGTAAAAAAGCTGACGTTTCGAGCGTTAGCCCTTCGTCCCTCGCTCTGACGAAGGGCTAACGCTCGAAACGTTATTTTTTTTACCCTTTACGGTGACCAATTTACGTTTTCAACTCAGTTGTTAACGCAAAATTACCAGAATAAATTTAGCTCGGTGATTCAGGACAGAACACCCGCCATAGCTCCGGGTATAAGGTGCCCGATTTACTGAAAACACTGTTCAGTAAAAAAAAAAAAAAAAAAAAAAAAAAAGGGGTTAGCTCTTGTCAGTGTTAAAGTGTGAACAATATTAATCTTCAGGGACCGATTCGTATGTCAAACTCCCTGAAAAAGGTTAAGGTATTTTAACAGGAGTTTACAGCGTTTCATTTTAAGATAGCTCAAAACAGATTGCCCTTTTTCGAGAAAAGTTCTTCAAATTATTTCTCAAAACAGTTTGGCTCTTCGTAATAAGTATAGTAGTAAACTATACTACTAGTATAAAATTCAGCACAGAAATAAAAGAAACACCATAACATCATTTTTCCCCAGATAATTTACAATACAATGCATGTGCACCACAATAAACCTTATTCAAACATGGTGAGGTTTAAAGCTGCAAGCTCGTGGGACCGTGTAGAAAATAAAGTAAACAAAAAAAAGAAAAAAATTGTCACCATGGAAACCATACGACACATCCAGTCGTGCCTCCAAAATCGAAAACTAAATCAGTATTATGGTGGGACGGGAAAATATTTAGCTCGAAGTCATGACGTACGGACCGAACGCAACGAGGTCCGTGTCTCATGATCGAGAGCCAAATCGATATCGAGCTCGGTTGCCCAGAAACAAATATTGATCCCGTACCCGATTAGCGATCGAGCTCGACTTGTAGTTATCGAGCTCGATTATCAAACGTCGTTTGCTTATCGAGCAGGAATGGTAATCGAGTACGACAAATCGATATCGAGCTCGGTTGCCCAGAAACAAATATTGATCCAACGTCGTTTGCTCATCGAGCAGGAATGGTAATCGAGTACGACAAGTCGATATCGAGTTCGGTTGCCCAGACACAAATATTGATCCACATTATGAATAAATAAATAGTGTATAAAAACTCCAACTGACAGGAGGCAGACCATTTGGCCATATACAAAGCGCAGCCAAGGAGATGAACTCAGGACAACCGAGAACAATCCCAGTGAGTAGCAGGGGTTGAGGGCTTAAACCCAGCGCTTTAACCACTCAGCCATGCTGTCTCGCCTCTATGTTAGTAATAATAGTTGTTTGTTGGTTTCAGTAGTACAATCAGAGGCTAATTTCCACTTAAACTTAAAGATTCGTATCTCTCCTTACTATCATAGCGTTTGAAATTTTGATAGTCATGACAATGATGATGTTGATTACGATGAAGAAGCTGACATTTCTTACGGGAAAGATCACAATGGCGACTGTGATGAAAATGCTGTATTAGGAACAAATTCCATGTTTGCCTCAATGGAAGTGCTCTTTACAAGGACTTCTGTGTTTTCTTCCATGTTATGCTGATAGTCAAATTGTAGCATAATTTTCGAGCCGATAATTATCGCATCAGTGACCTTAAACAAGAGATTGCTTCGTTTTATACTGTAGTTACATTTTTATTTTTATTTTGCGTGACCTTAGATGCACCATTCCTTCCTCTTCTTGTTCGTGTTAAGGTCACGAAAGTGCGCAAACAGAATTCTTTCCCACTTAAAAAATTATCATATTAATTCCATCAACGAACAAGTCCCCAGCCGGTAAAGTGTCGACCTATTAGCAAGGACTCTTCACTTTGGATTACATCATGACGTGTTCGGTGACACGAGCAAATAAGTCAGCAGGTGGGGAGTTAGTACGGACATTTACACCTTAAATGAATAAGGAAATGAGATTTATTATATCTCATGTTTGTAACAATTGAGAAGTGGATCATGTATTTGGCACAGATCTGATTGGTGTGTCATGAAAATGCAGTATGAGAGGTGCACAGATTTTTCTCTTTGGCATTTTCACGAACATGTTCAATTGGCCTTCCTGGGCGGCAAAGATAGACGAAGGTAAGGATTGATCAGCTTGTGTACTCCTCTTTAGTAAGTCATATAGAAAACATTATCTTCGAACACGTTTACATTACATTTTCGATGTTATTGACATGCTTAATACAAAAAGCCCTTGTAAAGTGAGACGTAAATACGTTTCAAAGAATATTATTCGGTTATAAAATACAGTTATCAGTATATCAACTGTGATACTAATCCACTTAAAATTAAAATATCTTTCGGCAGAGAAAAAGGCTCGAATTCGAGCTTCTAAAATTTGCAACAATTTTCACACGTAGGTGTGTCAGCAACACGACTGGTACCGTAAAGTTTTAAATTTCTGCCTTGAAAAGCAGCTTGAAAAATCACAGATTTATCTATCATAATAGCAATTCAAAGTACAATTCTTTTGGTAAAATTCTAGCGTAAACCAATGTATATTTATGAAAAATTGAGCTGATCATATTTTAAATGTGAGAATGCTAAAGAAATAATCAAAATCTGATCTCCCAACGTACAGACTATATTTTATTTAATCAACTCTCAACACGGCCAAGAATGACTTTAAAAAAAAAAAATAGAACAATAGTTGTGAATACGAATTTTGATTTAACTACTGTGAAATCAGCTTGAATTTCCCGTAAGTGAATACTATTTGTCCTCATTTCTATTTTTAATCATGGCAGAGAGAAAGGAAACGCAATATCGTGACCTCTTTGGGCATTTTCACCCAAACGAAGGTAAGGAGGTACATCAGGAGCGTAGTGGAGAGGAGAGTGAAGCAAAGATAATCCCCTCAACATTTTTCTGTAGAGCTTGGCAAGTAGAGCATAGCTATAAGATACTTTGGTTTTATCAACTGAGTCGATAAAGTGAATTGTTTCCCGTAAAGCGTTTCTAAAGCTGACAATTCTAGCGTTCGCCCTTCGTCGTAGCCGACCCCTTGTACTACGGGTATAAGTGGTTTTTAAAGCACGCGGAAGCGCCAACGTCGACAAACTGTAGCCTTAAGACGGTTCAAAAAGCTCATAGATAAAATGCCTAAAAGAGCAGAAAATGAGTTCGGAACTGCATCCTTTGGTCAACGCAAAACGGCCTTCGGCTTGGCTATAAGCGTTGCACGGAACCCAAAGAAAACTTGCAATCTAACCCTACTGTTAACTTGTCCTCTCCTAGAAATCAGATATCAACAGGGAGTCATCGTAGAGAGATGGGATAATATTGACGGCTATTTGGTTGTAAAACTTTTACAAGATCCCAGATTTCCCAAGCTTCCAACATCACTTCAATACAATACAGAGTTCAGCGAACCGCACGACTGGGGAACTAATTATGGATCAAGAGTCAGAGGTTACTTTGTGCCTCTTCAAACAGGATATCACATCTTCCAAATAGGTATAAGAAACGGGGAAAAAACGGGTAAAAACTGCAAACTATTTAAATAATTTAGCTATCTGGCTACCTTCTATTCAGCCAAAAAAAGCAATAACCCAATGAATCCAAAAAGGAACGAGGCTTTTTTTTTTTTAAGAGAATGGCGTTCAAGGCCCTTGATTCTTACATAAAAGTCTAAATGTAATGAAATTTTGAGTGACTGGTAATGTTTTACATTTTGGGTGACTGCGTAAAGGTTATTAACATTATTTTGTACAACTGGGCTTTCGCGTTGGAAACGTGAAACCATGATGTCACCGCCATTCAATTTACCATGATGTCACCGCCGATCAATTTTCAATTTATTGCACTAAATGCTATCCCAAAGACTTCACAGTCAGTTTAAATAGTCATTGCAAATTTTTCACTCCGGCCAATCGTTCAATTTCTCTGTCACCCAAACTGACAAGTTTCACTCCTGTCACTTAAGAGAATCACTTCATTTGAATGGTAATAAAAAGATTTTATTACCCTCCTTTTCAGCGAGTGACGATCAGGGTAAGTTGTTCTTCAGCCTAGACGAGAACCCTGACGGGAAAATGCTAATAGCTAGAGTTGACAAAGGTCACGAGTCTTCTCACTTGGGCTTTACCGCGTAAGTTAACACTTTATTTCATGGTTCGTACGTCATGGAAAATGGTCAAACACAGTTTATTTTCTTGTCTGGCTCGACCGAGGTTAGTCAGTGAGCATTTCTACATAGGACCACTGCTTTTCATCTTTCTTCCACTCTTCTTTCAACTCGTATCTCCCGGCTTTTCTGGCCCTGCTCACACATAAGGAGATTTTTGTTTATTGGCTATCAATAAAATCTCGCGAAGGGTCCTTGGGGTCACATGGTAAAAGTCATAATATTATCTTTTTTACATTTATAACGATCAAGAAAACGTTTTTCTTATAGATATCCCGAACAAAAGTCTCAACGAATACACTTAATAAAAGGGTCTTATTACTACCTTGAGGGAATTCATAAACAGCAATATGGCCGTGACAACTTTGATGTTGGTGTAATTACTCCCGACGGCAAAGAGCACAATCCGATCCCCTCCGAGTTTCTTCGTACAACAACACCACCCAAACCACGACGTAAGATAAGTCGTCAACTTGCACTCATTTGTATGGTGATACGAGTAGGACTGAGTGATGACTGTTAAATAGAATTTTTTTCTTTGACCTGAAAAAATCAATCTTTGATCACAAGCAGTGAGTGCTTATCATTGTCAGGTTTTATCATACTCATTCTTATCATTAATGTAATTATTCTTTTATCGTTACTTTGACATTCTAATTCATTTTTGAGCACAGTCAAACGATGAAAAAACATCAGTTATTCACTAAAATGCGATGAAACTATTCAAAGCTGTACCAATGAAGTGTATTCATGTCTCCAACGCAGTCAACGAAACCTCCTCCTCTACTCTGATAACAATTGCTGCGCAGGCGGGAGCCAAGGCTGGCGCCTCCCTTGGCGTAAAACAAGCAATGAAGAGTGGTGCAACAGCTGGTGCAGAAGCAGGAGCCATGGCCGGAGAGAAAGCTGGAGCCGAGGCTGGTGCAATAGCAGCAAAAGAAACGGCGATGAAAGTAGCCACTAAAACACTCAGAGAGGCTTTGATAAAAATTGGTACTTTCAACAAACCGGTACGGTGTTACTTAGGCATTCAGTGATCTAGTCTAAGTATCTTATCGCTGGCATTATGACGTGATTACGCATAAACAGGTTCAGTGACTACGTCCTCAGAGGCGTATAGAACCTGGGAGTTCCTCATGAGTGGAGGGACGGTCAGATTTCTCTTTTTGTCTAACTCAAACATCTAACTTTAAGCGCATGATTTCAACCTAGTTTTATCTTAGCGTCAAGTTCACGTTCAATACACTAACCCTTATTAGAATGCAGTTCCATGATTTTTAACGATTTACACCTACAATTAATTCGTTATTCTTATTATTCCTTCAAGATTTTTAACATTTATACAGCAAACGGGAGTGTTACTCCATTGCAACAAGGAGCAATATCCCAAGCCGGAGCACAGACTGGAATTCAAGCAGGTGTAACCGGAACAGCTGGAGCTGGAGCAGTAGCGGGTGCCCAAACAGAACTGATAACAGATACATATGTAATAGGCAACGCAGGGTTAGAGTCGCAAGTTGGAGTCACTTTAGGTATCACAGGAACCCATGTAATGACTTCAGGAGAAGCTCAAGGGACGACAATTACTGGCCTTTTTACACACGCTGTTTTCCACAATAAAACACTTGTCTATATTTATCCACCTCTTGGCATAAACGCTTTGATTTTTGCAAAGAAAAAAGGTCTTATAGACCCGAGAGGGTTCGCTTTGAAAAGTGAGTAAAAATGAGAAAGTTTTCCCTGATGTCTTCTTTATATTCTCTATCATGAAGAAAACGTGAAAAATATTTAGCAACTGAAATCCACGATTCAACCAAAATACCGCCGTTGGATTGCATAATGTAGCCTTAAGGACATTTCAGAACAGGAAAAATTTAACGTTACCAACGACGAAGCCCTACTGATGTACTTATTGTAACATTGTTACCGCCACTCATACTTCCTCTAATTTTCGCACAGAACAGCTAGGCTATTTACTTAACTTAACAGGAATGATTCTGGTGCTTATGGGATAAGCTATTATATTGTTTGAAGTTAAATGAAAAACTATCGCCCTGTTATTTAATCTTTATTGTGCCGGCTTGATGTTTCTCCCCACCATCACAGTTGTGAGTACAGCCATGTATGTCATCTACTCTACTGATGTACCGGCTGTTCAGGACCCGAAAGTCAATCTCTGTTGGCGAATTACTTCTGGAAGACTGGAGCTGTCTCGAAGTTGTCAGGTTATTATCAAATCGTTTTTTGAAATATCTTCGAATTATTTGTCTTCTAGCAACTGGTATCGTCAATGACTAATACGCGCCTATTGGGAATTTGTTGCTAGGTCTTTGTCGTCAGGATTCCGGGTTTTATTCCAGGCACAAAAGATGAGCAGTCTATATCATTTGAGTCTGTGTGCTTACCTGATAGCTACGTTCGCCAAAAAAACTACAAATTCATACTGGGAAAGACGGGAAACACGACATTCAGTAAGTAGATATTAAAGTTTATCAATTGTCTTCACAGTCGGTCCGGTAGGCAACTTCAGTATGGTCATTGTTTGTCTTCATATGGTTATAGAACTTATTTATCAAATACGCTGGAAACTTCACTTGTCAAGTCATAACGATGTTAATTTTTTTTTTCATCATATTTAGGGCAGGACGCCAGCTTTGCGTTTTCCCGAGCGTTTTCAGCTGGTTTTCAGTTTAACCTTAAAGAGCGAAAGGGGTGGTACATTTGTCGAAGTTCGAATAAAACCTATCACCGGGCGGATTTAGAGGCAGACTTCCACTTAGATAACATAAATTGGTTGAGGCGTTGTGCATTTGTTTTACGACCTCTTTCGGCCACAGAGAGTCCACATATGAACTGCTTCGGTACAAATAAACCACCCCACCCACCCCACCCGACAGACAGACCAACAACAAAGCCAACCCCAGTCAAAACGATCAGCTCAACACCAAAAACACTTCCAACGACCGCAACACCTCATAAACCTAAAGGTAAAGTAAAGATAGCTTCCCGACATGCTTCATGATATATTAAAAAGTATCCCCCTCCTTTGGGGCCTGATTAATCGATTACATCCAAAACCAACGTCATTTATATATATATCCGAACAAACCATATTTAAATGCGCCGAGTTCTCTTTAGCAGCTTTCATCAGTCGAAGGGTACCGAAACAAATGACCACACTTCTGATTGAACCATTATTTTTTTCTTGCAGAACCATGCATGTATCTAAAGTTTTGGAATAACGCAGGTATTCCTTTTATGCTCCATTCCAGTCTTAAACCAGAGGGTTATTTAGTAAAAGGACGCAGCCTGATTCTCCAGTACGTTATTGGAAGTGGTAAAGTGGTCAAGAGATCACTTTATGCTAATTACGATGACAAATATTTACCCCAGGTAAAGGTCGGTTAACTTTAGTCTAACTACGCTTACCTTTTAAACTCAATAGTACTAAACTATTGAGAAAAGAAAAAAAACTTATTGGTATAGAACAACTAACATATGGGAATGATTAGATTTCTAAAAGATGTTGTCAACTTTGAGCTTTAAAGACGATCATTAGTTTATCGGAATTTGCAAATCGTTCTTGTTATAACAAAACATTTATCCGAAACCTCGAGCTCCAAAGGGAAGTCAATCATAGTTTGAGTTATCAGAGCATGGCAACAGGGAAATCAGTGATAAGAAAAATAATTACGTGCGTTCCATTCCATTAGGATTTATAAAGCGCTCTTCTTCATTGGTTGTGCTAAGGGGAATAAGCCCAAATACCGATGAATATTTTGTAATGAAAAAGAACGTAACCGTGACTTGCAATTTTGATTCCCTGATTAAAAGAAAAAACTATCCTTTGGGGAAACTAATATCAGTTAGAGGCAACCAGGGAGGATGAGCTGAACTTACATAGCAGGTAATAATAAGCAATCACTGGATGAGGATGAGTACAATATCATGAATTATTTAAGCCGAGGTTTGAGTTATCTTAGAGTTACCTTCTCTCTGAGTTTGCAAACGTTTGAGAGCACTACACGGACGAGGGGCTTTAAAACTAGGCACACTTTGAACTCAGGGGATAAGTTTCTCAGGAAACTGTGGTATTGCGTCGTTAAAAACTGAGTTAAAAAGGTAAATTGGCCTCCGTAAAGAGTTAAATGGGTGACGTTTCGAGCGTTAGCCCTTCGTTAGCGCGATTGACGAAGGGTTAACGCTCGAAACGTCAGCCTTTTAACTGTTTACGGTGGCTAGTTTACGTTTTCAACTCAGTTGTTAACACTTTGAACTGGACATGATAACCCATTGTTTGTTGCAGGCGTTGGGTTATCATGTCAATTTCACACGCTATTGTGCATTGACTGTATACTCTCAAAAAATCAGAGTTTTTGTTGTAAGCCTAGTATGTAATAATACCTTAGAAGTGGGGAGAATCCAAGGGAAATACTCGTTGATCGATTGACCAAAAAATTGAATGTTAATACCACGACTCAGTCCCATATGATCAAGTGATATTATTATATTCCTAGACTTTCACTCAACAAAACAAGCGCTGTGATTGGTTGATTCTTGGTCACGTGCCGCCTATCGAATTCAAATGTATCCCGACCGTGATACAATTGCGCAGTTGTTGCCCGCGCGCCGAATACAACAGCACTTTTTTTTGTTTTTGCCATGATTGTTGAAGGGAAAGTCTAAATACATGATAAAGCACTTTATGTTTAGTCCCTCGGGAAACTGGTTTCTTTTGTTTTCCCTTGAGTCCTGATCGATGTTTCCCTCGACTTCGTCCTGGGAAACATCAGGACTCTCGAGAAAACAAAACTAACTGTTTCGCAAGGGACCATAAATTAGGTGTATAATGTAACTTGTAGGTCATGGAAGACTTAGGAGATAGTCAGCAACTATTTCTTGACAAGAGTGAAATCCCATCAACTGGCAAACATTTTGTAAGTTTCTGGGCGAGAGATCCGGCTGGAAAACGCAAGATTCTCTTGGAGGGAAAGGAGACCTTGTATGTGACTCCAGGATTTCAATGCCATTACTTTATATATGTGACAGTTACGTCAAGGCCAAAACCAAGTAAGTTACGATTACTTTAATTTTCATATTTTGTTGCCAAGTGGCTTGCTTCTCGTTAACTCCTCTCACCAAGATATCAGTTCGCATATTGGTATCACAAAATACGAATTTGCATAAAGAATAATTCAACATCAACCCTTTTATTTGTTACTTTTAATCTATTACTTTTTTATGGCTTTGCAGGTTTTCCAACTAAGAAGCCGACGACACTAAGGCCCTTCACGACTAAGCCTTCAAAATCCACCTCGTCTACCTCTCCGCCGCCACCTATACCACAAACACAAGCACCTCCTTCCCCACCTCCTCCTCCACCTCCTCCCCCTCCACCTCCTCCCCCTCCACCTCCTCCTCCTCCCCCTCCACCTCCTCTCCTCCCCTCCTCCTCCTCCGCCTCCTCCGCCTCCTCCTCCCCCTCCTCCTCCTCCGCCTCCTCCTCCTCGCCCTCCTTCTACACCTCATGTTCCTCCTCATCATACTACTCCTCATGTGCACGTCCATCCAACTCCTCCTTCACCACAAATACCGTCCCCTCCACCGGTGAAACCCCCACCACCACCACCACCTCTACCTCCTCCTCCTCCACCTCCCTTTCCCCCTTCCCCACCTATGCCCGTTAGAACTACCAAGCCCCCTACAACCCCACCACCTTGTAGTCCCACAGGGTCAAATTTATCTTATTCTACAACTAAGCCTGGTCCATGTACCCCTAGTCCATCACCATTTCCATGTGGCCCAAAAGTAATAAGTACTCCTGGGATACCCCTTCGCCCATGTCGTACCTCTACTACAGCTTTCACCACGCCGAAAACTACGACACCTCCACCCTGCTGGCCAAATGGCAAGCCTCCATCCCCTGGCTCTCCACCTTGCAAACCTTCTCCTACTTTTCCTCCTGCTCCTCTTTCTTCTTTTCCTCGTCCTGCACCCCCTCCCCCTCTTTCTCCCCCTCCAGTCCTTCCACCTAATCCTCTCGTTCCTCCCCCTCGTCCTGCTCCCCCTCCCGCTCCACCTCCTCCTGTTCCTCCCCCTCTTCCTGCTCCCCCTCCCGCTCCACCTCCTCCTGTTCCTCCTACTTCCCCTGCTCCTCCTACCAATACACCTCCTCCTGCTCCCCCTTCTCTTGTTCCTCCTGCTCCTACCGTTCATCCTCCTCCTGTTTCCCCCCCTTCATGCTCACCCTCAGCGTCCCCTAAACCATCTAATACTTTACCTCCATGCACATCATCCACACCAAATCCAATCACATTGCCAACAGTTGCTTCTGTCACCTTGCCAACACTACCACCAATTTCAACGCCTCCCTTGGTTCCAGGTTGGTGGAAAATAAGTTTGTGGGTAAAACGTCAAATTGATTACACTCATTCTGAAATATTCAAAGTTGATACTTATTTGAAGCTTGCGGAAGCTACATTAGCAATATAACTAGCGTTCTGGCCATTGCGCAGCGGTCTCGACTTTTGATCTTTGAAAGACATTGTCGAACTCGCTTGCAGTGAGCCAAGTGATCCCATGAACAAATAAAGAAACATATATCAATGAAAAAGGGTACTTACGTTGCTACAGAGGATCAATTTGTTACATTTTTCACCTCTTAAAGAATAGTTAAATTTCATGACAAAAATTTATAAAACTCGATGAAGCCTTTTAAAGCTTGCCTTGAAAGGACTCTCATGGCTTTATTTCGATAAAAGCATAAAAAACAGTTTTTGCTCCGTTATTGTGGTTTAAGAAACCTGACTTGTGTTACTACGTGCGAAATGAGAGAGGCTAATTTTCTCACCAAAAAGGAAACAAAATATAGTCAGCTTTAAAAAGGGTCCTTGGCACTATATTGTTCATGCCAGACCAGAAATGTCCCATTAAACTTTCCTTTTTGCCACCAGCGCGCATACTAACGTTATCAGCCTGCTCGTTGTTAATCAACAACTTGTTGCATAAAGAAAAAAACAACATTCTCGTGCGCTCTTATCTTACTGCCTTCTGAGAAAATAAGAGAAACAAAATAAAAACCACTGTCAAAATTCATAACCCTCCGAACCGCCTGAAATTTCATCTCATTGGGTTGTTTTTGGAAAATACAGGATGTATGCAGACTCATGGAGGGACCTCAATGGGAGCCTGTTGCATATTTCCATTTATCTATCGAGGCAGCCCGCAACACCGCTGCACGAGGGCTGAGAGAGGTTACCGCTGGTGCTCATCCACAAGTGACTACGACAAAGACAAGCTGTGGGGATTCTGTGCGGCATGCTTCCTTTCTCATGGAGGTAATTCAAATGGTAACTGCTGTCATTTCCCTTTCGTGTATAAAGGTACAATACACCCAACCTGCACCACTCACGATGCATCCAAGCCCTGGTGTGCTACCACGTACAACTATGATATTGACAAACAGTGGGGCTATTGTGGAGGTAAGGCAAAAAAATTCCACCATAACTCTGTTGGTAATTTGCATCAACACAGAAAAACTCAAAGGGACAGCTTCTTTCTCTCAAGACGGTAAACTTTCACACAAGTCTTCAAAGGGCCAACCTCAACCAGTGTGCTTCTCGCGTTGTTTTTGTTACTTTTTTCTGGCAACTCAAAACTGGGTCTCAAAAACCCACGCGACTTTGATGGGTATCAAAATAGCCGTGCCTTTTGCCAATATTTTCATAGCAAAAAGGTATTATCGATTAGAGCACGACTAAACCGCTAGTTTGGAAGAGGTATATTGACTACGTTTTCTGTCTGTTGCTGCTCGTTTCCTTTAAAATTACTAAAGCTGTCTTTCACTCATTCCATGCTTTTAACTCGGGTTGATTCTGGAAGCCGCATAATAGGGAGGCTTTCTTTCCATACAGGACGACCTCTTCTGCGGCTTCATTATCGCGAAAGCGGAATGAAAACGACAAAACAATGTAGCAAATGGACGATAGACTTTTTAAAAAAACTATGTGATAGGTTAAAAAGCCGTTCACAATTAAGACTGCGGAGATCCATTCGAATAATAATACACAGACAGTGGGCTTCCCGTTGCAATAAAACAGAAAATGCTGAGAATTGCCATTCCGTCCGCAATTCATTCTGGTCGAGCGGGTTATGACCTTTCTTTTCCACTTATCTGAATTTAGTTTTACTGTCAACTCCAAGGTGATGCCCCTGGTTCGGCTCCTCAGCCCAAGATTTCTTACGGACCATGCTCCTTTGAGTGTGATGGGAAATGCATCGATTCATGTCCTGACTACTGCTGTGTAAAGAACATGAGACAAAGGAATACGCAGCAGACATTACAAGCAACATTGAATCAGGTAACACTCTCTTAGAAGGGGACGTCAAATCAAAGAAAATAAGGAGATCTGCTGTGAGTAACGATCAGTCAGGTCTACATCTCAGTTTCCAAGAAAAAGGGAACATGTACTTTGTTGCCTTTACAGGCTCAGCAAGGGTTGACAGCCCAGCAAGTATCACCGATTCCAAATACATCATCAGAATGTCCAGCTATTTGCAGTAAATTCTGTGCCCCTGATTGCCCCTTTCGCTGCTGTAATCTTCCTTCGCTTCCTTCTCCTTACGTGCCCAGTGTCGACCCATCACAAGTCCACTGTCAACCTATCTGTCTCAGAGTTTGCTTCAATACTTGCCCACGGCAATGCTGTTCGACGACGCATTCGGGCGTAACTCGTGATACTTCTTCCTACACACTAACCCTTCCCTGTCCAGCTAACTGCTACCATAGCTGCCATGATAAATGCCCAATGCAGTGTTGCAAGACAGCACAACATGAAAAAAAGAGAATTCCAGTTCTAGATAACTACTCATCATCCCCTCTTAGTGTTCGATCTACGTCAGTTTGTCCTGCTAGCTGCCACACATCCTGTTCCAGATCATGTCCAAAGAATTGCTGTAAAATGCAGATCGACAAAGCAGGCAAGAGTAAACGACGAGGTTTAAGTAAATCTGGTAAGCTATCAATAAAATAATTATAATTACATGATATATCTAAAACGAAAAATGAGTACAGGACCTACACTTCATAGTTAAGCTAAATCTGAGAACAATATACGTTCTACTGTTCGAGTGCAATCGTAGTTTTTTCATTTAAATCGTATTATATCAACATGAAAGGTTTTTTTTGACTAAGTATACATGACAAAACTTGTTAAGGAGCAAAGGGGGTAAAGAAACTGTGGTGCTGCGTCGGTGGGAGAGTATAGCAGGTAATTTAGTGTTAACAACTGAGTTGAAAACGTAAATTAACCATTGTAAAGGGTAAAAAAGCTGACGTTTCGAGCGTTAGCCCTTCGTCGGATCCAATCGCTCTAACGCTCGAAACGTCAGCTTTTTTACCCTTTACGGTGGCTAATTAACACTAAATTACTTGTTAAGGAGCAGATGAGTAAGCAGGTTAAAACGTTCGAAGAGCTGAAAGAGTTGGTGGGCCCTATAAAGTTTTTTCTCAACCCAGCAAGTGTCATTTCAACTGACCACTTCAAGGAAAACATTGATTCAAGTTCAGGTATATGATTGACCTTGTTTACTTTACTTTTAAGTATGTAAAGATGGTCATATTACAGCCGGGGGAAATGCACAGGGAGCATGTTGTAGGCTTCCCTTTATTTACAAAGGCACAGTTTTCTGGAGATGCACAGCTGAAGATGCCGACAAAAAATGGTGTTCAGTCACAAAAGTTTTCGATCTTGACCGAAAATGGGGCTACTGTGCTTGGTGAGTAAATGGGTTTGCCTGTGGCTCTTAATACTCGCCTTATCATCTATAAACTTCTCGAATCTTTTGACCCCTAAAAGTGATTAGCATCTAATTTCTCCGTACAATATATATAAAATATATTATAATATATCTTATTAGACGTTTTGGTGTGCAGTATCGCTGAGTATTTTAACGACGAGCTCGCAGGGCGAGTCAAAATACAAACAAAACGTCAGTAAATCATTTATAATTCAACCGGTTCGTTTCATTCGCAAGGGGGTGAAGTGAAGCAGATAGAGAAGCGTAGCGCAAGCAGCCGACCGTAATCATATTTTTTACAGCAAAAAAAAGACAACTGTCCAATAGCGTAGGATATTTGTACTCGATTAGAAAATTTCGTCGTAAGGTGATTTCTCAGTATTGCACTGCACATCCTGTAATGTGCATAAAAATCAAGCAAATAAGCGCGTACGTATTCGGAGAACACGGTATTGGTTTTCAATCAATGAGGTAAACAGGTATGATTGTCTTTTGTTCTTGCTCGAGGATGCAAATCACGACCTTGAAAGAAACAAATCGAGGAGTGTTTTGAGTCGATATCGTTTTAAAATTGTGTCATTTTTCCACAAATTATATATCAAACCGTTACATACGTTTGAGACACGGTGACGAATCTTTTTTTATTGTATTTTTTTAAACAGACATTGGTAGGGAAAATTAAAGGAAATTCAAAAATAAAAAGTAAGATTTCTCATACCTCTGGCTTCATGTACCTATCTCACTAAATAACTGTCATTTTGTACCATTTAGATTGAATAAACGATTGAGTGAAGTAACCTGGATGAAATTCTGGAAGGGAACGATTATCGATCGTGGAATACATATGAGGAAGCGTGTGTTGAAAAAGATGTCATTTATGTAAGTCTTCCTTCAAAGTCCTGGAAACAATAAATGGCCTTATGGACTTTGAAGGGATAAAACCACACTTCAGACTTAGTTTACTTCCACTTTGTGAAAAGTTTCAAAGATAATAAAGGATGATTTCTTAATAATTTCTTTGTTTTCATCGTTACGGCTATGACGTTAGTCCTCAGACCATAAACCACAATTAAAATGATCATTTAAAATGATGTCGGGAAAAGGCAATACTGAAGACTTCCCAACCCATCCATCCCGTCCACTCGAAGAATGTTTATCGATTGGTTTAGAGTTATATTCACCATGAGAACTGAGCAGCGGTTCCCGGACAAATCTTTTCGCCGATAACAATGAAAATTAAAAATCAATTTATGAATTTGTTTGCGGCCATTTACGATCTGTAAAAGCTAGCACACCCTATAGACATTTAGAAAAAAATCAGTCCATGAAATATCCCTTCCTCGTATTGCTGGAGTTACTTAACTTTTTTTTCCAGCGCGTGGAGAATCTCTATCACGAGCTGCGCTTTCAGTTTGTCTGATCACGAAAGATCACTAAATTTATTTCTTCGATCGTGGCTTAATTTAAGACTAAAGTAAGAAGGCCGAGATAATTTCTTGTGCACGAGAGAAGAGATTACGGATTCGAAGAGAAAGATTGTTTGTCATCGAATAATTTTTTTAAATCGCCTTAACCAGTCTCCCAGCAGAATATATACCGTTTTCATTCAAAACAAGTAACCTCCATTTTGCCATGTTTATAGCGAGCGCAAATGCGGGCTTCTAAAGCCCGCGCTCGACTTCAAGAACTATGCTAACCATGTTTTTTTAATCGTTTCCTCTTGGTTGGAAAATAATGATCAACCATACCAACACAAAACAGTTATTTCTTCGCATTACATTACAGAAACTTAACCAAACTTGAATCCATAGATACCAATAGGAAAGAATCTGAATGATGCCCGACCAAGTTAACCAAAACAGCGGAGTGCTGCGCACTTACTTTAAAAAAAAAAAAACCTGATCTTTCAAAATCTTAGGCCACATCCTTGTGCGAGTTACTGCAAGTCATGATATTATACCTGCAAGCTTAGAAAGTGGACAAAAGCTCAAGAGGGTAAAATTGATTACGCCAGTTGAGCGTGTCATTCAAAACAATATTCTAAAAATCTTTGGCTTCATGTATGTCACCAACTGTGACTAGCAAGGCTAGACCTCCCAATCAAGAAGAAATATATTCAATACCGCTGGGCCTAATTTTATGAACAACGTGGACGCACCTTCAAATTACCAGATACTGTTTTAAGTTTTTGAACGCCATTTCCCTCATTTATAAGCTTATTGAGGGATTATCGTACGACCTTAGGGAAACCTTTTCATTTGGGCATTTCTGCAATGTAAAAATGAAAAAGGAACTCAATATACAATAACATTACACACTCTTAACAGAGATGTCTGCTATTATTCGCCGCTTAAGGATTTTCACATTTTGAAATACAATCTTTTAAAATTTAGAGATATTCTGAAAGAACACATTCCTGCATTTAATAATATTCCTTCGCTCTTACTCCAGTTGTTCTTTGTAGCTAAATAGAGACTGCGGTCTTAGACGATACTAAGTATCGAGACCATGTTAGTTTGTTAAAGAGATGAGTCCGGCATAAGATTTCTAAACTCATAAAGTGGCAAGTTTCATTCAATAAAAAAGGAACAAAAATTCCAACTTTGATTCACCGCTTAGCTATAATGTTCGATTGTCATCGGTTCAAATTTACCTCACTTGCATTCACCTCATTCTTTACCACACAGTTATTCATTATTGCAGTGAAGCGAGCAAATTGGATAGTTTAAGTTTAATTGTTTTTTAAATTACACTGTGTAAATTAAGGATATGCCCTTTGGTCACCGACCAGATTCTGCTTCGTTTAAATTCAAGCTTAAACTCAAACGAAGTCGTAGCGTTATCAGCAACAAGAGATTCGTAACAGCAAATAGAAAATAGTTTTCTTTTTTGTGAGAACGTTTTTTTAAAAACTGTGTTTGGTCTACGGTTTCACACACCGAAGCCTAAATAATTTAATGTACTGAGAGAACAGGAAGGAACAGGTATCAAACAATAGGAGACCAGTGTTCTGCCAGAAGGGACAATTAAAGTGATTTTCCTTAAAAAGCTGGTTATAGTCTGCCAAGAAAGAGGCGTTTAGAAAAAACTCGTTCCGTAAGTGCTTAACTTGACTGCGATATAAGGTAATTATTACCTACATGTTACTTCGCTATCATTAAATTGTAGATATTGGAGAACGTTCGGAAAAATAACTCACAATGAAACGTTGATACCACACAGAGATTACGTCACTCAAAATACGACAGCAAAATGAATCTCGGGGCAGGTGCCCACGCTCAGTTATCCTCGTCTGTAGGACGACCTTCCTTTGATCTTTGACTTAAATGTCTTCGAATCAATTGTTTTGACGGTCTCCCTGTTGTTTTTTTTCTACATTGATGTATTTCTGGAGAAGATAAATTAGTTTGACATGAGAGCTCTTCTAGTTTTGTTTGCGTTTCTTGTTTTGACGGACCAAGTGAGCAGTGGTAGAAGAAAACCCAAGCTACACGGTCGTTTCAGCCAAGCAAGACTGCCTGTCACCGGTAGGTGGGATATATTTGCTTGGATAAATGAACAGATTTTACGCCTGGGAATTCCCTGACGGAACTTATACCGTAAACATCTTACAGTAATTTTCCTTACCATAGCTATAATACGCGAACAATTTTGTCTCTCATAAGTGTCATAGCGGTCATGGTGTTCAACGTTAAGTTCTCAACGTATCTAAGGCATTTTAGGTATATTACTCTTTTTAATAGCTTGGTATAAACGGTCTAATATACAACTTTGTTGGCTAACTTAGTGAGAGCAAACATTACACCTTAGGCTATTTGAACAAAGCAGGTACTAACTTTTTATTCTAACTGTCGCGTTGTCGCTTAGTACCTGGTGGCCACAACTGAATTTTTTCCTAGAAATTTTACTTAGTAAAGGTAACTCGCACATTTAGCTGTTTTCGGTCCTTTCCTGTTTAGCAGCTTTTTACGCAATAAGCTCCCTTTGCCGATTCCAAACTTTTATTATCACCAAAACCAAAATTTTAATTTTTTTATTGATACGAAAGAAAGTAATGTCTTTACTGGTTGCCTCTATTGGTAGCTGTATTGGTAGAAACAGGATTACCAAAAGCTGTTATCTTGAGGCATGTCATATGTGTCTGTAGATTCGAAACTTATTTTCACTGAAGGTTCCCGCGTATCTACGTATTCGCTATTTTATTGGGGATTAAGATAGAATTGACAGTACCTCTCCCACAGAACTATCAAGCCTTACACGATCTTCACACAAAAAGCGACCGAAAAAAACTCACAGCTAAAAAAAAAAAGTATATTTTCTGTTGCAAAAGCGAGTGAAAGACACCCGTAAGAATGAAAGAAGGTAAGAATTGAAATTGCTCGAAAATTTATCTCCGATGTAGTACACAAGAAGCTATAGTATCACAATGAGTTAAATCCTACTCTTAGAGTGAGTGATTAAGGTAACCCTTTCCACAAGGACTAGACACGTTAATAGCCATCAACAACGTAACATCTAGAAACTTTGGAAAAGAAATTATCAACGTGGTTTAAGAACATACCTCTGGATAATATTTTAATAGAAAAATAAATAAATAACTGTCATTCCGTTTTCACACTGAGTATTGTAAAGAAAGCAATCATATTGTAGTACTTAACTAAAAGACATGGTCAAATGAATCCAAAGGATCAAAATGAAATGAAAATACAATGAGCGTAGTAGTTGTCAACTATTTGAGATGCAATATATTTTTCATTTAAAACTGCAAATTATCAGACTGAGCAATTACGGACTGAGTAATACGCGTGGAATATATTAGAACATTTACACTTTGAGTTCAACGAAACAAACGGTCATTCGCGACCATTTTTTTAAAACTCAATGCCTAAAATAGTAGGCGCTCCTCAAAAACTAATTACCCATGAAGCTTCAGTAAAAAAAAGCTGAATAAACGTTTTCTTGCATTTCTTCTCCAGATCTAGGTAAAGAAAAAAAGGCTAGTATACCAGGGTTACCATCAGGAATACCAGGTGTTTCTGTTCCTTCCTCCAGTGGAAATGACTCGGTGATACGTAAGTATAGCCACAAGTTTAGAATTTTCGACTTCATTTTTATGCATTTCTGTTACCAATGACCTAATAGTGTTATTGGCTTCGCAAACTTAATACAGCCGTTTATGTTCATTTGCACGGAATCGTTTCATGGTTTAAGGACTGGGAAAAAATTTCTGCCATAACGTTTAATTATATCTAAACTGCGCTAGAATTATGACGTGTAAAGGAAATTTAAAATTTTACTCAATACCTGATAACCTGCTCCCAAGACAGTGTCAGTGAGCCATTGTTGAACTAATGTTCGGCATTCTAACGACTGGAGTATGTCGAATAACCACAGAAGAGAGTGTACTATTACGCCACTAGCAAAATTTTCCAAAACCTTTGGACAAGTTTGAAGTGTTCTATCGTTCAGCAGAAAACAAGTGCATCTTTTATTACACTTAAGGTTTATTTTGTGAATTAATCTTTGGCCTGAGTTAACCATTTTTCCCTCGTTCACTCAGCTGTGATAACTGGAAATAACTCAGTTGTTCACGCTGCAACTGTCGGAGCCTATGCAGGAGCACAAGCGGGAGCTAATAGTGGCGCTAAAGAAGGAGCCAAGACTGGAGCTAAGGCTGGAGCCGAAGCAGGAGCCAAGGCTGGCGAGGAGGCAGGGTTGAAAGCTGGGGAAGAGGCTGGAAAACGAATAGCTCACATGATAGCACTGGAAACTGTTCAAAAGCTATTAATGGCAGAGGTGCAGAGTGGTGGCGTTTTCAACATCATCGGACAGCACCCCACTCAGAAGCCGACTACAGCAGCAGGTGGAGGAGGAGCTGGTGGAGGAGGGGGAGGCGGTGGAGGTGGTGGAGGTGGAGGTGCTTCTGCAGGAACAGGTGCCACTGCAGGAACTGCTGGGACGGCTGGTACTGCTGGGACTGCAGGAACTGCTGGAACAGCGGGTACCACGGGCGGGGGAGCTGGAGGAGGCGGAGGAGGAGGCGGCGGCGGAGCTGCAGGGGCTGGAGCAGGAGCGGCAGGGGGAGGAGCGGCAGGGGCTGGTGGTGGTGAAGAAGGCGAAGGGTTGAGTGGAGTTACCACCGGTCTACCCATAATTAATGGCGTTATGGGTTCAGCTGGGGCCGGAGGAGGGGCAGCAGCTGGAGCAGCAGCTGGAGCAGCAGCAGGAGCAGGGGCAGGAGCTGCAGCAGGGGCAGGGGCAGGGGCAGGGGCAGGGGCAGGGGCAGGAGCTGGTGCTGGTGCTGGTGCTGGTGCTGGTGCGGCAGGGGGTGCTGTAGCTGGTGGTGCAGCTGGTGCAGCTGCAGCTAGCATAGCAGGAGCAGGAGCTCAAGCTGGTGGAGGTGCAGGTGCTGTAGCTGCAATATCAGCGGCAGTGATGGCTGCTGCTACGGCTAAGGCAGCCGCTGCAGTAAGCAGTAGTGGAGCAGCAACTGCATGTAAGTCGGCTACTCATTAGTACCAGCTGGGAATTTGTTAGGAAGTTTAAATGTAACAAGTATCAGAAATACCCTCGGGTATGTCCTTGAATAAAACCTCGCAGTCACCAGGCCTTCTCCCCATGCGCCTATGGATGGGAAATAAAGCTACAGATAAATACAATCTTGACTTTTTTATTATATTTTACAGTCTATCATGGCGCCATGTATATGATTTATTCTATAAATCATCCCGCCATACAGAACTACAGAAGTAACGCCCAGTTTTATGTCCGAGGTGAAACTCTCTTACTTGGACCAAAGGGCCAATACTTTATCGCTCACGTTCCAGGATTTAGTCGCGATCGAAACACAATCTCACTGGAGTCATACTGCAAGAGAGGTTACTTCTTAAGGCAGAAGAAGTATGGTTTTATGCTCAGAGCCACACATGCAAGCTTAAATTTTGGTAAGTTTTTATGATACTTATAATGATAATATAATAACATATGCGGTTATATAAATTCGATAGTCAGCAGTTAGTTCAGTTAAGCGGTTTCTGTGTCCTCAGTAGATCACTAACCCATGGTGACGTCAAAAAGCGGCACCATATTAAGCGGTCGGTTTTCAAAGTCTCGAAATTTTTTCTGCTTAAATACTGTAATTTTCACCTTTATTAAGTGTTCGTGATACCCTTTACTAAGTCCCAATGGCCTGCTTGCCTCGTCTAACACCTGTATTGAATGGTCCCTTAAGGCATAAGCACTAAATAAAACTAGTAATAATCTGCAAGTGAAATTTGAAATTAATCCTGAGATTAGCGTTTTTATTATTTTGGAGAGAGTTTTTTCATATTAAGTGGTCGTTTAAAACATAGAATGGCGTTTTTTTCTTGTTTTTATAATACCTCTATTCTGTGGATCCTCCATTGTGCAGTCACCCCGCCATTCCACGTGATCGACCACTTAATACAGGTCGACTGTATATGAAAATTACCATTACAGCTCGTCAACTTTTTCATAGAACCGTGGGAACAAGAATTGCACTTTATTGTGTGGTCTGATCGTCTGGATTAGGGTAGTCTGGAAATTAGCAGTTATCGACTGTTACTCACTATTTGGAAGCGTAAGTCACTGTCGCCAAAGTCTCTCCTTTCCAGGACTACCCGACTAGATATGGTTTACACTAAGAATCAAATGGGGAAAGATATATGACCTTAAAATAATTTCCTGTCAATTATTATAGAAATAAGTGATAGTCAAAAAAGAATAGTTTAATCTGTCATAATTTGGACTGACATTTGCATTTATTTCCTAGCCAAAGACGCAACGTTTTACATTGGTCGACGGGAGCATTTAAAAGATACCTTTTCCTTTGGTTTGATTCATCAAGGGTGGTATCTCACAGCGTCAGACAAAGTTAGATCTGATTCGTGGAAAACAATGGCTGCCTATGACAACAAAACTAACGAGTTTGCACTCGAAAGTTCCTACGTCGTGGTTCCTTTTTCGATGGACGACCCAAAAATAAACTGCGAAACTATAGGCCCACAAGAACCAGAAGAACCTGAGGTGCCGCCAAGTATACCAGGACAGCCTCCGAGTATCCCTGGCGAGCCGCCACCTCCGGCACCCTCCCCGCCTGCACCCTCCTATCCTGGACAACCTCAATACCCACCAGGACCAGCCGGAAGTAATTATCAACTAAATAATCAATAAGGCATCGCGGCAGCTATTTCTTTGAACACAAATTTCACAATTTTTTCTTTTAGACATGATATTAACACATCATGGCATAGATACTTTAAAATAAATAATAGCTGTGTTTTTCAACAGTAATGTATATGAAAAAATTACGCTCTTCTGATCGACTGAAAACGAGTGGATTCTCGTGTAATGCGAGTGAACAGTTGTAACACGAGTGCAAATTACAAATAACGCTCAAAATTTCGTCTTCCTTGACTTTCTGCGATGTTTTTTAATGTGCGTGCATTTTTTTTGTCTTGTATACTCATGCTAATTTACACCAAATTGCACTCGAAATCATGTTGTTACCCATACGAAATGGTATTTTCAGATTAACATGTCATTATAATTTATAGTGAAATATTTCACTTTATATCTCACCACCCGCGAAAGGCTGATTTCTGTAAAAACATGTGTACTTAAGAGTGATGTACTTCAAGTTAGGCCTGCGCTGTCGGAATGAAAAGAAAACCAATGCTAGCTTTATATTGGAGGCATGTGATTTTCGTTTATCTTACTTTTGTGGCTTATACCACGTCAACTTCGTCAATAATTGTTTGCCTGATTTTTCCGGTAACTTAACTATACTAACGTTATGTTCAAAATTTGTATCTCCCCAGGTAAATGTATAGCGCTGCGGTTTATTAACAGTGTTGGTCATCCATTCAAGTTAATTTCAGCAATGAAGCCAGAAGGTTGGCTTGTCACGGGAGAAGAGTTTAGAATCAGACTAACATTCAAAGACCCTAATCTCCACAAATTTGTCACTTTTAGAGGAGAAGACCCCTACGGCCAATACATACTTCACTTAGATGGTGACAAAACCATTTCAGTTATGCCTAGAACAGACTGCTCAGATTACATAGACGTACAGGTGACTGGTATTCCGGGTGAGTTGTGACGCAATAACAGTTTAAAAGCAGAAACAGGTCTGGTGAAATGGTACAAACACAACACTAAGTGATCAATGAGCTGTAAAACCACTATTGAGATTTCCTTAACAAGGAACAGCTGATAAATATCATTGCACCAAAAGACGTTGAAGAAAAAATCAGGCCTAACAGTTAACAACTGATAGTTAAGTGTTGTCATGTGTTGTTATGAAGAAGGTTTTCAAAACGATAAGACTTTTTGGTTGGGGTCTAATCAAGGCCATGTATTTCGATCTATACATCTATCTGGACAACAACAACATAATGTGACAAGCTGTTTATATATTTTCATGTTATTCTTTCAGTACCAGCGCCATCAATTCCTCCCCAGGTAACACCAGTACCAACCCCTCCACCACCTCCCCCAGCTTCCCCACCGCCCCCTCCTCCACCTGCACCTATGCCACCACCACCTTCTCCACCCCCGCCTCCACCACCACCAGTGTTGGCTCCACCATCTCCGCCACAGCCTCCCCCCGCACCTCCACCAATTACCCCTCCAGCAGCACCTGCTCCGCCGCCGCCACCACCACCACCACCAGTAGCACCGCCAGCAGCACCGCCAGGAGCACCGCCAGCAGCACCGCCAGCAGCACCGCCAGCAGCACCGCCGCCAGCACCGCCAGCACCTCCAGCACCGCCAGCGCCTCCGGCAGCAGTGCCCCCACCAGCACCTCCAACGCCATCTCCAACTACAGGTAAGTGATGGAATGTAATTGATATCTTTTTTCTATTTAATTCGATGACTTGTTGCATGCGTGAAAATTTCAGACAGTAAACAAGGTAATTTTGGTCATTTCGTTATCATAATATGTACGGGTAGTATACGAGTCGTTTCGTGCTCTTATGAAATAACGAAGTGAAGCTGGCACCCTGAAAATGTCTTGTGACCGAAAGTGACTACAATACAGTCTTGCTGAATAATTTGCCAAACGGATGCATAAGGCGGATTGCATTTGGTGTTAATTTTATTACCAATTTATTAAATTCTATTCCGGCCGCTCCACCACCGGCAAATACTACAGCAGCTAGTTAGTGTGGGGATGCTTTTTGAAATATGTTGTTTGTGATGTGGTATTTGCATTTCAATAATGTAATGATGCCTTTGTTATTGTCAAATGCCTACCTCAACTACTTATTTGGTGCAAAAATAGGAACAACTCCTTTAATGTTCTTGAGCCATTTTTACAACTAAATGTAAATTTGGCTTCACAAACTTGATTGATTTAGGAAACTATTATCAACATTTTCTCATATTCCATTATTAAGAAGTTGTTGTAATAGCGTAACAACAGTGGAGATAAATTAATTTTTTAGTTTTTCAATTGATTTATGTGATACTTTTTTGTTCCAATAATAATAATAATAATAATAAAATAATAATTCAGCGCCAAAAGGAAGCTCGGTATATACTAAATATAAAATAACGCGAGGTGATTACGACATTCATTTCACTCAAACCCGAGTCGTTATACTTTTTCCCTTTGAGAAATTCGTCCAAAAACCATTGTGATTATCCATATTTTCGTTTCTTTCTCTTGTTTTTCAGGTGGAAAAGATGTGCACTATCATTTCCATTATCATCCTGATGGTAAATATTCCTTTCGTAATCTAACCTTTACTACCCATTTTGCCAACAAATTAAGTAAGGCTTAATGGGTAATATTTAACGTTCTCTATGCAATTTTCTGTATTTGTAGAAGTCAGTTAGTGGGATAATTATTCATGACACACATCAGAGTCTTCTCTAATGCTTCTAATTCCATTTATCTGGATTCTTTTTAATCGCGTAGGAATTTTCATGAAATATCAAGTAACTCTTTGATGTAAAATGGCCCAGATCCACAAAAATTGCATGAGTATAGAATCTCGTGTTATAGGCACGTTACTTTGAAAGGGAATTGTTGCGTCACTCAAACCTTACAGTGTAAAACGTTTTGACGTCCACTGGGTAACTGACTGGCTCAGCCGCGAAAGCGAATTCCTAAGGTAGATAATGTGTTAATTTTAAGAACTAAAATGTGCATGTAACTCTGAAAAATCTTGCGAAACTTCTGACGGAACAAAAGAAGACGATACAAACTAACCTGACTTTGAAACTCCTTTGCATTGTGGCGATGCCAACTAGCACGAGAGTCTAAGTAGTAATAATTTTAACCACAAAAACGCATCAAATTGCTGTTATAAACAAGAGTTCTCGGCAATTTGGACCAAAAATTAAAATGATAAAGCTGGATTTCGCGGCTGCAGCAAGCAGTTTCCATGACACTGAGGTTGGAGGCAAGACGCAAAAGGTAAGAAATTTCCTTCCTTCCTTATTGTTATTCAATTTTTTATTCAAAAATCAATGAAATGAGCCATTTGAAAACCAAGTTCACTAAATAAGTTATTTTTCCTTAGGTAAGATTCACTCCTGCCCGATTATATGCCATGCATCACATTCACCATGCCACCCTTCGTGTCCCATCACCTGCTGCAATGCTGAAAGTTACGATGAAATCGAATCCACTAACGCTCTTAAGCATTCAGAAATACCAGTTGCTATCTCTAGTAGATCAAAAGTCAATCGAGAGAGTTGCAGCTGCCTTATGGAGTGCGATGGACCCACGGCAGTGAATAATGGAACCTGTCACGAAAAATGTACTTGCCATCCTGACGATAACGATGCCCTCTCTGTAGCACGGAAGCCTATCTACCCCCATACACAAATAAAAAAGCCCCGAAAAAAGTTCTTGCACCCGCATTTTGGCCACAAGGAAACGAATAGAATTCAAGATTTATTTTCGAAATGGATACATGAATACGGTGATGGATTTAAAAAGGTGACTAAGGTGGACAAAACAATAAAAGACGAAAGGTTCAAATTTCTCAACAATATGATGAGGAACTACCAACATTTCCGGGGAAAAGAAAAAGCCTTGAGGCTTCTAGAGGAGGAACAAAGTGAGCTTAGGAATCAACAGGAACATTTGCAAAATTTATTGACGAAGCAAGAAAAAGCCTTGACTAGGACTGCTACTCATAATGAGGTTGCCACTCCCAGCGCAATGAAGTATGGACGGAAGAGGCCACATGGTGACGATGTTAATATCACCATAACCACTAGCAACACAACCCAAGCGCCACCAACAACGCAAGCCCCCTTAAATCAGCAAACTCTCTTTGAAATTGAAGGCATAAAGAAGCAGATATCAGAGATTCAGGTGCAGTATCAAAACCTATCGATAAAACAGACTCAACTTGCTGCAGATTTAGAAAAAGAGCAAGCTCTTTTTGAGCAAGCAAGACAGCTTATTGCGCTTCTCGTTAAGCAAAACCAAGGAGTTACAAATTCTTCACCTGCTACTTCACAGACACAGTCAGACTTTGGAGGCATGTTAAATGACGAAGAGCTGCGCAATGGAGGGCCGGCCCAAGGCTCTGAATTGCTTAACCGGCTACAAAACGTCCTCTCACAGCTGGTGTTGACAGACGATGGGACAGCGCTGCAAAATGATGGTCGACAATTGATGCTCCTTCAACAGAACCAAGACCAAGATCAGTTTGAAGGAATTAAAAACGGAAACTCCATTAACGACAAATCTGAAGATGCTTATCAGGAGTCAAATAATATGATGTACAGCATTCCAGTCGAAGTTGATCGCAGTGATCTCAATAGCCAGGAGCAAAGAAATTCCTTATTTGAAAGAAACGAGATAGGCGATGACGGTGAAAACGATGATGAATACATGCCGTTTGTCATGGACCGAGACTATTCCGATGAAGAGATTGAGCCTGAATCTGCAACCCTCGAGAAAAAGACACTTATTTCACCAAACTCAAATGTCAATACTCGCAAAACTAGCAGGAGATCGAAAAAATATAAAAGTAAACTAAAAGAGAAAGACAAGTCAAGTGGTCAAACTAAAAAACACCGTGATCGGAAAACTTAAGTTGTTAGGTGTTTTCCCATCACTTATTTCAGAGGTTTACCGTGTTATCATTGATGTTTGTATTGTATGGTTACACATATTGTTCAATACAATGGTGAAACCGTTTTGCATCATAATAGTCAAATGAAAGCCAGTCATTTCCATATGGCGTCCACATAATTCCACAAGTCAACCGATCAAATATGATTAAAGGAAAATGAAAAAAATGATTCTCAAAACATTTCATATGGTTCTCTGAAAGAGAGAGATATCTCTCTTAAGCATTTTGTCCCTACGCCTGTGTTTCCTGATAACATTAACTCTAGGCTCGGTTGCTCAAAGGAAGTTAGCATTAGGCTAAAGTTAAAGTTACTTGATTTCTCCTCAAATAAATCGAACCTTAGGGCTCACATTTTGTGAAGTCTTACCTAGGCGTAGGACAAAACTGAAAAGAAAAATTAAAAACTATTAATACTTTCTGTAAAGCTACCAAACTAAATTAAAAATTGTTAACTGAACCCCAGTTAACTCAATTGTACTTTGCACAACTCGGCCCGGCTGAGCTTCAATTGGGTCTTCTCCTACTTAAAGCAAACAGTCTATTATGCCAGTCTCTAATCCAGTCTTTTATGCCACGGTCATCACATTGCGATGGGCCTTTGGTAAGAAGATAGTTTTTTAATTTGCAAAGGGATCTACGAGTCTAACGGTTGTAGTAAAATCACTTGATTCGCTAGCTCCCTCGACCAATTGAAGACATCGTGCCACTTCAGAACCAGGTTATCTTCCGTTGTGAATATAGAGTACTGAGTTCACAAAATATTGTTGAGTAAATGAGCTGTCTCTCTTATAGGTCGGCCTTGATGTTAATAGCTCTTAAAACTTACAATATCTGGTTTTCCCTTTAACTTTCATATTAATTAACATAAGCTTTGGTTGGTATTTCACAGTACTAGGATGTGCCCCGACACATGGTGGAAATTCTGAGGGAGCATGTTGCATGTTCCCATTCTCGTATAATGGAGAGCAGTATAACAGTTGTACAGATATGGACAGCAACAAGTTGTGGTGTGCTACTACGCGAGATTATGACGCCGACCAAAAATGGGGTCACTGCCAAAGTAAGTTTACTACTTACATTTATAGCAAAGATTATTTCAGAGGCAAAAAACGTACAGGCTGGTTTTAGAGGAATTTATTTCTTTCTCACACAGTTAATGAAGATAAGACCCCAATTAAGAGAGGTAGTGCTTCATCATTGGCTGATCCGAATTTTGCGGTTTATATTTAAAAGATTCGGATCATAAATTAGCGAAATTTGTTCCTGCCCTGCTATCGTTACACAAATCCTAGACGGTGAATTTGTAAACCTGTGATTTAAGAAGTCTGCATTAATGCTTTCAGGTTGCCATCACACATACGGCGGGAACGGAAATGGAGCTTGTTGCCAGTTCCCTTTTGTTTATAACGATATGATCTATCATCACTGCATTCGAGGAGACCAAGCTAAACCATGGTGCGGCACAACGTACAATTTTGACAGAGACGGCAAATGGGGTTACTGTAAAGTAAAAGGTGAGGTATCCATCGGTAACGTATAACTGAATTATCAGGGGTTTTCTTCGGTGAGTGTTTTACTTAGACAAATTAGACTACCTCTTAATCGTAACCATCTAAAGCCATGGTGCATAGATTCTGTTAGCATTTGGCCCTCGGTCTCCCTTTGCTGACCCTTATGTCAACCACAATACACTCCTGACGGAACTGTTTTACTTGTACAAGACTGAAAGCACAAACACTGATTGTATATTTTTGTTCGCAACGGATTGCATCGGGGCAATTATTTCCGAGGTTGCTCGTGTGCCAATGGTTACAAAGGATACCTCTCACTTTCTCTTTCTGAGGACTGCGATCTGAGTTGCTCGACTCCTCTAAGAGTAAGTTCTCACTGCAATTTGAAAGCCTCAGATTTAGACAAATTCACTTCTTCGTTTTCTGCTTGCTTACTCTACAATGCATGTCAGTTAAAACTGCGTGCACGCTATTTATCCACAGTTGCCAAGCCAAGGCCAACGGAAAGTATCAACTTTCACGTCAATGTACCGTGTCCGGGTAATTGTCAATCAAAGTGTGACGAATCTTGTCCAGCCCATTGTTGTTCCTCCACGAGCACCTGCCCGTCGTACTGCGCGCATTCCTGCAAACCAGCCTGCCCAGATGAGTGCTGCCTCTTTCCTTTACCGGTAATTCAAAATCCTGCACCTGCTCCTGCTCCTGCACCTGCGCCTGCGCCTGTGCCTGCACCTGCACCTGCACCTGTCCCTCCTCCTCCTCCTCCTCCTCTTCCACCCCCCCACCCCCCCCCCCCGTACCTCCAGCACCACCGCTGCAACTGCAAGCCCCTTCACCTCCTTCAATTTTCATTTCTGCTCCTTATCCTCCACCACCACAACCTTATGTACTACCAGCACCATCCCAGACATACCCAGTGGCTTTAGGACCGCCGGCTACCTGTCCATCACTTTGTAACACTGTATGTATGGGCTCCTGTCCTGTGGCTTGCTGCACAAGATTCGCCCCTCTACCAGCCACACGAGTCTATGTTCCACCACTTCCACCCCACCCACAGCCATACTACGTTCAGCCGCCACCTCCACCTTATTTTCAGCCTCAGCAACAACCATGGCCAACTGCATGCCCAACGATGTGCAGGTCAAAATGCGTCAGCACCTGCCCCATACATTGCTGTCAAAGATCAGTGCTAGACAACCTTAGACGCTTAGCAAATTCTCGTGAGCAACACAAAAATGTTGCAAAGTCGCTAACACCTGCCACACCAGGGTCAACTCCACAAGATCGTCTTCATCAATCAGCGGACCAAAGAGAATCAACCAGTGCCCCCCAGCCTCCTCCTATCTCTCTATCGCCTTTGTTATCTTCCTCAATCAAGTGTCCGGACATTTGTTCACGGCATTGCACCAGGGTATGTTCACGTGAATGCTGCGCGGAAAAAGACAAAGATTTAACCTCAACCAGTGCGGATGATAAAGGCCACGTAAGACGCAATAAAATTCTTCATAAGAGAAAACCAACGAAGAGACTTGTGGCTAACAAACGTAAATTGTAAGGTAATTTTCAAGCCGGATTCGAAGATCATTGTGTGGAATGTTGTCAACTGTTACTTCAGTCAACGAAAAAAATGATGGCTGTGGGACTCTTTTTCAGAATAATTGGTATCCATTTTTTGTTTTGTTCTGTATTTTAAACAAAAGGTTACACCAAACACTAACGATGAGGACACGTTGCAATAGACAGTGAACTGACAAAACAGTACAACAACCCACTAACTTGTCTTCTGCACCTCTTAAAGCTAATTTTAAGGGTACTCCTTTCTACATGATCAAAGCTAGCATCGTGAACGGGATTTATGTACGACATACTTATCAAAGAACTGAAGTAGTGATATAGCCAAAGTGAGTTGAGATATCGATCTTAAGCAGTTGTCACACCGAACAAACCTTCATTATAATTGTCGCATTATTGTTGAACTATTGTAGGTATCCTAGATTTATCGAAAAAACGTTCCTTATAACTCATTATTTGATGATTTCCAGTTAATAATGGTAATAGTAATGAATTGAGTTCAATTCGGTCTGTAATCATATGAGTGATTAACAAAATTATCGTAATTATCACGATTATGATGACAAGAAGGCCTGTAACATTAAAAAAAAAACAGTTTACTAGGCGAAGTGCACGACAACAGCACGCGCACATGACTCGTACCATCCACTTACACTGAGTGAGGCTTGACGTGTCGACGGTCCTATTACGGTGTCCAATTATAAGGATGACGCGTACACTGTCAATTAGTGACTCAATCGGGTTGGTGATGACCAATCACGTTCGAGAGTTTTTTTACAGTTTTGATTGATTAATTTATTAACCTTTGCTTTCCGGTTTGTTCGGATTACCCTCATGATTACCTAGTCACCTAAATTTGGAGGTTGTGAACTCTCCGTTAGTTCATGGTCTGATACAGTTGTCTGATGGGACTGGTACTAACTTCTACCGATCTTTCTTTCTTTTTCAACAGAAAATAATTGAGAGTACAGCAAGTTAACAGGTTTTGAGCGAGGAATGGATATCTTCTCTTATTTACAAGTGACAATAGATGCGACATCATTTCCTTTGCTTTAAAACATATAAATACATTTATATCACATATGATTAGGATATATTTCTTATCTCAATTGTTGGGCGGCCACGAAGACAGAGTCAAATGTTGCTTCCTGACAAAAGCCTTATGTAGCAAAACATGACAGGTTACAAAAATTTGAAAAATATTAGCATGTATCATAGTTTTAAAGTATTTTACTACATCTCTCTCTGGAGTATGGCTATTCATTCATACTTCAACTTCAGTAAAACTCAGACTTAATTGTTTTGAGCATGTTATAAGGGTTTTTACAAGAAAAATAAAAGAAACGAATGTAGTAACTGTCAAGTTTCTAAGCAAATAACTAGGTTTTTCCTTAAGGGAGAGTGGGAAGGGAGCTAATACAATTTCCCAAACATATTTTGCGGCTGGCTTCAAATCAAACATATCATAATGGTGAAAAGGGCCTCATTAGGAGAATTTTCGGAGGCTAAATGCTAACACAAAATACCTGCATTTCTTTGCAACCTAAAAAAATGCCCAGATAGGAACTGCCCAGAGGCACTCATTCTGTTTGGGAATAATCTGCCTCTCAAGAAAAAAACAGGGTTTTAAGGAAAGAAATAACGTAGTAACAGGAAAGTTGTCTTCCATATCTGAACAAGAAATAGCTTAGGCCATAAGAATTTAATGATGGAATCCTGGGAAGAAGTTGCAGAATTTTAAAATCTGATTGACCTCTGGCCCCTGAGAGTGACTAGCATCTAATTTCTCCTTACAATATCACCCCTGGATCGCACATTAAGATCACAAGGATAAAGAAAATCATCACAAATTGGAGAATTTCTTGGCTGGTAGGAAATGTATAGAGAACAGTAAGGAGAATATTAATACTGATGTTAGGGTGTACTGGATATATTAGTCAAGAATGAAAAAAAAACTATGTAGTTCGAATGTTTAGCAGAATAGTATTTGAAATTGTTTGTATATTATCTCTGTTCGTGTACATGTAATTTCAGGTCTGCAAAAGTGGAACATTTACGTATTGTTATCGACGTCTCATTGACTCGAAGTACCACTTTAACATGCTACTTTAGGGAATTGGGAGGTTTGTAGTCACTGACAATAACAATAAGCATTTCTTTCCTGACTTCTTCTTAGTTATAGATGCTAAACATGGTCGTTACTCTAAGGGTGACGTCTATAATTCCTCTAAGCTTGTCATGTCCCTAAATCAATGAATTCGTGCTTTTTACAATTGATTAAGAGTCATTGGTGCATATTTCGATGTTAACAAAAACATCAGTGGGGCGTAAGCCGAGATTCTTACGAGCAACAAATGCGAAATAACGTTGCAATTTCTATGGGAAAACATGAAACTTTTTTGACTTCGAGTCCGATTCACATTCGCTGTAATATCCTTAAGACGTAAATTCTCTCTTGATACACCCGACAGATTTATAGGACTGCGAAACAAATGTCCTAGTGAGTCATCGGGTAAATCAAACCCACTGCTTTCCTCTCCATAACTGTCTTCATTACAGAGGTTTGGTATCTATGTAGGTTCTATTTCGAACCTCCCCCAGCCGCCTGTTGGCCTTGTCTTTTAAGGGCATCTCCCTGACTCTGTAACTGCTGGCCCTGTTTCATGAGGTGCTGCCACTGCTGAGAGGGGCTTGGTGGCTGGCCTGCCATTTGTTTTCCTTGATTCATGAGTTGCTGCCCTTGCTGTTGAAATCCCTGGCCCATATTCATACCCTGTCCATAGAGTCCCTGGCCCATACCCATGGCTTGTCCATAATAATTGGATCCCATGCCTTTAAAAATCAACCAAATCATGAAAGGATAGCGAAAAATTGATCGTACATTTACGCTGAGAACTGAGTGTAATCCTTGTCTTCCTGATCAATCAACAGACAGTTCAATGCTAATTCTTCACGGAATCTTGGATCATTAATAAAAATAGTCATAACAATAGTAATAATTATCATAAGAAGAAGGATAATGACTCTACTTAAACAGGGTAGCACGTCATGACCACGGATTAAAAAAGTTGTGGCCCTGAATTCATCTGTTAGGTCAGTAGTGAGGATCTTAAAAAGAATTTCAGGTAAAATCTTTTATAGGAAACGATGGTTCATGAGCTGTAGTTGTTGAAAACAAGCTGTTCCTCCTCCCCAGCGTAATTCATGTCAGGCAGTAAAAATCAACGTGCTGACGTCAAGCTATAATAACGCTTTTCAAATAGACTTGTGAGCATGTGCTGATCACATTCTCGCATTTGGCGTTTAATTGTTAAAGAAAAACTTGCCTGCCAGTTGCTGTTGTAGTTGCTGTCCCTGATTCATGAGCTGCATTCCTTGCTGTTGCAAACCTTGACCCATATTCATAGCTTGTCCATAATAGTTTGATCCCATCCCTGGTAGCCAACACATCGAATAGATGAGTATTGAAAGTACATGAAAAAAGCATTGGTTTGCCATTAAGATATTCCTTCATAAATTATTCTTTACTTGTTTTTAGGAGGATCGTAGAAAATGCTGCAGATTCCTTCAATGAATAAATTATATAACTGACAAAATCTCAGTAAGTCCGGAACAGTGCTTCAAAATGCTTCTGAAACGCATGATGTTAAAGAGCTTTTTTCAAGGGTCCGATGGTCGGATCTTCAAATCTATAACTAAAGTGACACTTTTGACCCATGGCCGACATTTTACCTTTTCACCTACACCCCACTTGAATTCCAAATTTACTCGTGATCAAAGATTATTTTTCCGAACTGCAAGTTGTATTTCAAAAATATATGTGTTATCCAAATGCAAAAATAACTAACAAGTAAAGTTTTGACATCCTTTCGATAAAAAGACTGACTAATAAATAGTTATTAGATGTGATTCATTGTACCAAGATTTTCAAAAGGAAGATCTACTTACCAGCCATTTGTTGCGATAGCTGTTGTCCTTGATTCATGAGCTGCATTCCTTGTTGTTGGAATCCTTGACCCATATTCATTGCTTGCCCTGTGATCGAAATAAAAAGCATCACAAACATTTTGAAAGGATTGCGAGAGTAAGTACAGATCTCAGCATCCTTGTTTGTAGAGGGCTCAACCTCTCGTGCCGATTGAATTGCTGAGTGCGTTAACCCTTTAACTCCTAAATCAATTTTTTCTTTCTCTTTACTTTCAACCATATAACTCTTATAATCTTAGTTTATCTGGTTGATTTTGTATCCATATTGTAAGGAGAAATTCTGTCCTGGTCGATCATGGGAGTTAACGGGTTAAGCAGCAAACTTGTGAGTACAGTTCAGTTATGAATGACATTTCGAACATATTAGTTTCGAATTTAACATGGTATTTTCAGGATACAGAGACAGCTAGAGGCGTTTTTGCGTAATTATGATTTCTTCAATCCTTTGTGTACTCCATGCGCTTTTCAATTAATGACTTAATGCTACTGTGTTCCTATATACATCTAGATGTCGATACTTTAATTCTTCTTCAAATTACTACAGCCGTGTCTTATATAAAGATAACGTTTTAGTCAGTTCGATACCTTGGAGACCTTGAGCCATTCCCAGTCCTTGCTGAAAAGCTCCTTGTCCTTGCTGCCGCAGCTGATTCCCAACGTTCATTCCTTGTTGTAGCGCAGCTTGGCCCATGCCCTGTGCTTGGCCATACAATCCCTGCCCAGTCTGCATCATTTGATTCTGTAGGCCACCTGCCATTCCCTGAGCTTGCCCATAGAGGCCCTGACCAGTCTGCATGAGTTGGCCCTGTAGACCTTGGCCCATACTTTGAGCTTGTCCATAGAGTCCTTGACCAGTTTGCATTAGCTGGCCTTGGAGACCCTGTGCCTGAGGAATAGAAAACAAACATGTGTACACCAGAATGTTTTTTGAAACACCTTCTTTGTCCGATTCCGTAGGTGTGTACGTTTAGTTCCGGCTTTCATTAGTAAGGCTTGCTCTTGATAGTTATGTGTTTTATCGATTCTTTCCACATTTCCGCTAAAAATTCACCGTTTAAAACTTCGCTTCATACAGTTTAGGCTCAGGTGAACCACGCATTACAATTTCGTAAAACCATTAATTTTCGCGCTGATCATAATAACCTAAGGTAAACAAATATGACCAAACCTGCTGTAATCCCTGCTGCCCAAAACTCTGTACTTGCCCTAAAGCTCCCATTCCTTGTTGCCTCACTTGGTTAAAAGCACCCATACCGGTTTGACGGGCCTGGTTCATTATTCCCATTCCTTGTTGTTGAACTTGGTCTGTCGGATAAGAGATTTCTCGTTTGAAAATCAGTCAAAATAGGCAACTTTCTTATGTTTTTGCTTGCGTATGATGAGACAGGACTCGTTGATTCCGCGAAAAGTGACAATGATGAGGCGAGTGATTTTTACTCAAAGCACATGCACACTCACTTACAGGTCTTAAAGTACTCGGTGCATTTACTAATTCACACTGTATCAAATAAATTTTACAAGTGTAATATTTATACCAAAAGAACCATTAACCATTTCAAACTCAAGATGATAACGTCAACCTTGAGACTACTGAAAACTCATGACAAAACCACTTACTGAGAGTTTGTTGTCCTTGCTGCGCAAGCCCTTCCCCTGTCTTTCTGGCTTGCTCCAGGGCTGACTCCCCTGCTCTCTGCGCATCTCCAACAGCACTCATGCCCTGCTGTTTAGCTTCCTCCGCTAAACCAGTCGCCTCTGCAGACAGACCTTCACCCATTTTCACAGCCTTATCGGCCTATGAGTGATATCCCGCCTTTAGCACGATAGAAATGTGTTTCTCTATTCATTAATTTATTTTATTACTCGCTAAGTGGGTCCAAGGTGATAGGGGCACCTATCTCCCTTTTTACTTTTAGTAACACTTTTAGTGGTCTTTCTGTGCCGTGTGTGCTATGATACTGTCATGTCGAAGGAAATTTCTCATCCCCTCCCATCCCCAGTTGAATTTTGTGTCCTTTGAAAGAAGAGTAATGTTGATAATAATAATTCACATTGTTTTTAAATATAACTTCAACTGTGCCCGGTGAGACGACAGCATATTAAGGGTGAAAAGATTTCAGAAGAAACTAACATCGACAAACGCCTCATACCTCCTTTTCAACCTCTTCTTTTATCTTTTCGAACTGAGTTTTTCCTTCGTTGAAAACATCCATGGCTACTTTTTTGGCTTTTTCGTAATACTCGGGAATGAGAGGTTTAACTCTCTCCACCAGTTTCTTTATCTTATCCTTATCAACATTGTCCAGAAGTCCCTTCACGTCTCCAGTGTCATAGTTTCCAATTGCTGACAGTTCTCCGCCAAGATCACTCGCCAGCCCAGTGAACTCAGACAACACACTTTCTTTAAATACATTAAGAGCTTTCATGCCGTAGTCTTTACCGCGATTAAACCAATCTAATATAACAAAAACAAATTCTAAGATATCCCTGTAAAATTTTACCAAATTTCCAGTCAGTGCTCTTTTGTTTCTGTTTTAAAGGATCAAATCATAAAAAAGGAAGAAAACAATTGTGTTTGTGCAAGGGTAAAGACAAGACGGGGCCTGAAGACAGGGAATATTGCCAAAAAAATTACAGAGGGTCACAATTGCGCTTTAAAAACACACACATGTACGGTAGACATCTCATCGACTTACTCATTCCCAGTTGGTAGTAACGTCCCTTGATTTTATCGTTATAGAAGTCTTCTGCTCTTTTTTGCCATGGTTTTAACTGCAAAAACACAAGTTATTACAAAAAAATGTACTAAACAGATTAACTCCTGTAGGCTGGGAAAAATTCAAAGGATGAAACATTCTAATATTAAAAACTTACCTTTTTATAGAAGTCTTTTGCCTGAAAAACGAAAAAAAAAATCCAGGTCACTATATTGTCAAATAAGGCTGTGTAATATTTTCAGTTCCATACAATGATAACATAAGATAACAAACAAGTTACCTGTATAATGGAAATAACACCTTAACTTAAAAACCTTTGTATTCGTATAAAATTAGGGATACATGTTTCACTCATTGTCGTTGCTGCTTATTACTGCAGTTTTGTTGCATTTTCGTCTTCTTTCATTTATTGCTATTTACCATCTTGACACTCTTACCCTATCAATCAAATCATCTTTAGAGCTGGTCAGTCCTTTTGCCATTCCTAGTCCTTGGCTTTGGAGTTGGTTGACGGCACCCATCCCTTCGTGAAAAAGATAAAAACCATCATTATTTTCAACAATTTACAGTAAAGAGGAAAAATTGCTGTTCAAAAATTTATTCGATGCACAATTGTTTCTTCTTTACCTTGGCCCTGCAGCTGATTCACAACCCCCATGCCTTGTCCTTGAATTTGATTAGCTAACCCCATTCCCTGTCCTTGTAGTTGACTGGCTAATTGCGACCCCTGTCCTTGAAGCTGGTTTACCATTCCCATTCCCTGACCTTGCAGCTGACCAAGCTGACTTTGTGCTTGACCAAGCATCGCTGCTCCCTGGCCTTGCAGTTGATTGGCCACTTGCATTCCTTGTCCTTGAAGCTGATTTACCATTCCCATCCCCTGGCCTTGAAGTTGATTGGCAAGTTGCATGCCTTGTCCTTGGAGTTGATTTGCCACCCCCAAACCCTGACTTTGTAGTTGACTGGCTAATTGCTGTCCTTGGCCTTGAAATTGATTCACCATTCCCATACCCTGCCCTTGAAGTTGATTGGCCAGTTGCATTCCTTGTCCTTGAAATTGATTCACCATTCCCATACCTTGGCCTTGAAGTTGACTGGCTAATTGTTGTCCTTGGCCTTGAAACTGGTTAGCCACACCCAAACCCTGACCTTGCAACTGATTCAGCATTCCCGCACCTTGACCTTGAAGTTGGCCGAACTGATTTTGGAACTGACTTGCCATGCCGGCTCCTTGACCTTGAAGTTGGCCAAACTGATTTTGAAACTGACTTGCCATGCCGCCTCCTTGACCTTGAAGTTGGCCAAACTGATTTTGGAACTGACCTGCCATGCCGCCTCCTTGGCCTTGGAATCGATTCAGAAGCTGTTGTCCTTGACCCTGAGCACCACCCATCATCCCTTGTGCCTGACCCCAAGCCTGTTGGCCTTGATCTGAAAGAAAGGCGTTGAAACTGGAGAGAAATTCCCTACATACTTAATAATATGATAGGTATTGAGAACTCACTCTGAATGCCGCCAAGAGCTGCTTGACCTTGGCCGACGGCTCCACCCACGGCAGCTTGTCCTTGACCAGCCAGTTGTTGACCTTGACGGATGGCTTGTTGACCTTGTTGTTGGGCTCCGCCGATAGCCTTTGGAAAAACACATAAAAAATATTCATACTTTATAACGCCTTTTTTTATCTAGGCGAAATCGAGCAGAAGTTCATTAGCTGATCAATTCAAATCTAATGCAAATACGTTGTATTTGTCTTCCATAAGAGGGGGTTGGAGCTAAACAACAATTTTGTCTGCCTTAAATTTTTTTTTCACCGGTAGATGTAAGAATGGTGGGAGGAGACAGTTGAGTCGCGCAAAGGACGAGTTCACGCTAATGCGGACGATTTTCTCGTAATTGAATCTCTTTAACATCTTATGAAAAGTGGAGAAACGCGTTCCACATTGACAAAAATTTAGCATTTTTCATTTTGTTGACATTAAAGACATTTACCTTTAAATACTGGTGAAATGTCGAGACCAAAGTTTTCGCTCAGAATTAAAGAATTTCATAGTAGCGCTGGGGCTTCTCAATCTTTTCCTTATCATCACTGCAAATAGCATTGGGAAGCTCGAGGAACTTTTCTTCAAACTCAATTTCAGTTACATTTTTGCAGGATTTGGATTCATAGAGGTAACCAACAGACATCAGCAGAAATAACGCTACTATTTAAGAGTATTGCAGTTTTAAACAGACAAAGCATAGATACTTCGAACTAACACCAATTCAACTTTATTAATATGTTTTGTTTAACTGTTCAAACAGAGTAACAAAGACGGAAATTACCCCCTCAAACATTTTGGCCGACATAAAAAAGAATATTATTTGCACGAGGGAATGAGAAGAGATAGCTTGGTGATGAGCGCACTCGGTGGATTCTTTATTTACAGGTCTGTGATAACATTGCAGTTTTTTCTTGGGTTAGATACTTGGCCTTCATGGCGCCTCTCCGCCCAGTATTATTGATGGATACTGGCTTACTGTGAGAGAGCTTTGACGATACGCTGGGCAGTAACAGCGCGATGGACTGGTACCTCTCCTAAGGGAGTAACAATACTACGGGATGGGCACTGAGCAGTTGAATATCCTCTGATATCCGCGTCTGCGGCGGAATAAGCCATGTTATGGTTTATCTGAAGTCAGTTTACCTGTTGACCCTGACTAACAAGCTGTTTGCCTTGCTTTTGAGCTTCCAACGTGGCGTTTCTCAGTCGTTCCTGTCGCTCTCGAAGTTGTTTTAATTGCTCTAGCCTACGAACATAATTTACATAGTTCAGGACGACATATGGATTGAAGTCCGCCATGGATGGGTCTGCAAAAAAAAAGGTTCAGTCAGCAAGTATTCAAGTTGATTTCCTATCATGTCTATATACTCAGTAGATTATACGAACCTCTTTTTTTAAGATCCCACTAACTGTGAACGCGCTATTCCCCAACGCCCCCTTCCCTCCACTTTCCCTTTAGAGATAGCCCTCAAATTCAATCAGTTTCCGCTTTGTGCTTCGTAGGTGTGTCATTCGAAGAAATGCATACTAGGCAAAACTTAAACAGTTTTTGCCCAAATGTTTTTTGATTTGTATACTTCCCCTCCCCCAATTTCTCTCTAGTGAACCACCCTTCTAAAAGCCATTCAGATTTATAAGCTCAATCAAGGGAGGGGTGGGGGATAAGAACGTTCCTATTGTGCAGTTAGGTCTACTGTATATTTTTGGTCAAGCCTCTTTTCTAATACAACGTACCCATTCCATAAGGAATTACTTCACAAATGGACAACGCTTTTCCGCTCTCAGGGACCTGAATGTTGATATATTGTCCGGTTAAATCACAGCTTATGGTTTTGATTTCACCAGGTCGTACACTGTGTTTATCGCCGCACTTTCTATTTATGTTTCCATTGTCTTCCAAGCTATCTCCTATGCTTATTTCAAAATCTTTTAGCTCAGTGCCATTTTGGGGTCCAGCAATGTATAACTCTTTTATCGTAGTGTTATACCCCAGGTCCAGTCGCCACCAGGGGCTATCCTCGGTCTGGGTCAAAGAGCAGGAACCTAAAATAGGAAGTAAAACAATGATAAAACTTTCTTCATTGAAGTTAGCATTCAAAATTTGTTGTGTTTAACCGGAATTATGACAGACGTATAGATGGTACATTTGTGAAAAGGAGTGTTAAGATAGAGTATGACCGTCCGTAGTAAACTTTCACTCACATGGTTGTCCTCAACAGTAGCTAGGACGATTAATAAGCTCTCCTTAAAGGTCGCTTCTTTAACTATCTCCAATAAATCAATATCGCAATGCTTCAGAACCTTGGGAACAGATCATTTATCGGATAAATGTGATGGAAATAGACTATCGTCACTTTTACCTCGGTTTCTGAGACCCTCGGTAACCTAAAAACTCAATACAAGACCATGGACTCCTAAACCGCTTCGGCTCGCCACTCTATTGGCATACTATAAGCATTCACGTAGAGATGCCAGAACTGCTCAGTGATAATTGATTTTGTGAGAAATAAACGAGTTCGAGCAGTTAGTAGGGAGAAATTTCGGTTGGTCGGTCGATTCCTGTAGGCAGCTAGACAAAACTCAAACCGCTAAAAATCGCATGACCACCGCAAAGTTTATTCTCAATCGGCCCAGCTTTCTAGGAAGTTTCGAGCGACAATCGAAGTTGACTAGTCTATCGATATTTAAAAGCTAGACTTTTAAAGTGGCTCCTTATTGAGTAAAAAACTTGCTTGAGTGGTTACATTTTGTCAACGTTGGATTCTTATATTTTGATAGACCTTATACTGCTTAAGTTTTACAACGTATTTTTTTTACCCTGAGGGTTAAATTATTGCTACTCTTACCATTGCCTAGCCTTCCGTCGATCGCTTTTGAGGCTACGTCTCCTTCCTCAGTGCTCGATTGTTCAGCTGTACGATTGTATGCCAAATTAACTGAAAATTGTGAAATATTAAAGTCTGTTAATCAAATTACTTCTCAAAAGAAGAAAGTTTGCAAAAAGGGTTTAATATATACGACAAGTTCATGGATTATGCAAGTTTTGATTTGGGTCACCAAGGAATTCACAACGAAAAACCGGTGCGCTAAACTAGTGACACTGATAACACGCCTCAACGCGACGGTAGACAACGGACGCAAACCTTTTCCCAAATGTCGCCGTTATCTTGTGGTTTTGAGTCTAAGATTTTGTGGATAAATAATTCATTATCCCGTATTGAAATGTTTTGGGGGTTTCTTTTAAATTTGTCTTACCTTGGCCGAATGAACAGCCTATCAGCTCGGCGCGCATGCACAGTATTAATCCGTTCCAGGATTGGGGATTAATTCGAATGAATCTAGCAGCCACCCTGTACTTGAAATGATTGGTAAATGCAAAATAGAATCCGCGGAAAACCTGCCACAAATATAAAGCAAAACCTTTCACTCAAAAGTCAATGCAAATTTAAGATCATCTGAACTGAATAAAAGATTTTTGTAAAACTTTGCAAAAATCTGGATCTTAATAAGCTGATTACAGTTCAATAATTGAAACGAAGAGACGTATTCAAGGAACAAAAGGTGTTCGTGAAAAAAGTACTGATCGTATTGAAAGAGCAACCAAAGCCCGACCCTTCCACAGCACTTTTATTTTGCAAAAAACTCCGCAGACCATATGTGATATTTAGTCGATAAATTATAGTTGAAAGCATAGATAGCATAGGAATATACCATAAATATTCAGTGTAAAATAAGATTACCTTTGCTGTGCCATTTTCTTTATAGTAATCCCACCGCTGACCATCAAGACTGTAGCTCACACGATATTCGGTTACCCAGTCGGGTGTGTGGCGCGCTCCTTGAGTTATGACACCGCTGACCAACACAATTCCGCCTAAAATGGATTTTAAATGATATTATACAGCTGAAATATTTTCCTCGCGTAAGTTTTAGTGTTTTACACACAGTTGATGCTTTTCGCCGACTCGTCTGCCTTTTTCTTAAATTAATACGTTGAGAAATGCTTAATAGCCTTAGATATGATGATCCCACCTAAATTGATATCACTGTATTTTAGATTAACAAATCTGGTTACTTTACGATTTTTGAATAATGAGTGACTGCTCTGTATTCCATCAATTACCGAGATAAATCTGCATGTAGTGAGGTCCTGGATGTCTTCTGTTGATGCACCATGATCCCCACGGGTTATTCAACCTCCCCATGTGGGGCTGCAGGTGCCTGCTTGGGTATGCAGAAGATGCTGTGATTTGATAATCCCAAATGCGGAATCGATTGGACATGCCCAGTTGGTATATGCAAACTGAACAAAAATTACATTCCTTAATCATAAACATGACAACTTGCCGGATGATAAGGAGATTATTTAACGTAATCTTTATCGGACAAAGAGCACAGCAATTCCAATAAAAAATTGAAATTAGTATTTTTTTTGTAGGTGTTGCTTGTCGTGGAGGTTTCTCAGGCAAGATTTCCTCACAGCCCCATGCTTCATAATGCACAAAGTTCTTGGATAAAGAAAGCGGCAGCAAAAACAACAAATTTCCTCTGGGAGTATGACTTTGTTTTACAATAGTATGGGGCTATGTGGAAATCTTTCCGTTTCTTTCATGTTTCACAACTTCCAAGTTGAAATCATGTGGCTAACAAGAGTTACTAGTATGCAACGCCTCAAATGATCATTGCCAGTGACAAACCCGACTGGGACGAATTGCATGTATTCCTGCGCAACCTCAAAGACTGAAATTATGAACTGCACAACTTGACTTACTTGGAAATCGGATATTTGTACCACCCAGTCCGGGAGGTCGATCGGCAACTGTCTCATTCTTGTCATCATTCGCACCATCCACGGCTTGCCTTTTAACTGGAAAATAGAGCATTATGTCAAAGTATTTATAATTTCGCAAATTTAACATAAGTGCACGTGGATTGCGCATTTGTTTTATCAGTGTATGTTCTTCAAGTGTAAAGGAAGATATGAGAATGAAAGAACCCCTTTTGGGTAATCTCTCGTGTCGGTATAGTTTGATTTAAACTTCAAGTTTTATAAGATCCTAGCTTTCGCCGATCGACGGCTTCATCAGAGTTGAGAAAAATACTTTACAGATCTAGATAAAAATCAGAGTAAATTTGAATGTGAGAAAAAGTGTGAAGACTAAGGATGAGGAAAATTCTGTAAAATGCATACGAAGCATATATATAAAATACAAATATAAACTTAAATGATCAACATAATCTAGTGAACGAGTAATGACCGAGCAAGGAGACCCTTTAGTTGCGCTAAAATCCTTGCCTTGGTAAAATGTTAGTTAAAAGCAACATCCGGTGATAACTGATAACAAAAGAGGTCATCAAAGAAAAAAGGTTTTTCACGCAGCTTCCTTAACAGATCCTTGAGATGACTTTATCAACGAAAGCTTGCTTTTTGCAACGTTATGATTATTATTTGTGTTATTCACAATAAATTTACATAAGCGGTTGATACGGGACGCGCCCAAAATATCTATGACGGGACTTGCAAATGATTCCTTAAAGAATAATCAGATGTAGCTTTTAATTCTGCGATATAAGTAAAATGAACCAACAAGCTTTAATCAGAGAGTATTAATAAACATTTGTGTATTTCGCTTAAAATCATAGCTGTCTTCGAAATAAGAAATTGCTTTTCGAATGAACATATGCAATAATTTTCATTAGCAGATTTTTAAAATTTGAGCTACCTGCATCTTGCTTCATGAATGGGTCAAAATACACATGCCGAAATCTTTCCCTTTAAAATTTGATTTTCCTATAGAGTACTGTACGCAAGATAAGGTGAAAATAGCTTATTTCAGTCACAGGTGGAAAAAACCGAACGATGCTACCAGCGTTACAATTGCAGAGCGTATCTGAAAGAGCTATTTACCTCTTTTCAGCAGTTCGGTATCCGTTCTTTTAAGAGGAAGACATATTGACAACGACAGTGTCCCTGCAAATAGCAATACGGAAGCGAATCCTTTCATTTCAGACGGGGAGAAGCTGCAGCCTAGATAAAAAGACTTTTGCAGCTTTTGAGCTAATGGACGCGCAAAGCGGCGTTAGATTTGTGCGCTGGTACGCGATTAATAATTTACAGCAGCTGCAAAGTCACTGATAATGTATGTAAATATGAAGTGTTGTTAGACTCCTGATTATATACAGGTACCTGTTAACGAGAGAGTCCCACACTACCTTCGAAAATTCAACAACTTTTGTTAGAGCGCTTACATTGAAATTGCGCACGAAATCTTTTGACTATTAAAGGAAAACAAAAATATAAGTTCAGGTATCTAAACGGCCAATTTTAGCATCATTTTTAAATCAATTTAGCTGACCGCTAAAGGAAAATGCTGTTAGGGATGAAGCAACGACATTTTTATATTTTTCATAACAAAGTTACGGGCCTCAAATAACTGCGCAAAGGATATTCAACCATTAGACTCCATGAGTGACCAAGACAGAATTTCTCTTCACAATATCAAGCAGACAAGAGATGAAAATAGGTAAAATATCGATTGGGGTATTATTTGTTGATCTAATACCAAATTTTCCGAACCAACTTTATAAGAACTCTATGGGAGACAGTAAGGAGAATTACTAATGAGATCTTGGCAGTCGAAGGTTTATGGAAATTTAACGGAAGATATACGCTCGTTATGTTGTACAATAAGCACCTGCCCCCTTTCTCCCCCACTGCGGCCAAAAATGCTTTGGCTGCCATCACATTCATTAATCTGGGGAAACTCCAGTTCCCTAATCTGGCTTTTCAAACTTTGTAAAACAATTGATAAGGCACCAGGATCAAGAACAAGCCTAAGGCATTCATTTGATCAATGTCATGCGGATCGACTGCGTTAACTACACGATATGTATCTACTATAAATACCTCCTTTTCATTGTCAGTTATTTTAAAATAAATTTTGGAAAGATTAGCCTTGCAAACTAAACACAACTAGAATTCCACGGCATGCTATATACATTTTCAAGTAAAGAGTAGAAACCAAGTTTTTCGTGCTTTCCTTGTAGTTTACTGTTAGGCTTCTCAAATCAAGTGTTGCCATAAACGAATCAATTAAGCGTTAAATTAGAAAGGTAGTGTTGTATGTGAAAACATCTGAAATTCCACACCAGAAACGGGAGACGACCATGCAAAAACGCTTACACCTTTAAGTCTGCAGAGCACTTTAGCCTCTCGAGTCAAAATTCTGACTGAAGATAATTAAAAAAAACTATGATTTTTTTTCGCTGAAGTACATGAAATAAGCCATGAAATGACGACCTACTGTCGTAAGAACAAAACAAAATTTTCAATAAGATAAACAAACAGTTTTAAATGAAGAACCCTTGAGCAAAATTTTAACTTCACAGCACAATATTGTTAGATGAATTATGCAAACCGTCCAACTGCCCATACCTTGCTCAATGAAAAAAAATTGAATTGTCCTCTATCAATAAAATTTCACACCTCTACGTGTGAACAATTTGTAAACATCAGAACCAAACAGAAAAGAAAACAACTGGTAAATGCTCTTCTACTATATGATAACCTGTATAACTAGCCAATCAGCTCTCGATATTCTATTTTTTAAGAATATTGAGTCATAAGTCTGTTCGCCGTAATTAGACTAGTATCCTCGTATTGTTATTTTGATACCTGATTTATTCCACCCCATTTGACTTTTCGATTAATGTCTCCCTGAAGATGAGGGTATTTCATGCGGTTGTAATTTTTGCGTCGTGCCTCTTGGCCTCTGGATCACCGATTATCAAAGTGAAAAGTAGGTTGAATGAATTCATTACCGATTTGATCGGGTTTGAAATCGATGGCAGACAAAAGGATTTTAGAAAGAATCTTGCTGTACCAATTTCGCCGTTAGGTGCGTGCTAGTATCCAAGGAATTTCTGGCGTAAATGTGGTTCATGGCGCTCTACTTGATGAACCAAAACTTAATTGATTGTTTGGGATCAGTTGTTGAGTGCACTGACAAACAGGAATAGGCCACCGGTTTAAGCGGGTGAAAGGTGCATGTGCGTAAGACAACAGTAGTCGATAGCTCGAGATTTCAGTTTGATATGGACGGATTTTGTTATCCCCCTACGATGCTATTGTAAAAAAAAAAAAGGATTTTTTAGATTCTAAAAATGCGCGAATCCAGGACCCATTTATTTTAGTTGGATTAAGAGAAACTTAACTTAACTTAACAAGGAACTTCTACTTGGCTAGATGTTGGGAGACAATTCGCCAAAACCTCAATAGTATGTACATTTACACCTACTGGAGAAGATCTGACGTCGTTGTCACGATATCAGGCTGTCTTGACATTATGAAATATTGCTAATTCATCGTTGATCTTTAACTTGTTTGACAAACCTGCTACTCCTCCCAAAAAATAATAAAAAACTAAAGCAGTTTTTGTGCGTGGCGCGCAGTCTCAAATTTAACAAAATTCCATGTAATTAGTATAAAGCTTCATTTGTTTTATTTATATTAACAGAATATAACATTTTCATCTTTCCTTGAGAGTAGAAACCGCCACGTTCTAATTTAGAATTCACATCAAAATAATGTAGTCTCTTCGCACGTTTTTAAGGGGGCGACATCTCCAGGTTTGTATCTTAAAAAAACTTAGCCGCAAAAGTTTGAAGTTCATCAGGTGAAATCTGAATTAATATTCACTCTTAATAGTCCATTTTACAGTTATGTGCTTGGTTGCCAAGCCTTTGAACAGGAGTGAGGCTAAGGTTGACCTTGTTGTCCTACAAACCTTGTTGCTTTTCAAATGCAAATTACTTTGTTATCATGCTAACTAGATAGTGGTCTCTATCACAACAAGGTCAACTTCAGCCTCACTCCAAATCAAAGGCTTGGCAACTAAGTACACAATTGTAAAATGGCCTATTCGATTTGACGTCTAGGCGCCTCTGAGGTTTTGCTTCACCTAACAACCTCACTACTTTTACCATACTCACAATTCTTAAGGTTACTTCGAGTTTGAAAAGATTTTGCAAGTTGCAAAAACGGCGCTTAATAGCAAACTGTATCTACAGTTTGTTTCGAATCAGGATAATTCTATGAAATAGAAGCGTTATGACAATCTCTTCCTTTATCATCACAGCAAAATTGTACACTTTTTCCTCTCAGCGGTAAAAGGCCAAAAGAAGTCTTATTGTTGCTATGGAGTTGTGCGACCATTTGACATGATGGCCAAAGCTAAGCAAGGCTTGCGAGCTTTGAATCAAGTCGGATACTCGCTCAAACAGGTTCGCCAAGCGCTCGGCATTCAACAGAAGACACTCGAAGGAAAACTGGAGAAAGCAGAAAAGAAGGCAGAAGACATAAGTGCAAGGGTGGAAAAAGCACTGAAAGAAACCATGAAGATCTTGACAGACGCCACTAAAGCGGCTGCCGCTAAGCTGGGATCAGTATCAGGTACTTCTTGAGATCGAGAATAGCAAAGTTGTTTTAAAGTGTATTTCAACCGATTTTCATAAAGTCAAATCAACATAATCACAAAAGCCTTTCACGAACGAGGGAAACTATCATACGAACCCAAAAGAACCGAGCAAGCTGCTTGAACTGCGCGAAAACGCGAACGTATACTTGCAATTTGTTTTAGCTGTGCGTCTGATTGATTGATAGTGCTCGCACAACTAACCTTTAATTGTAAATTAAAATTGACGGTAAAAGGAAACTAAAGGAACGAACCACCTGACCCTATCGACGTCGAAAAAAAAACCCGGCCTCTTGGCGATGAGGAATGCTTTCCCGCGGAAGTAGTTAACTTTCATTTTATATCATTTCTACCTCGAAAATATTGAAATCGGGAATCCTTTATTAGACAAGAATGCACTTTATATATAATTTGGCTCCGCCCCTCGGTTTAAGTTCAAATGCAGTAATCATCCCCTATGGCGACCATTGTTAAAGAAAGGCCTTCAACATTTCTACGTCTCTCATCCTTTTTTTTACGTTCATTGACATTCAGTATTTAGAGACAGTAATGAAACTACGCCGTGCTAATATTACGTGATGGCGAAGAGTATCATCTCGAGTTTCAAATTTACCGCCACACAATTTGGATTAGAGGAAGAAGATACAAATCTCAATAAATTCTTCCATTGTGATGAAAACGTAGAAACTTATCAGTGCTTTTGAGAAATCCGCCTAGGCCCAGTTGAATAAAGGGTTGATAATGTTATCCAACGAATAAATCGCTATCCATGGGATAAGTGAGAACAAAACGTACTGCACTATCCACCCAATAGACATTTATCCAGTGGATAGTGTTATCCAACCTTCAAACGGCCGGGGCCTGCTGTTCACTCGCTTTGCATAAGCTGCAGCTCAAACTATTTTGAATAAAGAGGTCTGTATGCCTTGACAGTTGATTGACAAATGATCATGAGGTACCCAGGGCACCTCTCCTTTTACAGCGCACCTTCGCGTTTAAGGTTTAACCCTTTAACTCCCAAGATCTCATTAGTAATTCTCCCTACTGTCTGCCATACAGTTCTTGAGATGTTAGTTTGGAGAATTTGGTATTAGATCAACTTATAACCCCCTAATTCATATTTTTCTTCATTCTCATCACTTGTCTGCTTGATATTGTGTTGATATTACGAGGAGAAATCCTGTCTTGGTCACTCATGGGAGTTAAAGGGTTAAGGGTAACTTGAGATTGGACGCCATGTCTAGGAAAATAGGCTTCAGAAATTTCTTCGCGAGTTCACTGAAAAGGACTCAGCCATCACTATCTCAATTCCCTGCAGTTCTCTGGACATCTCTGTTTTTCTCCTTGATTGTTTTGTCTGTTATTTATTCTTTACAGATGCCACTAATGATTTGGGACAACTAAGTAAAGACATCGAAGAGACGAAATCACACGACATGATCAGCAAAATAAGAGAAATGATCGCCGAGAAACCGGAAAAGGAGGAACACGATGATGAGAAAGACTCAAAAAAAAGTATAGGCACTGAGGACAGCAAGGACCAATCGAAAGGTGACAAACAACACAAAAAACTGAAACCGAAGGACAACATTCCAAGTGCGCTCGAAGTAGATGAAACTGCCGTCGCTAGAAGCCTGCTGGACTTACAAAAACACGAGGTTGAAGAGGTAGAAAAGGCGAAAGATGCTATCCACGAAAAAGCGCAAGCAAACAAACGAGCGTTTGAAAAGACCAAAGACCTCCTGAAGGAGATGGAAGACGGATTATTAAAGTTCAGAAACGTCTATTAAAAAGAAGTCACGTAGAACGATGATTCATGGGACTGGAGGGCATGGGCAGAATTTTCCGCGAGAAATCCTGGATTTAGCTGGCAGGATTATTATTCTTTTGAGTGCTTGCGAATAAGCTTTGTTGGCCTCGCTTTTGAGTGAAAAGCTAAGTAACACACATGTAGAAGAATAACAGTCAGCCTCGTCAATTATGGAAGAAGGCTATTTCGCCTTTGAAGTTTATGTCTTGCTCTCTACTCAGTTTTCTGGAATAATGTCCAGTCCTTTGTTTGGATTTTTCTTCTTTTTCTTCTCAGGTCAACCTTGCCCGTGAGAACGCAAGCCTAGTCAGTTCAACAGTAGTTATAATACTAACAGGAGGTAGCAAATATGTACTGGCTTTAGAGGATGGTTTCACTCAAGCAGCCCATAAAATGACAAATCATTGCATACTCCTCTTCAGTTTGTATGTTATGACGAAATTCAATTCATGCAATGCTGTGTATCGTCGATAAATATATTTTGAAAGTCGCATAGCTTTGATAGGCAGAACCGGAAATTCGGCTGGGACTCCGGCTAGCTTCAGTGGTTCAGTAATTTAAAAGATTCAAAAGTATTACCTCAATAACGTAACCCAGATATCGGTGGCCGAATCTTGTTATCGGTAATTATTCCCTGTTTGTTAACGAATAAACGACTATAAATCATGCGTGACAATTTCCTTTACTGAAGGATTCTTTCATTGTTAATCCTCATAAAATAATAACAACTTAAAAAGAAGTGATACGCATGGCTGGTTACGCAGCAGTGATTATGATCTCTATGGTAACAACCCTCAAAAGCTCAAAATAGCCCAATATTGAAAAAATTTTCAAAAATGCCTGTTCTTTTTCAATAGTCTACATTGAAATTTAAACTCCCTCGTTGAGGGGAGCGATTTGGCAGGTTATTATTGACAGAGTGAAGTACACAATAAGAGAAAAAAACAGCGAGAAAAACTAGACAACAAGAGTTCAGATGCTCCTTCTGTCAACGAATCTGCTTTTTGGGAAACAGACCGTTCAGCCATCATCGGATTCATAAATTGAATGCCTCTAACTGGAGATTCTACTCGTTATGCTTAGATTGCCAGCAACGAACTAGTTATAGTCTAAGTCAATCTTATCAACACTACCTGTTGAAGGACTTGTAATTTCTAACAAGCCTGAGCTATGCCTGATCAAGCGAGAATTTCGAACATAATACTACTCTTGAATTTTTTTTTTAATGAAATTTCTTCAAAATTAAGATAAAAGGAGTAGTTCACAGTTTTAAGAAAGGAGGAAGCTTAGTTGTTGGCGAATCAAACCGCCTATTCTTGTTCGCTGAACAAGAATAGGCGGTTTGATTCGGATAATAGAAAGGGATGAAATCCGAGTGCCACAATAGTATAAGCTCTTAGTAACAGTTACGAGGCTTAATTTTGTGGAGTACCGACTCGTAATTCTAAATGTTAAGTAAATTTGGTGCGGTACCGCTTTCTAGGTTTCAAAATATGTCATCAAATAAACTCCTCTTAATTCTTGCTCCCTAGCCCCCCACTATCAGATGTGGCTTACGTGCTATCCACCCCTAGACTACATTATCTGGCAAACACATGACTAGAATAGATAAACACAAAGACAATTATTAGGTACAGTAAAGATGCAACACCATATTCTCTCCTATTATTTACAAGGAAATGCTGATAAGCCAAAAGGGAGGATAAAAATTCCGTCTTGGTGGTGTCAGATGGAGCAAACCCGTTCAAAGCCGTACTTTGGGCCTCCTTAACGCATAATAAATGGCACGGTGAGATCGGAGGTAGTCCTGTTAAGGATAGTAACAAACGTCAGTGACATTGCCTCATATTTCGACAACCTGACCGGAAGTCATCAACAATCGTCTGGAAATTTTTGACGTCCCTTATAACGTCACCGACTTGAGTACCAGGCTCCTCAGAGTAATTTGCGCATCGGGATTGAAAACACTGAAAAAGCGTGCTTAACAGGCCACTTCCGATTAGGGCGACTTCGCACCTAGCCTCGTCCTCACGCCGTAATTTCGGTACCAGTTCACTGAGCCGCGAGAACTTGGAAGTGGCCTATGTCCAATTTTATGCCCGAAGCACAGTTGTGAAAACAATATATGAGGCAGTTGTGTGTTCTTAGAACATTCAATCGAAAAGGTTTTGGTATTGAAGTTGTTCAAACAACGTACGGTAATCGTTTATGTTTAACTTAGTCCAAGAAGTCAAAGACTAACTTCCCTAAACTAAGGACTAAGACCTTACTGAGGAATGTTAGCTCTAGGTCGTGGCAGGAATTAATCCACAGGGTCATGGAGTGGAATTCATCCCAGAATATTCATTCATAAGATCAACTAGAAATTCTACCCCATGATCCTTGCGTAGATTGGTAGCCTTCTCAAAATTTACTTATCGACTAAACTTTCCCACTGGTAAGGACAATTACGTTTAACCTGGAGAGAATTTCTGAGTCTGGTCTGTTAGTTGTGACTGTAAGTGACCATCCTATGAAAGGTTTAATTGTAACGCTCATCAAAGAAACATTTCTGTTCAAGAACTTTGTGTTTTTATTCATTGGGGGGTTGCATATTTTAATTCATAGCACTATATAAATTATAAAGTAAAGGTTGTTGAAAGATTATTTCTTTCTGGCTGAAAAATATTTTAACTGATCTTTATTTAAATGGTGCGGCAACGAGGCACACCCAAAATTGCTCAAAATTGATTACTTTACTCAACGCACCAAAAATCTGTGTTGATCCCAAGAGAAAAATTAAAAAATGTGAGTCTTTTTTCCAAGATGACATATATATGTATAGATCTTGTTCATTTTTAGCTTAAGCTGAAGTTGATAAATGCAGCCAACCCTTCTATACCGGAAGAAATTTCGAGTCAAATGAGAAGTTACATCATGAGACAAGTTGGCCTTTTGTATTGCGTCTTAGGCGATGAATCAAACAAAGAAACACCTAATAGAGCGTGGCTACAAAATGAGTCGGTACGTTAAACAATAGTGGCGGAAAAAAGATTATGTTGACATCCTTGGGAATACGAATTGAAAAATCACATGTTTGTATAAAGTTAAGGAGAGTGTACAAGACACATGTGTGTCGCGATTAAAAGTACTTACCAAATGCATGAACTTGGAAATTTCTAGGTAGTCTTGAAACAAAGTGCAAATTACCACGCCATTGCAATGGTAAAACTGTTTGCTAAAAGCGCGTCAATACCTCAGTGTAATATTAGACAGCTTAGACACCCTTTATGTCTGAAATAGAACCAACCCCATTGATGACGAGCTCGAAGATTTGAGTCATCCTCGCACAAACATGTCAAACGTAGACAGCTTAGACTGCTTCGGGCAAAAACCTCTTTGTAGCTACTACCGTCAAAGTCAAGAAAGAGATGGCTATCGTTAAAATTATTTTAGCGTTGGCTTTGATTGTTGAAATACAATTCATCGCCGTAAGGTGTTCCAATTCCTTTCCGTCGCCAAGTAAGTAAATAGTTATTGTCTGTAATTGTATCTTCAGTCAATTTTAAACTATTGAAGCGTTACATGATCTTCCGAAAAGAAAGTAAGAAGCGAAGAAGTAACATTGTATTGACGAGTGGAACCTAATTATAATTAACCATAACTTCAGTTAACATTGCAAAAGTAAAAGCACACTTTTCAAAACTTTTAAGACTTAACGCAAAACTTAACGACAATAGCATTGTGTTTTTCCTCACCCCTTTGCACGTTTCGTTCACGATCACTCCAAAAAAGGCGAATATAGTAAGACCAGCCTTATTAAGCTCTAAGTAGACTACAGATCAGAGCTGGAATGAAATGTTGTATTTACATTCCACAACAACAGGTTACCACTTGAGATGTGTTAGTCGTTAAGTTTACCAGGTATCAAAGTTCCTCGTCGTCACAAACTGTAAAGTGTCCAATTTCCCAACACCTGCCAGGTCTTTTTCACCTGCCAAAAAGTTATACTATTCAAACGACTGAGCTCTTAATGGGAAATCACTTTTGAATCTAAGTTGCATGTAGCCCTGAGGGAAGGAGCGTGAAATGCATAGCTGGACTGTGCGTGAAAAGTTTATTTGGTATCATTAACTGAGTTGATAACGTCAATCGGCCACAGTAAAGAATTTCAAAGCTGACGTTTCGAGCGTGAGCTCTTCGTCAGAGCGAAGGGCTTACGCTCTGACGAAGGGCTAACGCTCGAAACGTCAGCTTTCAAACTCTTTACGGTGGCCAATTTACGTTATTAACTCCAAATTATTACTTATCCAATACTTATCCAACTTATTAACTCTTATTAACACCAAATTACCTTGTTATACTCTCCCACCGACGCAGCATCATAGTTTCTTAAGAAACTTACCCCCTTTATTCATTTGTGCATAAAAAGGTTGGACTGCTCTTCCTGCTATTCTACTAAGACATGTTTACGAACTGAATTTTCTTGGCTAAAATTTTCTTATTGTAATCAAGGTACGATTCCTCAACCTTTATATACGGCCTTTTCAGCTATATTGCCGCCCATTCTGTTCAATGTTGTCTTTGATACTATATGGTACGGGCTGAAGTTTCAAGCACGTATTTTGCAACTCGAAAGCAGAATATAACTGTTTAATGTCATCGATGAAAAAATCTAGCCCATAAACGCACTAGATAGACTTCTAGGAAACCTACGTAAACATTTTAAAGATTAAGTTTCAATCTGAATTAAGCCTTGAAAAATGTTCCCTCTCAACTGGGATCGGTGAGAGGGAAAACAAATTTATTTTGTTTAGCATGTAGCCACAACTTTAAAGTTGCTCAAAAACCTTTTCAAACTTTGGGGCATATTTTTTGCCGAATCCAAGGATCTTGTTACGAAAGAACAACGAACCGACGCTATTTATTCTATTCCTTGCAATGACTGTGATAACGGGTATATCGGACAAACCAGTTTGGTACACGTTTGAAAGAGCATCAAAAAGCGTTTTTTTTTTGCAAAAAAGAAAATTCAGCTTTATCGGAGCACACATGCCTAACCAACCATACAATTGGGTGGGATGAGTCCAAGATTATCACCACTAATCGGCGTTTACCTCCAGCGCCTTTGTTTGGAAGCTTGGCATATTAACTTCAAATCGTGATGATGGCGGCTTACTTCCTAACGCCTATTTACGCCTCGTCAGAAAAACAGCGTGAGCGTATAAAAGGACCTCTTGTTACAGCGATCACCCCTGATAAAGGCACTAGACAGGATTGTCGAAACGTTGGGTCTATGAATTGTAACTTCTCGGTTACATTAATTAAATCTTTAAACCAGAGTAGCATCAAACCAAGCTTATCTTTGATAAACAAGCTAAATTTTCTTTGATAAGGGCGTGAAAAGTCAGTGAAAAAGTTACTTTGTATTATAGTGAGACAAAGCATTGTCGAGGTCGTTAAGGAATAACTTGCTTATCACCTGGTTTTATTCTTTCCTTTTTTAGATTTCCACAGTATATAAAATAGAGTACACTAAACCTTATTAACCCAGTTTGTGAAATCTTCAGTTTGTCATCGACGTAATTTAGAAATGATTTCTATGAAATTCAATTTTCCGTCAATGGATGTTTTAAAAGTCTTAGTTTATTTTTCTACCCCAACTTGCACTCGTAAGTAATAATTAAGGAAATAACTTCAAGAAACTCCTATACAATATATTTGAAGTAAAAATTCATGTTCTCATTCTCTATACAATAGTACGGAAAAACAAACGTGTAAAACAGAACGCATTCCTTGAGTCAGTCTTCACTCATGAATTTTCATTAAACATTCATAAGCTTCGTCTTTTCTTTGATGACTGCTAGTTCAACTCTGAAAAAAATGTGATTGTTATAACTCTTTTTTTTTATGCACAATGAGTCTCAGCTAGTTTCATTCAAAATAAGAGCTACCACTAAATTTTACCTCAAGAACCAACCCAAAGTGATAATGGTATAAGCTTAAAGATCAACAATAGCTTTTTCTTTAACGACTACACAGCTTTCCGATGCACCGCTTAGTTTATACTGAAGTATACTTCACCTGTCGCTCTGACACTGAGTCACTTTGAAGTCTAATGAGCGTCAAAAAAAGAAAAAAAAGGAAATTACTGTTAACCATGTCATTGGTTTTTTTCATTTGAACACGACTTAGAGGCCACGCTTGCTTCACAGGTTAACAGCAGGTACCATGTTCTCCCGAGGAAACTTGATGACCTCCCGTGACACTGGTATTGAAGATCTTGTTATAAAAGATACAGCACTTTGAATCAAAATAAAATCAACCTCAAACTGATAGGAACTTGAATTTTCATAAAATAGCATGTTAGTGTGGCAAAGCACTCCGGGATGGAAACAATACTCCAAGCAAGGAACGAGGATGATTAAGAATGAAGAAGGTCACCGAGGATAGCGATGGACAAACTTGAGTGAAAAAATTGGCCGGCTAATTTCTCAGTTTTTAGAAACTATTGACAGTCCGCCTTAAAGACTAATGCTTATAAAAATTAGAGAATGTACTCTGGTAATTATGGTCTTTGACTGATACTCCATAAAGCAAACCAGAGTGTGGTAATAACATACGAAAAAGCAAAAAGCAGTTAATTATTCATAATTGCAATCTTGGACCAATTGATTATCGCAGAAATTGAGCAATTCCAAGTTCATGAAAGTAAAATCACAAGAGTCAATAGAAACTCAAAGCTAAAAGCAAAACGACATGTTAGGCGTGGATAAATGCGGTAACGGTGAGGTTTGTTGAATGTTACATCTGTTTGGTACAAAACTTCGCGCGAGTTTTTCTTACACCAATCACACAACGCACCAAACCAAAGCCAACACATCTATCCAAAAAGCCGCTCATGATTTAAGAAATAGGCTGCAGATTGGCGCAGTATACCTTTGTAGTTATGCTCGCACCGTGAGTTAAATCAGCCCTTAATGTCACCTAAATTCTTCTCAAGACTCAGTGAAGAAAAAATTCATTCAAAAAAGAGAAGAAAGGAAAAAGAGAATTCTCTCTTTTGCCCTAACGGGAAAAGGTTTGAGCAGGGAAACGAGTCTCTCGATCCGTTTTGTATCGATTTTTGTGCTTGCTACACCTGTGATAACATATTAGAACCAATTCTTTTTTCAGTTTACATTTTAATTTTGCGTTAAGATTATAACTGGCCTAATATCTCTATGATGACCACAATGTTCTTTAATTTAGGTGTCACCAGATCGGAAGGACTGAAAAAGCTGTTCGGAAAGGATTTCGAAAGCGACTTGCAGTCCCAGTCACTTGCCTTTACTTCGGGAACAGGACCACGGCCTTTTGCCAACGAAGAGGTTGGTTACACAGGACCTTCCATTGACCTTTTGGAGACCGATAAGAGTGGACCTAAAGATGAAAATGCGGAAGGGGATGTGGAATTGGCTTACACTAAATCAGGCAATAAGAACAAGCACGACGAAAGCCACGAGATCTCTTCGCCTCGTGTGCGACAAATTATGCTACTGAAAGCGCGAGCCACAACCAAAGCTACGGAAGGAGATTCAAGAAAAGGGATAGTTAACCAAGATGAAAACGGATATGAACGCAGACCTGAGCACAGTATTACAAGAGTAACTCTTCGCAACATATTCAACCAGATAGGTAGAAAGGAAGAGAAAATTGGTGACGGTCAATCTGACGAGGAGGTGAGGGATGCTGCATCTGGAAGTGCAATTCGTTCAGAAACAGAATCCAGTGGTTGGTCTACATTTGAAACTGCAGAGAGTTCAAGTGAGCCTGAAGGAGTCTCACATGAATTAGAAACTGGTTCTAAAAACGAGCCAGAATTCGCAGGTAAGAATACAGGAGCATCTAGAGATCAAGGAAGCGGTGATCTTCAGTTCTCTTATGGTGGAATGACACTTCCACAAGATGTCAAAGGAGCGAATGTCGCCAAGGTTGTGTCAGAATCAGCTCGTGATAAGCCTAAAAGAACTGCTATAAAAGGAGAAGGAAACAGCGGAAGTGAGAAGCTGCCATTCGATCCCATACTCCTTTTTCAAGTAAGAAATATCAGAACCAACGTCCTGAAGGCGGAAAAACAGGCAACCATGGAACTAAACGACGTCAGAAAAGAATTCAGAGCTAAAATGGAAGATCTTCAGGAAGACCTAAAGATGGTGAGAAAGCTGACAAGTAATGTCCACAGGAAAGTTGGCATTACAGTTAAACAGGCGCTTGCAATGGCAAGACAAGCGAAGACCAACGCAACCAACAGATTGGCAATGGCACGAAGTAAGTGACACTTAATTGTTATGTCGCGAAATTTTCACCTCACGTGCTATTCTAGTTTCCAGAGCCCTTAAATCTCTCCTCAGGAGAAGGGCTCCCGGCACGAAAATGTTCATTCAGTGACCAATAATATATTGGGACTTTCCCCACTCGTCTCAAGATTGCCAGCCAACGCAAACTGCTGATGATGTGACTGATTGATCTTGACCTTTTCATGTTTAATTTATGTGCTAAAGGGTAACACAAAGCATTAATGTACGGATAACAGGCTGTTAGTGGAACAGTTAGCTAACTTTTCAGGGTTTGCACAAATTTAGAGTATCTCTATGATTTTTTCTCTGTACATCGTTAACAAATTGAGTGGGTGCCACGGGTGATGGATCAGGTCAAGTGACATATCAGCTGAATGGCTTTATTCGTAATGTTGCTAATCCCTGTTTAGGATCCGTTTGGAGGCTCTGATGTAAATTGTCCCTGCTACCTCTCCCGTAAACCATTCTGGTGTCGGTCCAGAATCAATGCTTGCATTGATGATATGTCGAGACACTTGTGCAGGTGTAACACCTTCATCTTCATTTGAAGGAACGTGCCTTGAATGATAGTCTTACCTCTTAACCTCTTTATAAAATATCGAAACCCCGCCTCCGCCACAGAAGAGGCGCCAGACAAGTAAGTGCCACACTGAAACGGGGCCAGCAGATCCCTCTTACCTATCCTCGAGGATGAGTGAAAACTAAATGACGACTAAGAATTGTCTAAAAGATCTCATTGTCGTGTGCGGTGTCAGGATTTCCCAGTAAAACCTATTGTCTCCACACTAGTTTCTAATTAACCTGTTCATGTATTTTCTGTGATTATAGAAGCTGCGACAGCTCTGAACAACATCGAGAAAAAGCTCGGAGTAATTCATACGATTAACGCCTCCAGAATACTTCGCTCAAAGATTCCTCAGTTTCCAAAATACAGTGATGTCACCCTCTACCAACAGCTCCTGGCAACCAACCGAATCTTGACGAAGCTCAATGGCGCTAAAGTCTTGGCGATTGATCGGGCAGAGAGGAGATTTCGCAACGAAGAGGAGACAGGAAGCTCAATCTCACAAGAGGTAGATTCCCTAAGAGATGAATTAGCCTCTGCGGAGGAGGAACTCAGCGAGGAGACGGATCGGGAAATGGAAGATGAGAGAGAGGCACAAGAGAAGATACAAGAGGCTTTGGAAAGGAACAAACTTGTTGCAAAGAAGACGGCATTTGCTCTAACGGCTATTGAGAACTACTTGGAGAAGCTTCAGACAGACGAGGCTAAGCTTAAGCGGTTCCGATTTTAGCCATTTAGAGACGTGATCAAAGGCAAAACACGTTCCTTCCACTAGCCTCCTTACTCCTACACTAGTAATGAGTAAAATTTAAAGACCCTTCGTTCAAATTGATTGGTTTCAGTGTATCCATTGTTCCGTGACTAACACATCAGGGTTGATGTAAAAATAGTGCTTGCTTCCTTGATATTCAGCTGTTTCAAGAAAGGTCGTCGGAAAAAAGGACAAAAGTGCACGCGACAATCTCAATAGGTTATCTGGTAATCAATGAATCTTAAAAGGTAAAATAAAAAGAGTGAATTAATAAATTAAAAAACGCGGTGGCTCATCCTCACAATGACTTTTTGTCAAATTTCTAAATCCTGAGGTCAAGAAACAGTAACACGAGAACTACACACGTTGACTTTCAGCTTTGTCGTGTGCACTTTCGCACTCTTTCTTCAGAGAACCTTTCTCGAAACAGCAGTGTCCAACTTAATATTTGATAACAGTACCTACGACCCTCGCTTGTGAGTTTTGCTTGTACAATAAGTTCAGTATAATTCAGAGGAGGCAACTACACCGCTAACACCCAAGTGCTACAGAGTGGTTTATTTCCAATTTATATACATTGTCTTTACACTAGAGTAAACCATTCGCACTAAAATTGTCCTTGTTCAACCATACCTTCTCTTTCACAATCCATAATTTCTCGCTTATTATAACCAATAAAGTTCTTGTGTTAACATCACACTCTCTCTTGCGTAAGAATCTTAGAAAGCAGATATAATTTACGAATGAATCCTTGTGAAGTTTACGTACACGTAGTGGGTTATTGTTAAAATGAATACTGTACATGTGTATGAATATAATCTTTCACTTTAGTTTAAAAATTCATATTTAAATTTCGATTCGAAACTTTTCGCTTATTTTATGACCTGTTCTTGTGCGACTGTACATGGGATAATAGCAAAATAAAAGCGCTTTGCTGTTACAATAGCACACAGCCACTTGAGACAGGGTTTCTAGTCTCGCTTATGTCAGAGGTTCTACAAATATAACTTCCGGTGACATTTTCTGTTGCGGACAGCGCATGAGTGTTGGCGTGCAGCGCATGATACAAGTTCATAAAACCTTTAAGTGATCAGTTTACATTTGGCAGTAGATGTGTGGGTGTAAGTAGGTGAAAAGAAACGTACTCAGGCATAACTACTTTAGCAAATTGTCGCACAGATAGCTATTCTTCGGATGCGCTAAAAAATACGATCAATCCCTCAAGAAAGGATGCTCCAAAGCTTCCGCTGCAGTGATACGAGTATGCGGGTTAAGATCAAGGCATCTCTCCAAAAGCTCATATGCAGTGTCTTCAAGCGTCCAACAACATTTACAACAGGTACAGTCACATTCACTGCCGTCGACATGCATGGGCCGAAAAACGTCCGATTGCTCACTAGTTTTAACAGTGAGTTCTTTGTCAGTTTCAATCGATATACAACAATATGGATTTTGTTTTTGACATATCTTACAGCGTCGATGCCACAGATTTGAACCCACGGGTGTTTCTGTTTGAGAGCTTGACGGAGAAGTCGATCTTCTTTTACGGCGCTTTGCAGGAGCTGATTGGTCCGTGTCTGCTCGACTACACTGTTTCACACAGCATTTCACGGTTGGCTCTTTGCTAGCGCGACTGCGCAGTCTTGTGCAAAGTATTTTAAGGTTTCCACATGGACTTTCGGCACTACAATGAAGATCCTTGCCTGCAAGGAATGTTAATAAGACTTTACGAGCGAAAGTAACAAGCACGGTAACTGTAAGCTGTGACTCTAACTCAAAACATGATAATAATCTTAAATCACACACAAGTGAGAGTAAAAGAAGAATGATACGAGCGACGAGAATTGCCTTTGATCATGCTTTTTGTCTAATCCCAAAGTAAACTTAACAAAAAGTAGGAGAGATCTTTTATTATTGGGGAAGGTACATCTTCTCTTTGGAGCAATCAAAGAGTACACGTACACAAAGAGACGGCAAAAGATCAGGTTTTGCCATCTGCTTTAAAATCGGAACTTAATTACATGTACACTGAAACAGGACTAACGTTTTCCAGCCAGTTAAAGTAACAACTTTAACCAACACAGTAACAACAACCTCGTTAACAAGATTTTCTTACCCAATTTGAAAGCTGCTCTTGTGGCAGCATCGGTTCCACACAAAGTCATAATTTGTGCCAAGCTGGTCATGTCGTCGTACGCTCTAAAAAAAGGGTATCTACCGCTAAGTATGGAAAGAAATATGACCCCTGCTGACCAAATGTCCACGGCCGTGGACTGGTGAGGGTATTTGAGTAATACTTCAGGAGAGCGAAATCCTGGTGTACCGGCGCGTGGAGTGTTTTGATGACCCCTGCAACAAATTTAAATTTACGTCTTGTCACTGAAATATGAGAGTTCAGACTACTTTCGAATTAAAACTTCCACCGTCACAATGTATGTGCATCATTGAATTAAGGACTGTTAATTAGTATAACATATCTTCTTATATATGTACATTATGCCTTTCAAAACTGACCTTGGTATTAGACAAGGCCAAACCTTTTTTTCCAAAACTGATTTTGTTCCTAACCTGTAGTTTGTGTTTCTGTTTAAAAATATATTGATAGCAGAGAAAGATGTCTTCTCGTCTTGTCAAAACCTGTAGCTCTACCACTGAGACCCAGAGACGCTTTGCTGAGCTACAATGTGGGCCATTACCACAATGTAGGTTAATATATAACAGACGTCCTGCATAACGCGAAGATTAGCAATGTCAAAGCTTCGTGTGAGTAAACAGGATCAGAAAGACGGTGAATGATGAATTAATATTTTTAGGAGTAGCTACATGCACATATTGATCGTTCCTGGGTATTAAGAGGGTGAAACTATCAATAACTACATGTCTGTTCTGGTGAATAATTTTAATGATGACGCCAAAAAGAGAAAAAGTCTAAAAAAGTTTAGTAATTTACCTTGCCATACAAACAGTGCAAACCTCTTTGGGGCCATGTCGCAGGGGACACAACACTTGTGCTGCCTTGAATGAAAACTCCTTAGATTTTGAATTCTCATTGGAAGTTCTTCTTAAATTTGACGTTGCATTTTTGGCTGGAACTTTAAAGTCTCTCGTCTGATGGGTAAACTGCCAATTGGCTGAGTTTACACAACGTGGCTTTAGTACACCTTCCTCGGCAACTTTACTTGCTGGCTGGTCCTTGTTGTCAGTTTGAGGGGACAAACGTGAGCTACGACGTCTGGGCTGAGTTGTGTTCTTGGGAGATTGATGGTGGCCTCGTTTCGGTTTCTTCAATTGTTCTTTTGAGAGTCTGAAGTATAAGTAATACAACAACAATTTCATTTCTTTTATGTCCATTAGAAAGTTCTTGCAATTTTGATGCCTATTTTAATAAAGGTGCAATACAGTCCACTCTGCATCATTGTCAGCTTGTGGCTCATTATCGTCTAAAGTCCATGGAATGTATAGTCTTTATTTGTTTGAACACTAAAAATATGAAATTCAAACTTAATTATTACATCTTTCCTAATATAACTACTATTCTTTTTAATTCTTGAAAATGAGACTAGGTTGGAGCTCAATTTATGTTTCCAGATATGTCGCTGTTTAAATGGAGACAGTGCTTGATTCAAGTGCATGTTTCTGAAACTGGATATGGTGGTGACTTCTAAATACATGCATAAATGAAACACATACTTTACCTAGAAGAGAATTAGAACTCCCAGGTACCTTCATAGCAAGGCCAAAATCTACAAGTCTGTATCTGTAATTCAATGCCACAGTTGCATAACTTTTGTTCAAGAAATTTGACACTCACAGATAGAAGTGGGTTCAATCAAAGGTTTATTATATCTTTGTCCTAAAACACTTGACCAGCCTCAGGTGATTGTCACTTTTTAAAACTGATATTACCTTGCACAGGGTTATACATGTATGATGTACTGGCAAAATTGTGTTCTGTGACCATCTTATGATTTAGGTTGACAAATGGAGAAAATGAAAAAAATATTGACATGGAGCCCTGTAGCTATGTCAATGAACTGAAGAATCATGGAAAAGAGAATTATATTCCTGTTTTGTAGACATTATCTTGAAATCCCCTATGGTGCTGAAGAAGTAGATGGTGCATCAACAGTCAGTTGGAGCCTCATTCTGTACACCACTTAAATTTTGACTTTGGTAACTGTGGAATTTGTTGACTTTTCTGAAGAGGGAACTTAAAAACTACAGTTGCTCCAAAAGAATCTGAATCATTCATGTCTCCTCTCACCTTCCTGTATCTCTACAGTAAAGAAAGTTGCTTGGTTTCACATCTCTGTGAATGACTTCAAAAGAATGAACTCTTTGCAAGGCAATGAATAAGTTTCTCATGTAATCCTTGATTTCACACATACTCATTTCAAGAAAATACTCCTGCAAAAAAGAAATGGGTAAAAACAATTTATAACAACTTCATTTTACTAGTATGGTAGCTTGGTATAGAAACATACATTATTTTGAAAAAGAGAAGAAAAAGGTCAAACTATACTTAAGGATAAAGTTAGTAGAATACAGTGTTAAATACATACAAAGTCAGACCAAAATGTGTGTGTTACTGAGTTCATGATCAAAGTGCTGTGTGGAAATTATTCATTCCACTAACTATGCACTTACCTGAAAACTCTGATGTGGAAAGTAAGGTAAAACAAAAACTATGTTGTCATCCCGTCGCAAAGTTGATAGAACTCCAATCACATTGTCAGTACCTCTGGAAAAAAGAAAAGAGAGAAAGTAATACAACAAGCTGTAGCTTTCTAGTTTAGGATAATTGCCTGCACTAATACAGAGTATTTTCATCCATCCTGTTGTGCTTTCTGTTCCCTAGTTGCCCTATAATTATCACCTGATTCTGAGACCTAATCTTACCCATTTAATTTTATGTGCAGGCATTGGTATCACGCATCTACATGTACATGTAGTTTCAGTTGTCTAAGTCCTTCTTCTGTTTGAGTTTTGCTAGAAGTGCTAGCTAATCCTTATCTACACTCTTTCACCTCCAAGATTTTCATACACAACTCATGTAGAGTAGGCTCCAAGAATTTGGCCTTATATTAAATGTATTAATAATGAATCTTTATATTAAATACCCCTTGAACTTTACTTTTCTTTGCTCTTATTAGAGTGCATTGATACTGTTAGGAGATAAGGCCCACCGCCACTTCTTGGAATTGATGGAACAAATAATAATATTGTGTAAAGCATTGTAATTCATGAATTAGTGTGATTTAAGTGAGACGTGTAAGTTTTTGCTTCTTGTGTTACTGAAAAGTAACCTTTTCAACCTACCCAATATCCTGAAGGCATTTCAATTCATTTTCAATTCTTCCTGGGCCACTTGTAGGTATGATATGTTTCAGTGCACATAATTCATCTGGTATTCTATTCATTTTTGCCAAGTAGACATTACTAAAGGTACCTGGATAATACAAAAATTTCTGCTTAGATATAAGAAAATGACATAAAATTTAAACTTTCTCTATTTCCTTGAAGAACGACAATGATACACTCGTCTCCAACCTTTCTCAATTTTTGTATCCAAAAGGGTTAAATTACAACGAACTTTTAAAAGCTTGAAAATCTTGTGCTGTGTACAAATAGGGTAGGGTTCATACATCTATATGCATGATTAAGTGATGTTGAAGAATGTCACTTCCCCTCTTCATCCATCTTTCTTAATGCAAGTTGACAAAACATCATCTGGTAATGGTGGATAGTTAAACAGCAAATCATAGTTGATAGAAACTTAACTTGTCACTTGACCAAGGTTTTTGTTTCAAGTTTTTTTTGGCAAGAATATAATAGAAATTGGGAAAGAAAGAGAAAATGATTTTTTCATCATACATGTAGAAACACTAGATAAAACTAAGCTTCATAAATTTACCTTCTCCCACTTTTGAAAGTAAGGTGAATACATCTTCAAGCTCTGGGATCTTTTTCAAAAGCTCTCCAGCTTTGCTATCTCCAAACCCTAGAAATAAATTTTGTACTGTAAGATTAGGAGAAACGTTTTGCAATCCAATAACTGGATGATGATATTTGTATATAGCAATGTTCACAATATTGGTCTCAAGTCTTTGCGACTCATTCTCTCTCTAAGAGCTGCCTCTAACTCAATAATGATTTTATCATAATCACCTCTAGCTGGAGCATACAGTCTGTATGTGCTTTTATTATGTTCAAGTAGGAAATGGTTTTTCACTAGAAGAGACACTAGTGATAATATGAACACTAAGCACCTTTGGAGGATACTGCACAAATACATGAAACCCTAGGAAATACATGTAGTCTTAAATCAGTTGAGTTTTTTTCCAACTCATCTGATGACACTTTGTGCCTTTTTCTTTGTTTTATAGTCTGTCTAGGAGCAGAGAGGCAAGCTTGTATGTCAACACTCCTGTTATTGCCTAGTTTGTTGTGCAAATAGTCAATGGAAAGTGGTAGGCAATCAATTCATAAAGTTTGCAAAAGCTCAGTGTCAGAATGAACTGTTCTAGGCTGTTCAATGTATAACTGCATGATTTTCATGTGAAGTTAGCCTTTGGCTCACTATTTGTGGTATAAAAATGACTACAAGTTTGATTAATTTTTTTTTTGTCCACACAGTAAACAAAATTATTCATTGGTGCTTAAATGCATGAATTTAATTCTTTGACTTAACACAGGTGAGATGCCAACAGGTGAGAACCAGATTTTTTTTTATCTCTCTCTCTCAAAAAAAATTCATATCTTCAAGCCTACACTGTATATGTGACATTGCATATACACATAACAACCTAAATTACACACACACTTTCATTAGTTCTTACCTATGATCTATTGGAGGTCAAATTTATGGATGACCTTGCCATTAAGAAAAATTTGCTCTGATACTTTGTTATCATATAAAACAAATAGATTCTACATGTATTTGTACATGTGTCTGTTCAATAATAGATTACAGAAGAAGTAAGAATGTGGTAAGAGCATCATTGTCACACTTGGTTAAACCTTGTGTTCCCATTTTTTGTTCTGACCGCATTTTGACATCATACGTGAACTTCTAATGTACTGGGTCCAGTTGTATAAAAGGCAGATAATGTTATCCAGTGGATAAATCACTATCCGGCAGATAAGTGATAGCAAAACATATAGCATTTTCCATTGGAAAGAGTTTTATCCAGTGGATAGCGCTATCCAACCCTTGAACAACTGGAGCCAGATCCACGGCACCATGAGACTTAATTGTCAAATACTCAACAACATTGATGCAATTGCTTTAAAAGAGAAGGTCTATTTATATGTATAGTACTTAGGCAACAGCCTGAGACAAGTTCTTCACAAAGAGACAAACAGTGTTCTTGTCAGTATATAAAAGCATATTTAACAAAGATTTATGTTTTGGTTGTGCCTCTAAGATTGTCAACGAGTCAATTCACCACCGGTGGCAAGTTTGTTGTGGTGGATAGTTAATCGGATACCATAACAAATTACTATGAAAGGAAGGTGATATACTGATCTCCATATCGTCAACTTCATATGATATTTGTTTATGATAGATGCATGCATGTTGCAGCCAAATGGAGAATATTTCTGTTCAGTGTCATAACAGCTCGTTTGGCTTCGGCTAAGTTGCTACATACAAGGCTGTGAGAGCGTAATTTTGAGCGTACAAAACTGGCTCTTTTCCGCATTAATGTGAAATTTGAGCCATGTCGACATATAATTATGATGGTGAACAGCTCTTCTGCACGTTTGCCATTGTTCAACAACATTTTAACTATCTAGTGTTTAACCTACCTTCTGCTACTTTTGGTGTCGAGTGCGGTGAAATGCGTTTCCGTTTCCGCTTCTCAGACGGTGAACAACTATCACCCTGAGCAGCAGTCTTTACTGAAGTGGAATTCGTGTTTTCGCCTATAGTCGAATCATGGTCGCTTTCCGAAAATTCTATTCCAATGCTTGCCTCAGTTCTGCATTCTTCCAACGCCATCATAATTACAAATAATAATTCCTTCAGTGAAAAGTATCAGTACAATCCGTAGATCTATTAATCTATCGTATTTGGTGATCAAAAATAGTACATTCTTGAATCAAATGCTATCAAGAAACTCAACAACGACAATTAAACTGAACTGGACGCCGAGGGATTTACTATTCCCGCCAATTTTTCCCCAGTTGAACTATGGGAGAAAAAAATTTATTTCGAGGGGGTGGGAGTGAGGTGTATCGAGCTGAGTGACAAAGAAGACTAAGTTATCCAAATTCTTTTTTTAAAAGTTTATCACTGATTTGCAAAATGCTCGAAAAATTTCATATGATTTGCTGCTGCTCGTACCAACTCTTTTCAAAAGACAAAAATTAAGAGAGATAAGGAAATATTTGAACACTTGTTCGTGGTAAACAAGTTGCCAGCGTGGCGCTCGATATTAGAGCGAATTTGATTGGTTACATGTCAGTGTACCAATCCTCTTCCATGTTTTATCCCATGAACGCCTGGGAGAAACTGAAGTTCGGTAGGAATAATAACATTGAATATGGTCGTCCTATGATAATTCAGTCTCTGGACTCAGGGTAAACTAACCGTAATTGAATGACTAGGTGTAAATATCGCCAGTGTTCAAGGTTGTATAAAACATGAGCTGCCCGACTGAAGCACTGTTTCCTTGTGGCAAAGGAGACAAATAGCACCGTTTCGAAATTACCTGTACTTCCAATGGCTTCAAACTCAAAATTAGTTTTGTTTACCAAAGATGTGCTTTGTTTGTGTAAACGAAGTGAACGTGTGAAAGTACACTGTTGAAGTAAACATCTTGGAAGGACCTAGTGGGGTTTTATAGTAGCCATGTTAGAAAGTTACATCACCCCAGTTTTGATGAGCTACGTCGACAAGTACATAAAGAATTTGAAGCCTTCAGACCTCAGTTTGTCGCTATGGGGCGGAGATGTAGTGTTGTACAATTTAGAACTACGGCTGGATGTTTTGGAAAAGGTGAGAAAGATTGTTACCTCGGTTCTAGTTTTAATGAACACCTCTCTTTCTAATAAGCCTAGAATGATCAAGATATTTATTGTAAGCATACTAATGTTTTAGAAAATGTGGTCGTTCATAGTGGTTTAATAGATAATGAATGGTTAATTGCTTGTCTCATGAAGTGAGGCAAATCAGTTGTATTGATCATGACATTTTCAAAAGCTATACTACTATTCTTTGTTGTCGAAATGCACGTAAGACAACATGTAAACATGTAAACTTTCAACCTTGTCACCTGACAAGAACTAGTTGTATGGCAATTGAATACATCATGATCATCATGATTAGCCTGACTTACATTGTAAAATAAGCAATGACACCTTTATTTACATAATTATGTTCTTCCAGGAATTACACCTGCCAATAACATTTCTCAGTGGGAAGATACACAAGCTACAGATCCATATCCCATGGACAAAGCTGGGATCAGAGCCAGTTGAGATCACCATCAGCACATTAGAGTGTGTTGTCCAGTTGAAATATCCAGATCATAGCCCAAGTGATCAATCAAGCAAGGCCTCTGAGGCAGCTTCAGCCAATAGTGAAAATGAAAAAGAAGAGCTTGAGAAGGTAATGGAGGGCAAAGAGGAGGTCCCTCCTTCTGGGTATGTTCAAAGCCTTATCAACCGAGTGATCAACAATGTATCAATATGTGTTAACAATGTTATATTGAAATACTTGGAAGATGACATTGTCTTGTCCTTAAACATCAAATCAGCCGAAACATTCAGTGTGAACAGCAACTGGGAGAAGGCTTTTGTTGATGTTGTTGCTCCTGACTTTTTGCTTCAGAAAGTATGCAATATTTCTGATCTGACCATCTGTCTTGATAAACGAAATTCCAGTGGGAAAATAGAACTCTACCAAGATCCGCTATTGTACAAGTGTGGTCTACGCTGTCGAATGATGTTGAAGTTTGACAGCCTTCTCAGACCCATTGAAACAAAGTTTAATGTGTATTGTGAATCTGCAGACATTTCACTTACAGATCAACAGCTTCCAATGGTTATTAGATTGGCTACTCTATGTCTCAGTCTTTATGTTGGAACTCTAGATTTACCTGGTTCTGAGTACAAACCGCACCCAGCAAAAAAAATTGTTGAGCAACAAGCCATTTCCAATCCAAATCTGAGTTTTACATCAGAACCACAAGAAGTCTCTACTCAGACAGGCAATCAGCAAAACCCAAATGATGAAGACTGGGTCAACTGGGTGTGGTCTTTTGTTCCTAATCTCACAGATGATCAGTCAGCACTGCTAACAACACCTCCACCAACACCTCTCCTGCTAGCAGGATTCTATGTTTCTCATGTGACAATCACTATTAAGTTGACAGGAAAGGTCAGTGATGGGAATTTTTTTGGTGGACAGAGATTTGAATTCAAGCCTATGTTGAGTTTTGAATTGTCAGGAGGAGCAGCTGAAATGGTATTGAGAGGAGATGAATTTTTTGACGCTCAGGTTGGTGTGTCATCCATCATTGGGTGGAATATTGGTAACTGTGTTTGTCGAAGTTTGGATGTGTCTTCAACAAAAGAAGGAATTGAGGCAGATGATAAGGTACAATCTTCAAGACAGTTATTAACTAAGGTTTTAAAGAACCTCACAGAAATGTAATTACTATCATTATAATCATAAGACAAAATTTAATATATTTCAATCAGTATTCTAGAAGAAATTAATGAACATGTTGACTGTTAAGCTAAAATTGTTTTGTTAAATTAATTAATTGAGGTCAAAATGATTTTGAACCAATTGATGTGTACATGTATTTTCCTTTGTTTCTGATGAAGCATCATTATCTGTGAACAAAGAAGAACACAGTTAAAACGAATTCCATTGCAACATATGCTCTACTCTTCCATTTTATGGTGCAGTGACAATTGGTGAAGAATCTCTTTATCTTGCAGCATAGTGTACATTTGTATCATCACAGGCAGACCACACTATGTGTTTGTGGTTAGTAATTGTTGACATAAGACAAACAACATCTGAGGGTTATGAATAAAGCTCTGAAAATTTAACTGGCAGCCATTAAAGGAATTTGAAGCATGCAGACCATTTCAAATTTACCAATCAGCAATTGACTTTGTTTTGAACTGCAGTGGACTTCCATGGAAGTTGCAGCACCGTTTGGTTAATTTGAAATGGCCTGCATGCTCCGAATTCCTGTGGTCACCAAGTTTGGCAACGATCATGTTGAAAATGCTGTATTGATGATTTCAGCATTGATTTTCTTGGAAAATGTTGAAGGAATGAAGCTCAAATTTGGTGAAGAGATAGAGCAACATCATCTCTAACTGTTGCCAGTTAGGAGAGATTTTCAATAGCTTGGAGTGGAATTAGAAATAAGCTTCTTCTTTGTAATCTTTTTCTAGGAAGATGTTTTTATCACCATTGCAAGTCATAGAGAAGATTCCTCTGATTCATCAGGATTTCTGACAGGTTCCTTGTTTGACAATGGAGAAAGATCTTCTCTAGCAATTCCTGATCTGACATTCGATGCAGAGGAATTCCTAAAGATACACAACGAGAAACTTGCCCTCAGGAGATATGGGGCTTTTTTTGCTGACTATTTGTACACGATGGAAATTGAACCAGAGAGTGATCAGGATGCTGGGGAAAATCAGTTAGAAGGGTTAGAAATTTTTGGTGAAATACGACTTGTGAAGGAGATGTCTTTCAAACGGTTGATTGTGGGCCCAACACATTTACAGCTGTCAACAAGTATGATGCATAGATTGGAGCTTGTTTTGAAGCTGGCATTTGATGATATTGTTCCAAGAAAAGGTATAACCTACACAGTGTACATATCTCTTTGTACAGAGTAGTTTATAGAGGTCATATGTATACATCACATCTTACCTTGTATTTACTCAAGTCCTGATGTCTGCATATGACCAAATATTCCATGGTAATTTTTACTATTAACAACTGTCATTTGAAAAAAAGAAGAAAAGAAAAAAAGACCTCCCCATTTTAACTTTCATAATCATCATTATTTTTAAACCTCTGAAAGTTGACCCTTGATGGGGAAATGGCCTGGCTGATTACCTGGGGAAGACACAGGATCTTTTTGATAGAAACTTGAATAGTCAGAAGAAGAAGCTTGCTGAGAAAGATGTTAAGCAACATATCATGAGATATCATGAGCACACAACAAAGAAAAAATTCTAAGTGTTTGACAATGATTCAAATCCCACAGCTTTGTGTTTTGATGTGGTATGGTATGAGGTCAACTCCTTAGGGAAGATTTCTTTCTTGGGTCAAGAATATTCTATGAATGGTTTTAGCAATGAAAAAGGTGTTTGATTTGAGCATGGTACTGTAATATATGCATGAATGCTACACGTGTGTACTGTAATGTATTATGTTCAGTCTATTTTTTGTAACTAATGCAGTTTTATTTTGTTGACATTGTAGAAAAATGTGAGCTGTACTATGATGAATTCATTGAGAAACAGCTTCTGGCAGGCAACATTCCAGCTCGTAATTCTAGTATCACCCTGGTGTCATTTACTGCTACTCTACCAGCTGCCGACCATGGAAAGATGTCCCAAGGTCCTCTACTGCAACACACAAACAGCAGCACAGAGCTACACACTGTCTCCTCACAGTTGTCATTACAGAGCATTCCTGATGTAATTATGAAATATGTTACCTAATTAAAGCTGTCTCAAAAGTTTACTGTGCATGTAGATCTAAAAACTGGGGAACTCTTAGAATTGAATTTTGAGTTGTGGGATTTGTTTATCCATGTCAGTTAATCTTTTGAATTTCATTGTACATTGTTTTGAACATCATGACATTAATAGTGATAGATATTAGGTGTTGACATAGGGCCTGAGGAGTCTTAAAATAATCTTTTTTCTTTAAAGGAGTCTTCAGAGATTTATTTTTGATAATGCTCAGCACTTGCTTCACATTTCCTCCCTTAACTATATAAAAAAGTTTCCTTCAATAAAAGTGGGTGATGTAAGAGGAGCAACTTGGTACTGTTATTCCTCATTGTTAGTCCATTTCATGTTTTTCCCACTTTCGTACAATTTCCAAGATGTTTTTTACACAGCTTTGGGTGTTTATTAAGCCAGAGAGGGAGTGATTGACTGATGTGGTGTTCTATTAGATGAGAGTATCTTTCTTTCCAGGTTGAAGATACTGATATTGTTCCCGAGGTGGTCTGTATTGTTCAGATCAGTAGAATTGATGTCCAAGTAACAGAACCAATGTACCCAACAGAGCTTACTAAACTGACTGTAGCAAATGCAGAATACCCTGCTGGCAAAGCCATGCTCATGTGTACATACTCTGATGTGTCTGCTCAGGTTTGTAATTTTAGTACAAACAGCAATAAATTTATTTGTAAGATCTTATTGCTGATTCTGTCCAAGAAATTTACCTCAAAGGCCTCCTTGTTCTTTTAGATTTTGGATTTTTTTGTTGCTACCATGGTTGGAAAATTGCTTAAATATATTTAATCATCATTGTCTGTAATTACAAGGCCACCCCTCGCTTAAAATAATTAATTGAATATACAAATGCTTGTTTATTGGTTTCCAATCTGAGAACACAATCATGTTTTGTCTTTCAATCCTCCTTTTGTAGCTTTTTGGCATTCAAGTCAGTGTAACGCAGCTTCACTCTGATGTAATAGACATGCCTATGGTTAACATCATTCCAGCATTCAGTGTGGCTGGATCATTAAGATTTTGCATTTTGCCTGAATCATGGTAGGCCTTTCTTATCTTTATATTTTTGTCACAATAGTTTTTCATAATGTACAGTAAATATTACAGACATAATTGAAAATAAAGTGGAAATATTTAATCTGAATCTGTACTTAAGGTTCTTGAGTTTCTCAAGTTGAATCACTTAACAATTGTTTACCACACTCCATGTTAAATAGTTTTTTTTCAACACATTTGCTCTTCCAAGCGGTCTGTTAGTGAATAGCATCCTGAACCTGCAGGGAAGAAAGTAGTAAATCACTCCACCATTTCTAATGCTCAGCTATTTTGAATTTGAACAACTAATCTAATCTAAATAGTCCAATAGTCTTTATTTCCAAACTATTAAAGAACATATGTTATGATACAAACCACACTGCTACATTGACTAATACATTAACTGCAATAGAGCTAAGTCATACTTAAAAATCAAGAAATTAATGATTGAGTTTTTAAAGTGCATGGTGTTTATGTTAGGGCCACAAATATACCTTTTCCAGAGGATATAGCTGGGTGATTTAAAAAGTGGCATGATTGTTAACAGCGCTTGACCTGTAGAATAGGAGATGGTTTCAAAGACTGGTATAAGATACAGAAAAATTTAGTTGGTCTGTCTTGATCAGACAGAGCCATATTATTTCACAATACAAGTAGATAGGCCAGCCTATAGAAGTACAAGTCATGTGCATAAAAAGCATTTCTCTAATGTGATTGTTGTGTCTTTTTTGTAGGGGTGGAGCAGACCTTCTTAAGAAAGAGGCTCACATAGAAGTCCCAAACTTTCAGACTATTTTGACGAAGCCTCAGTTTGTACTCATGTCTCACATTGCTGACTCTTGGGCAAGCAGCATGACAAAAGAAGGAAAAATGGCTCCAATTCCTAGAGCAATTGTTGGCTGTGTGTTCTATCCCAATGGTAAGCATACCTGGATATGTTGTTGGTCATGTAATTACATCATTTACAAAATTTATTGTTGCCACTCAAGATAGTAATCTGGCCTACAATAGTACTGGTGTTCTTCTCTGCTGGAGATCAGTTTAGTATAAGTGTAAACCCTTCATACGACACTTCTATTACACTCAACTTGAGTGGTAATCAATGATTTCTTAATTTCAAAATGTCAGATCAAGACTCAGGAGGCATACAGCCTGAGTTGCAATTTAAAGTTTCAAACATCCAAGTGCAGTTCTGTGAGACTCAGTCTGTTGTTGGTGCAAGTGGTTCAGTGGGATCTGTTTTTGCCTCTCTCAAGTCCTGTGAGTATTGTCCTACAGTGTTGTTAACTCTGGAACAAAGTATTACTCGCTATAATTTCAGTTTTGTGGTATGGTGGACTATATTGGGCAAGAATTTGGTCTATTCATTGAAATGAAAATCTTCAGCCTCACCCATTTTGACACTAATTTCACACTTAGTTATTTCTAACCTTGGCAAGGTGACAAAAACTGTGGAACTCTCATAATGTCTAGAGGTGTTTCTCACTCATAATCTGAGCTTCCGAGGCAAAAATCTCACACAACTTTCCAAGTTTAAATCTCAATTAACCTATGAATATCATTCCTGTACTCATTATTTCATGAGGTTCCTCACGCACTCTAAGCTTTTAGGCCTTGTATAGCATTTAAGTTACCTGAAAATGAAATAAGATTTGTTGTTCTTTTGTAGGTACGTCTGGTACTACTGAAACAACGCCTCTAGTTAAGGGTCCATCTGACACCTCAGAAATGTACACAGGCAATCTGTTTAGGTCAGCGCATCTGCAGGAGAACTTTGTTGAAAGTACAGGACCAGTTCTAACCTTCACTGTACAGTTGCCACAGGCTGCTATTAGGAGTGGTGACCCTGTGGCACAACCAGGTAAATTTTAATTTCATTGATACGTTGATTTCTTAGCTTATTCATAGTCCTTCGTGTCCGGGAAGGAGCAGTGAAAAGTGGAACAACCTAAATCAGCAGATTGCCCTTGCAGGCCGTTTTCATTTTCGTCCATTCGCTCCCCAAAACCGGAGTTAGTAGAGGTGACATAACTGCAGTCTCTTCTTTTTTGTTACTGCAACTTAGGGAAATGTAGCTGAATATTCTTGCTTCATCCGTCACATGCTTGCACACGCAACCGACAACCCACAACTCCCTCGTTGCTCCGCCAATTTTGCTACTGAAATTAAACTACATAACATTTATCAACTCTACCTTGGTAATCAACCTAGTCAATCAGTCACTTACAAACCTACTTTCTTGTTTGTTTGTTTGATCTTTTATTTTTCTCAATAGTTCCACCGAGTGGTGATCAGTTGAGCGGTTTGGTCCTGTTTCATCTGAAGGGTATCACGGCTTCCCTTGATCCTCTGCTGTACAAGTGGATTTGTTATAAGTCTCCTGCACCAAAAGTAACACCCCGTCACAAAGCAGAACGAGAGAGGACTAAAATTACTCGGCAGCAGTCTCTTCCCAAAACCCCATCAGCCACCACCCCCAGAAAGAAATCATTTGCAAGAGGTAGGTACATGAAAGGTGTTTCATGCTACTTAATGTGGAATGTATTAAGAACTAGTCTCTGTAAGAATCAAACAACTGGGAAATGAAAATTTGCAACCCCGCCTTAAAATTTTGAGTACTGTCAGACACTTAGGGGGATGCACAAAAATGCCCTTTTTAAAAGTTGCAGCACTCTTGTTGCCATGGTAACAAAGGCTATTTGTTCGCGGCCTAGTGCATAGCCCCTGAATGCCTAAAAAAAATTAAAATTTTAAGGACGGGTTGAAAAGTTTCTTCTCCCTAGTTGTTTGATTCTCAGAGACTATTTTGTAAATTTTCAGGGAAAAATTTGCCATTTTGTTTTCGTTCGAAAACTCATACTTCAACAAGTACGTCGGTTTTGTTCCATGATTTAAGACATCCGCAAAATTATCGCTGTTAAAAATGTGAAACTACAGTATTGAAAAAGGCGTCAAATGCATTGCTTGTAAACACACCGTCTTTTTTGTCGTGGACCAAGCTGAAAACGGAGACTGTTAAGAACGGTGGAGTAAAAATGTTTTAAGCGTCGCCTGAGCCATCAGCAATGTTTTCATGCAATTTGGTGTAGATTACATCAAATTGCATTCGCCATTCACAAAGAAAAAGGTGGTTTACGTCACAAAATTAATAAATTCACAATACTTGTTAAAAATACTATTTTAATAGATTGTAAGGGGGCCTCTAGAAATCACGGGGCTTATATGTTTGGCGGAAAGCATCAAATACAAAACGAAAAGTAAACTAGAACGCTGGTGTGGGTAAAGATATTTTGCTTAGGTGTATTTGTTGGAGGCGAAAACTTATGACTTTTCCGAGCGCATTAGCGCTTTGAGGGACTAAGAAGCGTGCGTTTGCAGACTGTTCCTCCATCCTTTGACAAATAATCTTATATAGAAGCAATTTTAATCAACATCTTAGCAGCAGAACTCCACCTTGAAGAGACTGCTTTTATTTTAAAAACTAATTGTGTTTAATTTGCTGTCCGGAAGAGAGTAGAAACAATATGATAGTTGTCATTGAAAACCATTCTGATATCCAAAACAACTGTCTTTCAGGGTATGGTTCGGTTGCATCTCCAGCGAAAGAAGAAAAAGCAGGTAGCAAACAAGAGGAAAGTCCACAAAAACAGAGTCCACTAAATGAAAGCTCACATGAAGTAGTGGATGGACGAAAGATGTTTGAGAATTGGTTGTTTGACAAGCTTTCCTTTTTGACAGCCATGGAACTCCAAGTTAGTAGATGTCTCTATACAAAGGCTGTCAGGTTGCAATTTTTTGATATACACTTAATACCTGTTTTCGAGAGAAACTGTATATTTTGTTTTCCAAGAGAGTGTATGTCTCTCGAGACAGATTCTAGGTAAGTTTTAAGATATCAAGGGAAACAACCTTTTTTCCAAATCAGTACCATTTTTCTATACTCAGAATGAACATTTCTTCCATTAATGGACTGATTAGGTATTCATCTCTTTGAATTCAAGAAAGTTCTCACACTCCCTCTTGTTTTCAAAGGTGACGGCTTGATTGTGTTATTTTTACGAACTTTAAAAGAGATCTAGCCTCAGGCTTCTGTCAGGTGCTGAATGCGTGCTTCTCCTAAAAATTGATCACGTCTAATGAATGAACCTTCGAGCGACACTTAGCGTGAAGAAGTTACACAGATATTACATGAAATTCTCTGAACTAGTTGAATGTGCTTTAACCCTTTTTCCTTACAACGTCATGCGCAAATCAAACGTTAAGGTCACTCTGATAATTGACATTAACCCCAACTAAAGAAGCTCTTGATTGTAAAACAAATTCCCCTGCCAGAACCTTATGAAATATATGAAGAACAGTTTGGAGAAAATACATAGTTTGATTATTTTATTGAGGATAAGGGAGAGCAGCAAATACTAAGCCCTAACTCACTTTTCAGGTTCATATGAAGAGTGCTGTATTATTCCTGCCAGAGAAGCACATTGCTCACGAGTTTGAAACCAACGATATTGCCTCTACATTTTCCACCCAATCCTTAAAAACGACAAACAATTCATTTCCACCCACACTGGTCATTTGCCTCCCAAGCTTTAAACTTCTTAGTGCAAACCACGAACCCATGTCCGTTAGGCAATCCCTGCCAGTGAAGAGACATCACAAAGACGCTACACGACGAGAAACGCTACCGTGGACATTAGAAGCAGAAAATCTAGCGGTGTACTCCGTGTACGTGAAGAAAAGCTCATTACTGAATGGAGGGGATTTTCAACCCGTTGTACATTATTTATTGTCAAAAGTGTCATCCACCGCCGTACTTGCATCTGCTCGAACATCATCCGTGCCAAGTTCCTCCCCACTGGCCCCGCTCCAGTTTCTCAAGCCGAGTAGCGCGAGTGGGAGAAGGGTTTCCATGCTTGGATTTTGTGTTCACACAGATTTTCAACCAATTGAAGTCAGCTGCTGTGGGAAGCAGGTGAGACTGGTTTAAGTTGAGTTGCATTTAGATTGACCGTCGCTAAACCAAAAAGCGATATCATTGCGACGGCTGATTAGAACACAATGAAGTATCACAAGGGGTCATTGAGAACTTGAGGTCAACTTATCTTATTGACAAGAGGCGCTCTACACATCAAGCGTGGTTGATGTTGGTTATGCCTGTGATTTGCTAAGGGGATTACGTGAGTTTGCCAGATCCTGAACCAATGCAAAAGGGTCACAATGGGGTCAACCAAAAGCCATAAACGGCCAAAAAATTTATCCGGTAGGCGTAAAAATTAACAATTTATAACCGATATTTCGTAAAAAAAAGTTAACCGCTAAAAAATTGGAAGGATTCTAACCGTTAGCCGTCAAATGGCCAAAATTTTAATCGTAAGCCGTCAGCCGTAAAAGCCATCACCTCATTGAGACCCTCATGCAACCTCGTATTTCTTACTTTCGACAAGGAAATTGGAAGCGTGTCATTCGTAATTGTTTTAAGACTGCTTTCACTCTTTTTCGCTTTCTTAGATGCAGTTAGTCGCCAACTTGTTGGAGGGTGTTCTCACAACCTGCTTTTCAACCCCAACATCTTCCTCTTCCGCCGACACTACTTCCGGTATGCCTACTTCCGTCACCCATCCCATCGCTCCAGCTATGAAACGGACAACCTCTCTTGCTTCATCATCCTTTCAAGACCAAGTAGAGAGTGAGATGGCACCAACCGAAACCGTGTCATCAACGACCTTTTCACAAGTCCAACAGGTATGCCAAAAGCAAAAGGGGGGTGGGTTGATTGGGCATGTCTGCTGAGGTCCTTATCAGATTCTGTAGAAAGCAAAAGCACCCGCTAATCTTTTGCAATAACTAAGTAGTCGTCTTTTATAATATCGTGGTCTTTCTTTTACTTCTTACTTCTTTCAGCCTTCCAACGCCATTCGAGTTTCCCTGTGGTTGCAATGGACTCTTCCTCGAGTCGTTGCTAATCTATATAGTCGATCAGCGGTCGATCATTCGGCTGTATGCGTCAGTGCCGAGTTAGAGGACCTAACAGCTTCAGTTGATTTCAGTGACACCATACTTCAAATGCAGTGCAAGATCGGAGCTTTCAATATTTCACACTTCACACACAGGTGTCTTTTTCAGATGTTTATGTGGTACAATAATGTATCTTGTTAGTGTTAATCATAACTTAAGGCGCACGACGGAATTTAGGTGATGTACATATGTAACAGACTGGGTTTGAAATGACGAACAAAGTTCTCTGACGGCACGAGGATAGTGATCGTGCGCGGACATCTGGGTAATTGGCAGAGACCAGTTTTAATGATAAAGTAGTAGTTTTCTAATTTACGTAGTATGCCAAAGTTACAAAAGTGTTCCAAGATAATGCAAAAAACTCCGTGTCTTAGTTTTAACACAAACCGAAGTTGCAAAATATAGGTGTGAACGTCCGCTAAGACTGAGTTTGAATTTGTTTTCATTTACAAAGCTCTGATGGTTTCTGGGAACTTGGTCATTTCAACGGCATATTGTTATCCTGTAATGACATCATCTCGTCCAAATCACTATTCACGTCTGCAAGGCGTCCGTCCAGCGGTCGCCGGGAAAATCCAGGCCCAGGAGCGCACGGATTTCTCACGATCATGTACAAACGCTCCTCCCTTCACTTAAAGAGACGCAGATCTTCTTCTGTGGAGAGGACTGGTAAAGAGGAAGACCAATATAAAGACCAGCACGAAGTGCACGTCAATATTCAGCCGTTTGATGTCGTGTTGTGGTGCCCAGCTATCGTTTCGGCTCTTAACACGTTTGATGTAAGCTTGTTAGAGAAGTTTCGTTATTTGTCTGAAGACAAGAATGACGCCGAGAAGACAGAAAATATGTTCATTCCTAAGAACGACGAAGAAGCGGAAAAAGCTGAAAGTCTCACTGTTAATGTTGAACTCTTACCACTTCTTTTTGTCAACATGAGAAATCTAAGATTGTTCATTCCGGGTTTATTCGCCGGGAAGGATCCAAACTCGGCACAGGAATCGGGAAGAATTCATTCTCAAGAGGACATGGCTGTAGTTCAACTTTCAACAGTCGCAGTTTCTCCTCACCCTGACAACCCAAACTCCAGGAAAGTTTTGAATCACAAGTTTTACGAAAAGTTTCGTAAATTCGGTCGTGGCTCCAGGCAAGCCCTGGGCTATGACATCCATGATGTACAGTACCAGATTGATCTGTGCGGGTTTGGCGTGTGGACGGGGAGTTGGGAACAACTCTGCGGGAAACACAAACATGAGGATGACCAGGAACTAGTTGGTATTGCAGTGGACCAGAATCCAGCACTCGAGTGGAACACTCAGATGTGGTATGTGTTTGTTAAAGATGTCGTATTCAGTGGTTTGACATAAAATACGAACAATCGATAAACCATGCTATATTGGCCTATAATTCAGATGAGGGTGTTCATGAAATGCGCGATGAATTATCAATCGATCAGTCATATAGCGGGTAGTAATGACGTAAACAACATGGTAGTTTCTGTTTATATCTATTTTTCATATGTTCAGTCAAATATCCTGTTCTTATGAAAGTTTTTGGTTGAAAAGGTCAAGATCAAGTGGCTGATTCATTCAAAGTTGTGTTGGTCTAGTCCGCCGGTCACTTGCACTCTGTTTTCTGTCTCATCCATTTAAATTCAAACCGACTCTTCCAGTTTGAAGTGGAAATTATTTTCTTAAAGAAGAGCAGCAACTCTAACCTGAAAATACTGTTATTGGCTAAATAACGAGGAAAATAAATCGAAATGAGCCATCAAAGGAAATATGGTATGATAATCTGGAAATACCAAGATGAAACACAGTTGTAGGTGTGTAATTAATGTACCAGATTGCTTAAAGAATGACCCTATGATTGGCTTTCTCTCTTTATCAGGCGTGGCACAGAGGAAGTTCGCGTCACTCAAATAATTTCCGGTTCAGACTTTAGAGTGGTTCTTGCTCCCGCGATATCAGTGGAGAAATACGTGGCAGTGGACCGCTCAACAGTGTCTGAAAGAATCCAAGTCTGCGGGTGGTCGCTGGAGTTTAATGTCGTCACAGACGTAGATTGTTTTCTTAACAAGGAACAGGTATACTGACACCAAAAGAATTAGATAATGCACTCATTGTTGTAAACCGGAGAGTAATCGCACATCGTATAGCACAAGTGTACATGTGTTCTTTACTCAAATTACAGTGTTTTTACCCAATTAACGCTGAGGCGTTTATCCAATTTTCAGCGTTTCGATGCAGCGTTTATTCAAGGGCTGCGTGTATTTAAAAATCATATCTCTCAAATTAGTCAGCAATAGATAAAACGTAATTATTATTTCAAAGGGAATCGTGGTTAAGTTCCAATAAGTCTTTCTTGGCCAAAATATAAACGGAATCGTACTTCTTTTCCCTTCCAATCCTCGACTACCTTCCCATTGTTGTGGCTGTGTGCAGCCTTCATTGTTTATTTTTCCTCAATTTGCGGCGTTTAATTGAGTAAATACGGTTTTGTCCAGACCCATACAGAAGTCATCTTCAGAGTCAAGTGAATAGTTTTTCGAGGTAGTTTTTTTTTTGTTAGTCGTTTGTGTGGCTGGCCAGCAACAAACGAGTCGAATTAAATGACCTGTTTTACCAACAGATTGATACTGACCAACTGCAACGGACGAACGCTAAATAGGCTCCATAGCTTTACGGCAAATCTGACAAATCAATTTCCTCAAGCTAAACTTACTTTGCATTCAACTGGCAACTCTCTTCAGGGATTATTATGATTTTTGGGTAACGCCAGAACCAGCTTCCCAAGTTGAGGTTATTTAGATACTTAGATACTTAGATACTTAGCAATAATCACGATTTTGAGTAACTAGCCTAGAACACAATGTAATTTTTTTTGACAGATTCAGCTGCTTCAGACTCTCTCTGCAGAGAATCTAAAAACCCTCTCCAATTCGTTGAGCGTACCTTTGAATGAGAGCGCCAAAGCGTCTTCTGACTCTTCTGTAGTCCGTGGCCCAGACGATGTCTTTTTGCAAAGTGTTGACAGAATCGACAGCGGGTTTGAGAGCACACGTAGTAATCTGTCTCCAAATTTCAGAAAAGACAGGAGTGGAATTTCAAAATTTCCTGTGGAAAAAGGCTCGTGCAATACGTACAAACCACCTGAAAAACAAAGTGAAGTTCCGTGGGAAGTCTTCCTTACCGGAAGGAAACTATCAGCAGCAGTTTACTCTCAATTTCTACTCGAAGATAAATTCGAAGACAGAGTCTTTGCCTCTAAACAAAGTATGCCGGGGAGGGGCAAATCTATTCAGATTAAACCTGTTTTACGAGTTGAACTGGTTCATCCTGCTCTGATCGTGAACACTCAGTCTAGTGATCCAAGGATTCAGGTTTCCTGTTTTGACATCAGCATCACTGGACCTTCTACTGAAAAAGGTACAAGATTTTCTTGCAAATTTAGTTGCAGCTGAAGGAGCAACGTTTCCGTTCGTGTATCTTTAAAATGTATATGTTGTCTACATTTTTCAAATCGATGCTAGCAATCCGTGTCAGTCATTCTCCTCAATCTTTAACCCTTTCATTCCCAAGATCTCATTAGTAATTCTCCTTAATGTCTGTCCTACAATTCTTATGATTTTAGGTTGGAGGATTTGGTATTGGGTAACTGAATAATCCCCTAATAGATATTTTTCTTGTTTCTCATCACTATTCAGCTCAATATTATAATGATATTGTAAGGAGAAATTCTGTCTTGGTCAGGTATGAGAGTTAAAGGGTTAGACATCCTGGTTTGTTTTGTACCAAATTCTTTGTAGCTTTTTTATTTTCAAGACCATACTGCTATTCTTAAGATACTTTCAAATTAACGCAACTTTGCTCGTTGCCGAAAAAAACTGCCTGTGAAGTGCTTTTTGAGAAGGTTGAATTGATGTAATGCGAGAAAACGTGGACGTGATGGGAGATCAGCGTGGAGGAAACAACACCCTGGTAAGGTGGGCTGACACAGATGTTGGTTAATACTCTTGAAAACTGACGCATGCCATTGTTTTTCTTTTGTTCCAGTGTTCAAGCCGCTGCCTGATCCAGCTGATTATACTGAGGATTGGCTTAAAAGTGGAACTGGGCTCCCTGATCCTCACAGTGGTATTCTGCCATCACTTGTGACTGTAGACATCACAGATTTCCTTTGTGGCAAAGGTAATAAACAGGAATTACTTTCTTACTGGCTTAAAAGAATTCTCAAAACGCTAATGTCTTTAGAGATTTCATACATTCCTTGTTCACAAAGCGCAAAGTAGACGTGACACAAAATCAGATTCTAATGTAAATGCAACTGTTCTTTTATTTCAGCTGACGTGTTTGTAGAACTGGGCCGTTCTCTTCACCTGAACTTAAACCTTGAAATGGCTGAAGAAATGACAGAATTCCTAGACGGCCTGGTCGTTCTTAAAGAGGAGCATTTAGGAGCCAAGGGTACCCAGATGAGAGCGTCAGGAAGGACATCTCCTTTGAGGTCCTTTTGTTTGAATACCTCGGAAATATTTATTCATATGGAGGCTCCTCCAATTCCCGGCAAACCCAAACTGCTTGGCAGTCTACTTGGAATTGAGTCAAAAATTTGTCTCAAACTCGATGAACAAGGTATGTTTGAGCAGATCATGTGCGTACTTGTTTTTGTAATTGCCTGTTTTAAGGTTATTCCACAGTGAGTCTGTGGACAAGAACACAGATAAAAGCTCTCCGGTCCTCAATTAAGCCTTTAAACCCCAACATCAGTATACATATTCTTCATACTGTTTTCTACACATTCCCTACGGTGCTGAAAATGAGAATGTGTTTAACAATCAAGAGCTTCCTTGTTGGTGATTATTTCTTATGTTCTCGAGACCCTAACGTGTGGGGGAGGGGGGAGTATTGTAAGGAGAAATTAGATACAAGTCACTCTTGGGGTTCAGAGGATTAATGAAGTTAACCATCAGAGAATAACGGGGGTAAGTTTCTAATGAAATTGTGGTGCTGCGTCAGTGGGAGAGTATAACAGGTAATTTAGTGTTAACAACTGGGTTGAAAACGTAAATTGGCCACCATAAAGAATAAAAAAGCTGACGTTTCGAGCGTTAGTCCTTCGTCAATCGCTCTGACGAATGGCTAACGCTCGAAACGTCAGCTTTTTAACTCTTTACGGTGGCTAATTTACTTTTTAACGCAGTTGTTCACACTAAATTACTAACCATCAGAGATCTTATTATGGGAATCATTAATGTCAACTAAATCTCAGTTTCTTCTCCATGGCTCCAAAAATCTCAATAGAACAAAACATTCCATACTTAAGGAATATTTATTTAAGAGTTTTTCGCTTTTAACTTTCTGTATCTTATAATAAAATCTTCTCAATTCGAGTGGAGGTTAATTATTTTCATTCCAAACGTGTATTTATACTATTGTTTGTTTTCGGCATTTCATATACAAGGAAACTTAAAACGAGCAGACACAAGATTGCAGTTACATGGAGTGGGTTTATCTACCTCAGTATACGACAGATGTCGTTCGCTGATTCATCCGTTTAGCTGCTCCGTCGATTTGGAGATGGTTTGGGAGCCTCACAGTCGCGATCTGTGTCTGCAGAGGTATGTGTTTAATTTCTAGATAACTTACAGTTTGTTTTCCACCGGAGGCGTGTTACTGCTTTTCAGAGGTGGATCCAAGGAACCCCCTTTCCTCGTCAGACCCGTGGACCTCCTGTCGGACACCAATGTTCAAACGTCAGGATCGCGAGTTACTACTCAGTATGAAGTATTTAATACTTACTTGCCTTGAAAAAAATCACAGCTTATTCTAGGCTGTGGTGTAACAAAAAACAGTATTTTTTTTTTCTGAATCAAAGTTTATTCCCTCCCTCTCCCCTCCTTGTTCTAACTTGCCTCCTTCAAGAAGGGTGATGATCTCCAAGCCGTTTCTGTTACGCAAAATTTTGTTGCTGCTACATGTTCTGGTTTTTTGAGAACAAGTTAAAAGCAGACAGCATTGTTGTCTGAATGTTTTTGTTGCGTCCTAAATCTTCCTGCTTCACATACCGTCGACGACTTTAAGTTGACTCGGAAATTCTCCTCTGATGCAATGTTTAAAAACTGGAACCAGAAGTGGCCACAGAAATTAACGTGTGTATTATCACACGTATTAGTTTTTCATTTTTTCCAATTGGACGTCTAAAGTTGTTTTGCAATAGTTTGTTTGAAAACCCGGTGGTTGCCAGTTTGTGCTCATATGATAAATATCCTTGTTTGACCGAATAAGCTTTCGTTACTTGTTTTTCTTGCCAGTGGCCGCGGTATTCCTCAGCTCTACGCGGTTATTGAAGCCGGATTCGTACAGGTCGATGTTGGTCAAGAGCACGTGGCTTGCCTTAGTGTCCTCGCTGATCTTGCTAAACAGTTTTTCAGTCCAACCACGGTAAATCAAGAAATGGAGGAACATTGTGTTCATAAGAGTGATCTCACACCCGTGAAACCTGAGCGGGTTGTTCTATTTGAGTCTTTTGACGATATTCGGGCTGGCTGCTTTAGATACGTAACTGCCTCAGGTAATGGAGAAAAAAGTGTCATTGAAACGTGTACAAAACAGCCTTTTAGTCTTTCTTGAATTTTGAGTTTACTGACTGGCCATGGCCATGTACTTCAGAACAAGTTTCAACAAATTATGTTTGCCTTGTTACAGGGGAGGGAGAGGCGCATCATCCAGAGCCGTGGGAAGTTGTGTTTACATCGGAATTTAGTGAAAGACCTCCTGCGATGACTTGGAGATACCCCGAGCCCCGAGCACTGTCTGCGGTTGATATGGTACCCCTGCCTCTGTCGACACCTGTTTTGGTGAACACTTTGAACATGGGCGATGAATATCAGGTATCACATGATATGCTAAAGCATTTTGGAATAATTTTGCTATCTGTGGTCTACACACAAAGTGTAGGTGTAGGTAATTTTGTAGCTCTAAAGAATTAACGAGTTATCCAAGTTGTAGCCAAAAGCTAATTCAAGTGTTCTTAATTTTGCTTTTATTCTTCTCAGGTACCGTGTGTTCTTCGGTATTGGGATCCAACTCAGAAATGTTTCATTACTTACAAAGAGTTCACCCTGTCGGAGAATAATGCAACTCACATTCCACTCCCTGATCCCTCTAAAGCCCACCCCGCAGAAGTGATTGTCGCTGCCGAGTGGCAGATGGTAGTAGACGTGACGGTGGACATTGAATACCCGGATGATAGAAGGTTCGTGACACAGTCACACAGTTAATTTGTATTTATGAATAAGGGAGACTAATATGGTGAACTTGATCCTAGAATTCTCCATTTTTAAGTTTTTGCACTGTCGTCTCGTTGGTGATTTACCTGTAAAAGAAAAAAACATTGATGCGTAAGGTGATAGGTCTGTTCCAGTTGTTCTTGTTGATTGATAGTCTTATTGGTTGCTGTTCTTTCGGATGTCGCGTAGGACTCCTAAGTAAATCTTTTGTGATACATTACAGACCTTTACTAGGTTTGATCTTCAGGCGTGAGTAGCGCTCATACCAACAAAGTGGCGGCCGGAGGCTCCGTAGTGAAGCAAATCGTGAAAAAAGCTATCTAGATGCGTATGGTTCTTGGCGATCTCAGTTGTTTTGTCTGCAGTTAAAGGTTCAGGGTTATTATCTTGTGTTTCCTTGACTAAGTACTTTAGTAGGCAAACTTTTATTGTTTTTTCACAGCCACGATGATGATGATTACATAACCACCTCTTATGCGTCTCCATACCGGTCTCTACTGAGTGCTGCTTCACTGGCAGCTTCTGTCAAAGTGAACTCTGTGGTGAAGCCGGATCTCAATCCCGCCTTGTCAGCTCAGCTGAATATCAGCATGTTACAAGTCAAGTTCACCAATCACCTGCACGCGATCGGCCGAGGTAAGATAAAGATTATTCTGTCTTTTCTGCTTATATGGTATGTTTTAACGTAACCTTTCTCGAATATAGAAGAACACTTCTCGTTCAGCTCTTCTTCTTTTTCTGTATGCATTGGAACTGTTATCATTTTAGTAGACTGTTAAAAAGAAAAAGAACGGTTAAAGCCGTTGTGTGGTAGAGAACAACTGCTCAGAAAATTTGGGAGAATATAAGCAATTCTTCGGAGACTGCCTTTGAAAATGGTGTGCTGAAAAAGTAACTCTTTAACTACATCTCCTTCACTTCTGGTTTACAAAGGTTTGCTCGGCTCTTAAGTTTAAATTTCTGTAGTTAATTCGGGCTTTGCCCTCATCAACTATCACAAGATAGAAACATCGAGCTCGTAAGCTTATTTTTACAATTATAGGCTGGTGAGGGGCAGTGTTACAGTTTCTGTCTCGCCCAACGCATGAGCCGTGTAGGGCTCGTACCCAGACTTTTCAATCACAATCCAGCGCCTGTACACTCACTCCCAAGAACTCGTTTATTAAAGTAACTATTTCGTTCTTACATTTGTAGTTATTCCCCAGTACCTAAGGCAGTTTACTATAGATCCCTTTCTCCCAACGGACCAAGAATTTTTACTTCTGAGCGTTGAGGGGCTCAGTGGTGTCATCAAGGATGTTGGAGGGACTGGAGGGTTCTTACAAGTTCAGGCAGAGTGGAACTGCCACGCGCAGGTGCTGGACTATGGGGACCTTACCCATAGACCTCTCTTGAGCCCTTTTGATGTGGGCCTTACCGTGGCCATGTACCACGAAGGAAGAGTAAGACAGTCGTTCCTGTGGTAATTTACATCAGAAAAATTTAAGATTGATAACACAAAAGGAATTCGTAATCAAGAGGAAAATGCCTTTGCTTGCTTGCTAAGTATCGATTTGAATGTTCTCAGCAACAATGTGGCTGTTTGGAGTTAGTCTCAGCTTTCGTTCACCTTGATAAACTACTCGTTATCAGCTTTGTAACAACAATTGTAGAGGAATCAGTATATTATGCTTTTTTAATTGGGTTTGTATTTTATTTCATTTTTACTCTCATAGGGGTTGGGAACGTGAAGCCAACGTTGATAATGTTCCATTCGCCTCCAAATGAATTTCTGTGTCAATTGAAGTTCTAAGGAAAGAATCCATGATTCTCATCTTTCATATCATTCATTTGTCTGTCCCCAAATTAATCTTCATTTTTAACTTAAATTTGTTATGTTGTTTCTCTTGGTTGCTTTGATGTTATTCTCTTATTACGCAGACCGTGCCCCCTAAAGCCGAAGATCGCCCCACGGTTCCCCCTGTGTGGATTGATGCTAGTCTTGAAGCGGGAACAATCTTGGCACATGTCAGTCAAAGTACAATCCACACAATCGCACTGTCCGCCACGGCTTGGTGTCAAACTGGACAGAGTGAGGCTCAGAGGGTTATTTTTAACCATTACGTTATCTGCAATGACACCAACGAGGCTCTAAGATTTGGTCAGGTGAGGAAGGAATGGGTTAGGAATGACGGGTTGCTGATGTTGTTGTTGGTTGCTACCTTTACTACGGTAGAAATACGTTTTGAATTCTGGAATAACGATTTCTACGGAGCAGAAAAAAGGAGTCTCTTCTGAAGAAGCGCTTGTTCACTAATTTTATCCAATTCCAGTACTGTTGTTTCGTTGACAGCACTGTAAAATGAAGACAGGACTGTAATTTGGTGTAATTTTGTCCATTCAGTTACTGTAGTATTTGAGACGTTTTACTGATACTTTAGTATAGTTTTTATTCGTTTTAAACAAGTTGTCAGTTTAAGGTAGTAATTTGAAGTATTATGTACTGTATAAGAACCACTTATTCTACCGTCTGTGATTGGTCACTCTCTGAACCAACATTACCATTTAGATTGGCTGTTGTGATCAAGATACAGCAAGCCATTGAAGAGTGTTCATATTGTTGTTTTTTCCCACGCCTACTTTCAGGTGGACACAGACGAGTCATTGTTATTAATGAGCCGTCACGTGCATGCGTATAGTTGGCGAACACCACATACTGTGAAGGCCTGCCCCAGGCTACACGTGTGTATCGAGACCGAGGGAGACTGGCGCTGGTCAGAACCTTTTGATATTGATACTGTTGGCGTGTTTAGTCGAACTATTCATCATCGTCTACACAGTGCAACTCTGTTCATCGAAGTTAAACAGCTTTCTGGTATGCAGAAGCAAGTAAGTCTTTCAAAACATCTACTGTCAGAATCGGCAAGGATAATTGGTCAATAAACTTCTCTAAATGGCAAGCTTCATTATCGTTCTGTAATGTGGATGCAAATGCGCCTTCTCATAGATTTTCCGCGACTCCTTGACCCCCAAGTACTGATGTCATTGGTTGATAAGTGATTCCGTGCACGAGTTTCAATGTATTTCGTCAAGTATACATTTCCATCATACGTTTCCCCTCATCGAATGTGATTTATGTGTTGGAAAAGCACGTGATCTGGGCGTGGCAAAAGCCGATGGCGTGATGCTTTTGCGCTATACGTCAATGAAAACAGCCGATATTTACAAATGTGTTGACCAAAAGATTGAAGTTTAACGTAGTGGGCGTCATTTGCCATTACTAAGCTAATGGTAAGGGGAAGTCCCGTGTTTCAACTTCAGGATTTCCTTTTGAAGGTTAAGGCTATGCTTTTGAGTAAATTTCAGCAAAATATATTCAGCCGTTTCAGAATTATGATTGTTCTAAGCTTTTTGTTGATTTATCAGCTGCGACATCATACTGTTTACATACGCACAAAGAACAGAAATGGGCTATATTTCCTACGTGGACTTAAAACTGTGCTTTTTTCACAATTTTTTTTATGTCTGTTTTTTTTCAGGTTATCATTCGCGGAAGTCATATCATTGTTAGTCGCCTTTCAATCGATGTTGATGTGCAGATTCTTACCAACCCCTCCCTGAACACTGAACAGTCATCCAAAGCCCGTTACCAGGTACTGTTGATAAAATTAGGGATGATAAAGCAATTTTCAATCGAGTGTCGAAAGTAATCTGGGATTGCATTGGTTTTGCTTTACTTTACTCTGTGATTGGTCCGCAAAACTGGCGCCATTCCCTCGATCAATCAGATACAAAACTAATACCAATCACTACTTGGTCGTCACACGCGTTTTCCCGCGCTTCAGCCGGGCTGTTTGGTTGGTTTTACTCTGCGTTCTCATTGGCTCTTTGGACATATTCCTTTCCTCTGATTGGCCGTCGTGATAAGAATAATCAACGATGGAGAGGATAAAAGAATTATATATGGTGAACTTGAAAAATCTTTTCAACCATTTTAAGTTCCGCCACTTGATTGTGATGTAGTTCCTCAAGTATCCAAAAGCTATAATTCTTAGGAAATTAACTTTGGTTTTGATAATGGTGTTGAAAACCACCATTTAAAAAGTCTGCTCAATTTAGGTTCTTGAGGATGTTTCCCTGCCAGCCAACACAACATTGCCATCTTATGTCATTTCTCACGGCGGCCTAGCAGGCATGCGCATTCGTATTCCTAACGATACCACGTGGTCTGACGCGTTACCACTGGAGTATGGAGAGGGAGAGAGTACAGGGCATCATTGTATTGTGCAGGTAATTATGGGCATATATTTTGATCTATTTATGTTTATAAGTTTGCTAAATCAATCATGGCGATGACAAGCGGCACCGAAAGTGAACGCTCCTGTCAATCAGATCATGACTGCTTTTTGTCCCTGACTCAGAGCCCACTTGGGAAACTAAATCATGATGCATCCATCAATTGAAAATAGGGGAAAAGCTCAGGCGAAATAGTAAAATTTCAATCCCCTTTTGTACTTTACTTTCTACATTTTCTGTCTCTAAACCTTGATCTTTCCAGTGCGAACTACTGTGAAGGACGTCGCACGGCTTTGAAATTTTTATAGGAATTAATTTCCATAGATTTCATGTGGCTGTCAATTTGACTGTTAATACCTTTGCACTTTACTCGACGTCGTTTTGAAAATAGGCTTCATCCGAACGAGCCTAAGGTAGAACTTTGCTCTTGAAAGAAAGGCCTTTGGTGAAAAGCTGTTTACTTTTTTACAGCTTCTCGGAGTTAAAGATTTCCAGACGTTTTATTTCTGGTACAACTTAGAGAAACCTGGATCTCCAGATCAAATTAAGGTAAGCATTTCTCTTTACCTTTGGACTGCATCTTGATTTTGGTGTGCAGGACGTGACCAATTGTACGACAGTTGGATTTCATTTTTGCTTGATATTGAAATAATCAAAAGCAATTTTTTGGGTGTGCGGCGTCAAATAATCTACAAGTAGGAGTGTGTTGGTGAACGCCAAAGGTCGTTGTCCGCCAAAGTCAGCGTTTGAAGAAATAAAAGCATAGGATTTCTCCGTTGCATTCTTTTAAGTCTGAGTTGGCAAGTTTTGCATGGCCCTTTGAGCTATTTTTTTTTCCAGTGGCGCTTTAAAAACGTTTTATTACCGAAATTTGAGTTTGTGTCCTTGCCTCAAAAATCTTGAAGTGTCTTGCGAAATAAAACGTCACAACACTGCGTTTTGTATGAAAAAATTGGAAAGAATTTTCTTTCAAAAAAAAAGTTAGACGAGGGTGTTCGTCTTGCATAGATTTGACTTTTGTTCTGCAAGACTGTAGAATTTCACTGCTCCACTATTGTCTTATTGACATTGCTTTCTAGGTGACCTTATCTCCTCTGTTTGTTATGCGGAGCCATCTGCCCGAACCAGTCCTCATGAATGTATTCACGGCCAATACGAACTCGGCTTCAGTCCTTCAACTGCAAGGCCGAGCACGTGAACAACAGATGTATAGCCTAATTCCGAACTCGTGGCATCACCTGACTTTTCAATTTACTGGCTCAAGTAAATGGTCCAGTCCCTCTGTGCCACTGAATACCACACTGATAGAATTAGCTAATAGGATGAACAATAATGACGATAAGGAAGAGGACAGACCGCTGGCTGATATTTGGCCGTACTGCGAGAATCATCAGTATTTTCGGTAAAGGCAAACACTGTTCTACCTCTGTTACTAACTGGTACATCTGTACTATATTGAAGAAAAAGAATTCTCCAGAAACCTCCTACATTTTTATTTCCGCCGGTAGAGGAGAGTATTTACAGGTTAACGCACTTAGCGAATTATTATCGGGATTTGACAGAGAAACTTCAATACTCGGCTTGCCGAGTGCGGTATTGACAATTCCGAGTTCATTGTTTGTGAACGATAATTCACGAGCAATGAGTTCGTCCACATTTTTATTATTCAAATTGAATACACTGCACAAAGAAACAGTGCATTGAAACCACTATATGCTGAACTGTTGACAACACGTAAAAACGCGTTAACTAACTTGAATGAAGAATTTAAAATTCGCAACCTTTCCTTTCAAAACAGATATTCCCCAAGCAGTTGCCTTCTTGGTGTTTCTAGGTATTGCATTATCATTAAGAGAATCACTAACCGCATCTGACAAATCTTCCAACTTTGAGTCAGCCGTAGCTATGGTGTAAGGACAGTGGTGGGTTGAATTTACACCACGGCTATTACACCACGATAATGACGTCAAGGAGGTTGTTTCGTAACAACCCAGTATCACGTAATACAAGTCTATCAATCAGAAAATCGAAATTCGTACAGTGAATAAAAGTTGAATAATAAATAAAATTACTCCGAGCCTTTTTTCCGTACCAAATGTAAGACGCTGTGTATATACTCACATTGTCTTATAAAATTTTGTAAGGAGGGAAATTTATCTTAGACACATTTTCCAAAATCAGGTCTTGATACTACTTTTCAAAATATTTTTTTAGGCGATGTGATATTATATCAGAGGAGAAACCAGAGTCTTCTCTGGTGAAGAATTTATCACTTGGTGGTGACGTGAACGAGGATAAAACACAACTTGGAACCAAGATAGATGCACCTTCTCAAGGTCAAAGTTGTTTGTTACGTGATTCGTATGACTTTGCTTTATTTTTTAATGTGTTAAGAAACTTATGACAACCGGAATGAGAGGATAGGTGTCATGCTTTGTTTGAAACAATAATTTAACTCTACAGGCTGACAGTTTCAAGACGTAAGGAGAGAATTGTTACTGTGCTTTAATACTTTCACTCACAAGAACCCGTGAGAAATTCTCGTTATTGTGTGTCATACAATTCTTATGTTGTTAGTTTGGAGAGTTTGGTGTTGGATCAACCGATAATCAATCCTCTAATTGATATTTTCCTTTATTCTTATCACTTGTCTGCTTGATATTGTATGGATATTGTAAGGAGAAATTCCGTTTTGGTCAGTCACAGGGGTTGAAGGGTTAACCAAGGGAAGGCCATGCGTAACACATCACAGAACGACAAAAGGCAAAAAACAACAACAACAACAAAATAAAAACGCAAATGACCGCCCGACTGATTGCACGCGAAATTTTGAGTGTAGCAACAATCTGGCTCTACAAATTATCTTCATAACCGCCATCATCCATGATTTTAGAGAATGTAATGCTTTTACTTGCAATTTATTTCTTTGTACAGATATGCGTGAAAACCCGTCCTCAATCCCTGCTATTGAGGTACAGTGCCGCGTGATAAAACGGTGGCCTCATCTCAGCTCGCTATTGGTTGAAGTATTACCCTGGTGTTTGCTGGTTAACAACATTGCTGTGCACGTGATCATCAGGGACCTGGAACGAGACGTTGATATAGATTTGCCGAGTGGCTCAGTCGTGGCGCCTCACAGAATCACAGTATGAGAACTCATATTGTTTTTGAGAATTATTAAATCGTCCTAATCAACCATAGTACATTACGCGCCTATACTGTTAAATCCGTCACTTTCACTCGTCATTGTTTTGGTTTGTTTGTTTTTTTTTTTTTATTCGCGGTTCTCAAACATGTGCATCCTTGCAGGCGTATTCTATCAGCGACTTAAATTTGGTGTTTTCGATATCAAATCACAAAACTCAACTTTTTAGGTTGAAAAGAAAGGTTTCTTTTTAACTTGACACAATAGTAGCTTTTTCCTAAGTTGACACCTGTGGAAATTTGAATGTCATTTTTGTTTATATGCCAAAACACAGCTTTAAATTATTCTTGGAACATGTTAGCAACTAGAACATCATTTAATCAATGCTCAAACATAATGAAAACGAGGAGTAGGGTTTTTTTTTTGGTTTCTTGGTTCTTTTTTTGTTCTTTTGAACCAATTGACTGTCTAGAAATTATTTACTCAGGGAAAAGTGAAGTTTGGTGCTTATTTTGGAAACAAAGATGGCAGTTGGTCCGAAGCAGTGTCTCTTCCATCGGATTCACCCAGCACTCGAGAGGCATCCTCAAACGATGTCGATGAAGGCCTGTCTGTTCCGATCGCTTTCGTGTTGAGTTCGGGTGATATTCGTGGTGCTCGTTGGACCATTACATCTCGGATGTGTCGGGGAATCAAGATCGTATCAGTTGAGCAGAGATTTCAAATGATAAACAATTTTGGAAAGCCTTTAGTTGTCCATCCTGTTCTAGTGACCTCTGGCAAAAAGGTAACCAATGATCATTCTAATTTGTGTTATCTTTTAGCAAATGTCGAACTCGACTTACAACACACACTCTCTTCAAAGCTTTTTCTCATATTTTTATGCTGAGTGTTTTTAAAGTTCTTTTATATCTCTATCATCCAATTGGGTGGAGGAAAGAATTAAGGTATTCAATAACTTTTCCAACGTTTTCTTTCAAGGAGAAAAGTGAAGCCTCCTTGCGAAGTAAATTACCGTTCAAAACTCGATGTAGTCTAAGAATTTCTAGATTTTTTGAAAAAGACGACCGCAGCTCCATGTTGACAATCGCTGGCTTTGGAGCGGAGGGGATTAGAGGGGGGAGGACTTGGAAAAGACTTCAAAGTTATTATGTAAAGATTGGGTAAGCGGCTTAACAAATTACTGTCTAAACAAAGACTATGGTATCCATGATTTGTGGGGTTTTTTTTAACAAGGATTATTAATAGTAATGTGTCGAAAATAATCCGATTTGCATTGGTTTGTCTTTCCTTCGCTCCGTAATTGGTCCTGAGATCACTCGCTACCGTCACTACTAGTCAGATATAAAATTAACGTCGGAGTCCATTTACATTCGTTTTTTCAGAATTCTCGTTTACCCAATGTGATATTTACTCTGTGTTTGATTCATTATGATTAACTAGACACTCTTCCACTGTAGTAACTATTGCAGCTCCTGCTTTTCCCAAACAAGGGATTTAATCTGTGAAATAGGCTTCCTAACCAGGATGCTCATTCCTTGAATCAATAGATACCAGTGGATAATCTGACCCGAGCTACTGCAGTTAGTTTGTCCAGCGATCCCAAGCAGTTTATGCCTATCACCTCTTGGGACGTGCCTTCTTCCACCGCCGTAGTAGTCAATGAAGAAGGGGAATCTTCATTTAGTGGACAAACATCTCCTGTGTTGTTTCTCGCCTTTGAAAAAGAACCGCAATCTTCAACTAGTGAGGTGAAAAACCTTAAATGGTCACGTGCTGTGCTGGTCACGCCAGAAGTAACTCGTCAATCCGTGGCAGTATCCGTCGATGATAGCGCTACACTCCCTGTAGTTGTGACGTCACACGTTGCCAACGGTATAGTCAACATTGTTGTCTCCCCAGATCCATCACCCCGTCTGCTTCTCCAAAACGACTGCCCCTTCACACTTCAGTTTGGGCAGGCAATACCTCCGCAAAGCCCCAGCCACGTCAGTGATTCTCCGGAAAAGATTGTGGTCGTGGAACAAATGCAGGGATTGGGTGAGATTCCCGAAATTGTGGCCTTCAGTTCCACTTATTATGAACTTCCTGTCATGCGCGAATGGTTTGCTACTTCTAGTGAGGTGCAGAGGCTTCCCGAATTGCACATCCAAGCGTTGTACGACGTGAACGTGGCAGAAATATCAGAGGAAGAAGGTGAGCGGGGAGAGCTAGCTGCTGAGATGACAACTGAAGTTCCTCAAGGGTGGAGTAATGGCTTTGACTTGAACTCTTTAAGGGAGGTGTGTGTCAACTTGCCTGGGAGGGGACAGGTTCTATTGACTGTAACTCAAGAAAGACTTTGTACCTGCGTTAAGGTCCAACCGTTGGAAAAAGATCGTGCGAGGGACAATACAGTTCAAAGTGTATCGCCTGTCTCACCAGTCATCCATGCTGATTTATTCATTTGTCAGGTAGGGGTGACGATTATAGATGAAGTTACGAACTTCCGAAATCCTTACGAAGTTTTCCGAATAACTGCTGAAGGTGTCTCCGTGAAACATTCTGCGGAAGAAACTTTGAGGGATAGAAGTCATGATTTCCGGGACTTGTCTTTGTGCGTTGGAGCAGTTCAGGTCGATAATCAATTGCAAGACGACATGTACGAGTTTTCAGTGATTCTAACACCAAGCAATGCTCCAATGACGATTAAGAGAGTGCCGTCGCAGCGAAGACCTGGTCATCGCTCAAGAGCTAAGCCGCTGGTCAGTATCAAAATTGTGTATGAGCCTGGTCCGAGCGCAGAAGACATATTCCTTAGCTCTGTATGTGTTACTCTTCAACCGCTGACAATGTACATCGAGGACACTTTTCTTTATCGTCTAGGGGATATGGCCGTATCATTTCTGCCTCCTCTTCTTTACCACTCGTCAACGTCAGTTAGTCACTTGGAGGGTGATCGACATAAAATTCTAAATGCAGCTTGTTCAAATGTTCGACCAATATTAATGGGCGAGCTGAAAATAACTCCCGTAACGTTTAGCGTCACTCTCCACGGCTCTGCCAAGCTCTTTTTGTCTGTTGATGATTCTCCTCTATCTCTTGGCCAGTTTCACATGTCTCCGGTTTATCTCCCAAGTTCTGCCCTCGTTCAGAAGCTCACTTATCATTACGTGACCGCAGCGCTATTCAAGGCAGGCTGGGTATTGGGTTCTCTTGAACTTCTCGGGAATCCCGCAGGTTTAGTGAGAAGCTTTAGTCAAGGGGTAGCTGATTTCTTTTATTTACCTTATGACGGGCTGACTCGCGGGCCTGGCGCGTTCGTGTCGGGCATGTCCCGAGGCATGTCGTCTTTCGTTAGGCATCTTTCCACCGGTGCATTGACGTCCATCACGAGTCTTGCGTCAAGTATGGCTCGGAACCTGGATCGACTAAGTATGGATCGCGAATATCTCCGACTGCTAGAGGAGCAAAGATGCAGAAGACCAAAGAAAGTGCTAACAGGTACAATTTAGTTGTTTTTTTTCTTCTTCCACTTTATGTTAAACCTAAGGACTGTCTTCTGTGAAGCAGCAGTTAAACTAGCACAATGAAACCTCCAATACGAAAACTTCTACAGGATTAGAGAGAGTGATCCTTGCTTAGAGATGTGTCTTCGAAAAGGTAACAGGTACAGAAGTCAGTGCAGTGTTTAACTCACTTGCCACCACCTTTTGTGTCCCATGGTCGGTTTTACTACTGTTAAGGTATCTCAAAAAAGGAGTTTTATTGTCCTTTCTGTCATTCTCTCGAGTAATGTTATTGATCCACGCCCCAAAGGGGGGCTCATGCCTTAACAGGATTTGATAATCAAGCACTGGGTTACTGAATCTCAGAGACAAAGCACGACAAAGTGGGTCGTGAGAAGTTTCATAAGTTTGGCGCTTGTTTGGTGTGTTGTTCGAACGTTTCTCTTCAAAGCCAAGGTGGCCGTAAGCCTAAGATTAATTTATCTTTCGCAGGATTATCGAAAGGGCTTGGAGGATTCGGTCTCAGTCTCCTAGGCGCTGTAGCGGGTATAGTAGATCAGCCCATCCAGGGAATACGGCAAGCTAATGATGTAAGAGAAGCGGCCAGTGGTGTCATTACTGGTGTAGGAAAGGGCCTAATAGGTGTGGTTACCAAGCCATTGGGTGGCGCCATGGAGCTGGTGTCACAGACTGGGCAGGGAATCCTACAGGGGGCTGGTTTAACAGAGCTGCCAAATCGACTCTTCGATCCTGGAGAAAGGTTGGCGTTTTCTGCGAAGAACAGCCATTTGAAGTACTTCTGGTAAGGCGTCTTGTGTTTCTCTCGATTTTTCAGTTTCATAGCAGTTCTGTATCCCGCTTATTTTCGTTAAGTTCAGCCGTATATTTTACTACAAGGTTTATATTTGCAACAATTGTAACAATGATTAGTGTTTTTATGGCAAGGAGCATTTTTTTATACTGACGGTATTCCATAGAGATCACTTTATTTGGCTTTTACTTTTCTTGCCTATCGTTGCATACTTACACCATGGCATCGTTGCACTGTTGCAGAGAAGCTGTTACCAAACTGCTTTAACTGGCTTAAAGTTCAAAATCAAAGCATTTGCAGCAGCTTTATCTCTCATTGGGAAGATGAGTTTGGAAACCTTCTTTATCTAAGAACCATACATTCATTTTATATTATCAGGAAAATGCTGCACAATCAGGAAGATCTTGATCTTCTTCTTCACTTGGAAGCGACTGTTGTGACATCATCTGGGCATGACTATGATGGAACTGTGCTTCTGACCAGAGACACGTTATTCATTGTGGGCCAGGCCGCAGATACCATCCAGCAAACTCTCTTTATTAAGGACATTGACTTGCAAGAGGATGAAGAAGACAATAGGAGTGTTGCCGTTGTAAACCAAGTAGTTATTGCAAAGGACGAGAGCGAAGAGGCGGATGGAGTGCATGACAGTGGTGACCCAGACCGCTTGAGGCAGTTCCTTAAAGATGCGCGGGCTCAGGCATTAGAGCAAATGGCTACCCTGGATAGCTCTGACAGTAATTTGACTTCTCCCGGTCAGAAGTTCGTTTTGCTTGTTGACCCTATGTTAAGAAGAACACTTTTGTTACAGTTTCAATCGGCTAAGAGGAACTTAATTTCAGACCCGTAGCTTCCCTTTCCACATGAAAGGGCTCTTTTGTCGTCTGGACGAAGTCTTGAGACACATCTGTTTTTGTGGAGAAAATAACCGCGAAATTAAACGCCGCGCTAACCCTAAGCCAACCATCCCCAGTCAAATGAAATTTTTTGCGCTTAACTTTTAAAGTGATAATTTACGTTCTTCAAAGTAGGGTTCATTTTAAACATCTACGAATCATCTCTTGTGTAAACCCCCTGGTGAAAAACTCAAAAAGTAAGACAATTTGAAAATGTTAGGCTTTTTCTTGTTTATTTTTTATAGCTTGATACATATGGCCTTCTAAGCAAAAATATCGCCAATTCACGGGAAAACACTTCTGAACAATTTGCTTGCCGTTCGCTATCATGAAGTGTTAAATAATTCCTGTAAGAGAATTATAATTGTATAAGATGAGGTATAATCACAGGGTATGATTATTGCCAGGGTATTGGAAATGGAAAACATTTTCAACAGGAATTTGTTCCTAGGGAATATAACTTATCTCGATTTTATAGTACAGATATTATTGTTAAGAAGTGTGGCTTACACTTGCTATCATATTTAAGTGCACTATCCTAGCTGAATTAGGAATAATCAAGATTCTTGGTGGGGAGAAATTGTTGAACAATATTTAAACGAATCGCTTTAGGTTTATATATATATGCATAGAAGTAATTTGTAAACAGGGGATTAGAAATGTTTGTACCACAGATGTACAGAATAATCATTCAAATAAAGTTGTCTGAATTTGATTACATGGATACTTATGAAAATTTACGCACTGCAGTACAGTGCGTTCAAAAAACCTGTCGGAAAAAGGGGAGAGACCACTTTGATAGCAATAAGTGGTTACGCTATTAATAGTACCGTTGAAATGGTGAATCGTCCGGACCTGGACTTTTGGGAGTATAAAGTTGTCAAGAAAGACTAATAAAAGTAAAGCTATTTTGTAAACAAATGGCTGGTACCTTGAACATGGATTAGTACATACATATCGCACAAGGATTCTATCTTTTAGCGCGTTCTGATTGGCCAACTCGGATGTACGGAAAATCCAAGAGTATGTTTACAGTAAACATGGAAGTGCATTAACACTTCGACTTTCTCCCCAGTTGCCGATATCTTGCTAGTGTCATGATAATTCTTACCATTTAACTTAACTAGATTTTAAAAGTAAACTGTGGAAGCAAAGTGTTCTTCCTTACTTTCTTTGAGGAGACAAAGCTAGTTGAAGGCAAATCCCAAAAGCTCATATAAAGACATTTCAGGCCACTTCAATATAGGGTTGACATCATTATATTAGTTTTTAAGGACAAAAATTCTTTTAAGATTTAAGTTCTTACATCCCAATGGTAGAAAAAAGCACCGCAAACAATAAAGAGAGAAACGGCGTGACCCTCAGGAAAAAACATTCCTTGGCAGAGATCCTTATTTTCTGGACGCTCCTCTATTAGGGGCAAGGAATATTTCCTAAATTTATACAATATTGAAGCAATAAGCACATCAAGAAGTTTTGCAACTAGATTTTTAGCTAACTCTGCCAGTTGACTGAAATACCACACACGGTCCCCCTTGCAGATTTTTTTCGGCCATTGTGAGACACCAAATAAGAGCCAACATGTACGAAAAGGGAACTGATGTTCAAGAAGCCGATACTGATCCTGTTTTGTTATTTAAAAAAATAGGCAATTCTCTTCGTCATTCACTTAAATTCACAACTGACACTTATGCTGCTATGTTAGAATTAACTTCGACTAGGTCCCAGTGATTTCGTGTCGCAATCAAATACGTCAAGCGACATGTAAAAACTTGCGCGGTAACACGCATTTAGCGTGCAACACAAAATCATTATTCGTCAAGACCACCGTTCAGCATTGAAACAATCCTTTCTTTTAGCATGTACTGATTTAAAGAACCGCAACAATATGACGAGATATTTATGGCTTAAATGTTGTGTGGTTTTCTGAAAAGTTGATTTCTTGCAATATGTGTTGAGTGAATCCTCCTCCCCAGGCCCTCGAACGATTGGCTTCTGCTCATGAACGCTCCTCTGACAGAAGAGAATTAAAAACTAGCGTTTCCAAATGTCTCGCTAATAAAACAGGATGATCAGCTTTGTAAATTATTTACAAAGCTGATCATTCAGCTCCCCTATTCCAAGCCTTGAATTTGAAATTATTGTCCCAGCTGCTAATGCGTGTGTTTTTTCAGGCAATGATCTTACAGGGTGAGCTCTAAAATATTTATGTACATGTTATACCCCATGTAACGGATGAATATTCAAAGAAACAGTGATTGTTGGCTTTTACTTGAGTTATTGTCAAGATTATAAAAAACGTTTATTTTAATGCTTAACTCTAGTGCACTTGAGCTGCGCAGAGCACGACACTGGGTTAAAACCTGAATTACCGATTTATTTCAATGATTCACTCCCTGTTTGAACGTAATGTACAAGTACACTTGATTCCTAAAGAAAAGATTTCTACCTACTTACCGTCATGGGTCAAATGCATTGAAACTTAACCGTCAAGTGTCAAGATAGGAATATTTTAACCGTCAACCGTCAAAGGTATCCTCCTTTTCAGACCTTTAAGGAGGAACGGGCCATTGGTTGGCCTGAGAACGAAAATAACTGTGAAAATGACAGTCCCAATGACTTTGTGCCAGAGACAAATGATCGCATTTTATTGGCTGTCTGATGTGAGTGACGTAGGACGTATGCAGGGGAAAAACTCAAAGGACGAACAGAGAAAACTGAATTTATTTTTAAAGAAAGACACTGAAGACTGCTGATCATGGTAAGTACTGTTTGTTTCAAAACAAGTGATACTATGCTATGTATTCACTACTGTTGTATTTACTTAAGTAAGACTTTGGAGTTTAAAGCGTCCCATCATGTCTCGATCATATCGTTGATGCGACTTGGTTGAAGGGAATTCTGATATCTGCGATAGAAAATGAAAAGTCAAGAGTCCGTAAAAACAGTTACAAACAGTGTGTACGAAATCCACGTTTTGAAATCCATTTACAACTACTAGGTTCGATCAATAAATAGCTTTAAACCAGCGCTAGTTAACTGGGTAATTATTTTAGTGAGTTATGGAATACAAAATGCCGGCCTCTTCAGGGTCAATCTCTGTAAAACTTTGTTCTTCGACCTAACTTGAGCAGAATTCGATCTGTAAAGAGGAAGATTGAAAATCGAATATCTTTTACAGGAGCGTAACTGAGACCATTTACATTTCCTATGATTGGAAGGAAGACGAGATACAAGTCACCCGAATATTATGTGCATGTTCGATCTTTGGTACATTTATTTCAGTTTCTAAGTCTTACTTTCATTACTGATGATGGATTTGAACATGAAAAGATAAAACAATTTCCTTTATTTTACAGGAAACAACAAGCCTCAGTGTTTATTGCTTTTGAGCGGTTGGATTTTCATCAAGCGACCAATCACAGTACAATTGAAGCTTTTTCCTGTAAAAGGTAAGCTATCTATGTGCGATAAATAAATGTTTTCATTTTCTAGTGGGTGTAACCTGCGTGATGAAGACAAAGACTTAATATGAAACACAGGTGGGCTTTTACGGGCGTCGTTGTGTAAACCGACGACCTTCCTACCAAAGTGTTACCATTAAAGGTATTCATTTAGATAAGAATGAAACATCGAGACAATCAGGGGTCACTACAGAGGTTTCAGGTTGACAATCTTTTAGGAACAATTAACAATTGATATCTCTCTCACGGATTTGGAATTTAAGATTACTGCACTGAGCGATCATTCGAATAATGATAGAAATTCTTCACAGCTAAGGCTAATTTTTATATTTGAAAAAGTAGCAAACAAATTTGATGCCAAATGCTTGCATCCTTTTTAGCTCTCAAAATTCTCAAATTTCTTTGAAGAAAGTTTAATGTTTATTGATGTTTATATCTATATTTGATTAATCAGAAACTGGAAAAGTCTCACTTTCCGAGGCTAAGCCAAAAAAGGTGCATTACGTTGTTAGTTGAGAGCACGAATTTGAAACAAAAGAAGCAATCAACTTCTTTTTATAGATGCAAATTACGTTGTTAGTTTCTCTCACTATTGTGGTCTGTTATCTATTACCTTTAAACCAGTCACAAAACTTATTTTTCAACGGAAGGGAGGGGAGGGGACTGCACCTTTGTTTCATTGGAATATACCAGGATGTGCTGGGGAGGGGGAGGGGGGGGGTTGTAAACCCACGTGGATATCCCTCGCCGTTATCGCCAATTTGTGACGACATGAAGGAAAATGAAAAGCTCTGAGGAAGGTACCTGACGAGAACAATGAAAATAGGACCTTATGAAATTTGAATGGATCAAATTCAAGAAAGATCTGAAATTAAAGTTTAATGTTCGGGTCGTTAAACTAATGTGGCAAAACCTAGACTAGATCTTAATCAACTACTGAGAAGATGGCGACGGATGAAATACTCAGTTTAAAATCACGTAACGTCACAAAACCTAATATCCAAACTTACATGGAATACAGCTGTATTTACATTCCGTGTAATTACTAAACGACTATTGGATGAGGTTTTTGTGATATTCGGAAGAATCAAGGTTGAGGTAGGGGTTGTCAGCCGAGCCAAAGGCTAATGCTGATAACCCTAAAAGAGATCTTGATTATTCTCGATATCACAACAACCGAATCTAATTATTGTTTTATTATACATTGAACGAAAAAAAATGGTTGCGTCATGGTGACTTTAAGTGTCCTTGACATGATAATTGTGTAATCTGCAGCTAGATGACGTCTCAGGCGCTGAATTCATGCAATCACTGTGCGTTTTCGGTCAATCAGAAAAGAGGTAGTGAGTTGAATGCATAATAATATTCATTAAATAACGATCGAATGAACGGTCGAATGATTCAGTGTCAGTGGGTAAGTGAGTAGCGTTCCCTTTCTGAGTCCAAACAGGACGAATGAAGTTTGCCGTGATTCATTGGCCGGGGAAAAAGTCGAGGCTCCTACCTTGAGCTGTAGGGATTTTAGTTCGAAATTATGGCGATTACTCTTGCATGCTGAACCAGTGCTAGTGTCTAAAGATTTGATCGAGCTGTTTATTTTTCTGTATTCTACAATATCTCAAATTCTTGGCTTCAGGCAATCAATATATTTACTTTTCGTTTCCTAGATTGCGTGACAAAGACAACCACTGATACCGAAATGCAAATATCGCAAATTCAAACCGGAAATCTTTCCCGACTGCAAATAATGCCTTTGTATAAATAAATAAGTGATTACATAAAAACTGAAATTCTGTGTGCCTCTTTTAGTGAAGTTCCAAAATCAGCCAATCAACTACAAACTTCATTTCAAAGCAATGATAACAAACAAATGACCGGAGAATTCAGAGAAAAAAAAAACAATACCAAGAAATTATTTGCAATCGTACAGGGGTTGATTTTTAGTGTTAAGTACGAATGATTGTCACATTGGCTATAAAGGTCGCACCGCAATGGCTTGGCACTTTCTAAGAGACTATTTATATTTCAAATATGAAAGCAAGTCATGCTTTGTTGATCTGGAGTGAATTACACAGTAACAAAAGTTGGGTTACCAAGTTTCAGCGAGCGCGAATTTTACTTGTCCATGAAAAACTGAAACGATATGGATGGACAGCTTGTGGTATCAGAATGAAAATTGGTGACAGACGGGAAGAAGCAGTGGATTGGAGAAACCAAGGAACAGTATGCACATCGGGTGGTTACTACACTTGCATCAGTAACAGGAGATTCTGTAGAAATCGCAGTGCATTTGTCATTTTGATTAACTGCATTAGCATGCTTTGGGAGTTGACTGTAATGATATATCTTAAGCACTTCAAAATTGTTCATAGAATGTCTTGTTTGAAAAAAGTGTCTTGCACATATCCTATTGCTAATGTAGATTGAAAGCCTCGCACCAGAAACCTCATTCGAGACGTCTTGTAAGATTTCTGTGTTTTGACGGTCTCTGGAGGGTCTCACTTGGAAACAGTTGGAAAACTTTGTAGCCCCGGATACTTTGGGTACTTTCGTCTTAATATTCATAACATGACTTTTCTTTGGAATTGGTACAGGAAAACATACTTGTTATGAATCATCTGGAATTTCCTTTCCAAAAATTATTGAGAAAACCGAGTAAGTTGAGTGATAAGAACACTTATCGATTGAGTGTTGTGTCTGAAATCAAAACCAAAGTAACCTTAATAGCCAATCAGAAGAAAGAAAAATACCCTTTAAGAGCCAATGAGAACTCAAAGAGTATTCATTTAAAAGCATTTCCTTCAGAGCCTCTCGTCATTTACGTGTAAGGAAGAACTACTGACGAGCTAAGCCGTCAGCCGCGTTTTGCACGCTGTAAATTTTTTTTGAATTACTCGCTTCTTATGTATAATGTTTCCTTCACTTCTTTTAAACTTACAGCAAAGAAGACTGCAATGGACAAAATAGAAGGGGTTTCAGACACAGTACAAGTGGTCTTTATAGGTATGACGATCGCCAATTTCCTTCTAAACACTGGTCGCCTTTCACAAGCCATTGAGTTGTGTAAGGAATGTCTGAGTTTACTAGACAGTCGGGCGCTTGATGAGATTGGAGATGCAGTGGATTACCGAATCCTTGGAACTCTGCACCAATCGGTTGGTGATTATAACAAGGCTCAAGAGTATCACAAGAAAGCACTTGCTATCGCAATGGAAATTGGTGACAGAAAAGGAGAAGCAGTGGATCACGGAAATCTAGGAACAATGTTCCAATCGCTTGGTAATTATAAAAAGGCACAAGAACATTACATGAAAGCACTTTCCATCAGAACACAAATTGGTGACAGAAAGGGAGAAGCAGTGGTTTACAGAAACTTAGGAACCTTGTTCCAATCGCTTGGTAGTTATAACAAGGCACAAGAATATTACAAGAAGGCACTTGCTATCACAATGGAAATTGGTGACAAAGGGGGAGAAGCAGCAGATTACGGAAATCTAGGAACAATGTTCCAATCGCTTGGTAATTATAAAAAGGCACAAGAACATTACATGAAAGCACTTTCCATCAGAACACAAATTGGTGACAGAAAGGGAGAAGCAGTGGTTTACAGAAACTTAGGAACCTTGTTCCAATCGCTTGGTAGTTATAACAAGGCACAAGAATATTAGAAGAAGGCACTTGCTATCACAATGGAAATTGGTGACAAAAGGGGAGAAGCAGCAGATTACGGAAATCTAGGAACAATGTTCCAATCGCTTGGTAATTATAAAAAGGCACAAGAATATCACGAGAAAGCACTTTCCATCAGAACACAAATTGGTGACAGAAAGGGAGAAGCAGTGGTTTATAGAAACCTAGGAACCATGTTCCAATTGCTTGGAAATTATAACAAGGCACAAGAATATTACAAGAAGGCACTTGCTATCACTATAGAAATTGGTGACAAAGGGGGAGAAGCAGCAGATTACGGAAATCTAGGAACAATGTTCCAATCGCTTGGTAATTATAAAAAGGCACAAGAATATCACGAGAAAGCACTTTCCATCAGAGCACAAATTGGTGACAGAAAGGGAGAAGCAGTGGTTTATAGAAACCTAGGAACCTTGTTCCAATCGCTTCGTAATTATAACAAGGCACAAGAATATTACAAGAAAGCACTTGAAATCACACTGGAAATCGATGACAAAGGGGGAGAAGCACTGGCTTACGGAGACCTAGGAACAGTGTTCCAATCGCTCGGTAATTATAACGAGGCACAAGAATATCACGAGAAAGCACTTGCTATCAGACTGGAAATTGGTGACAGAAAAGGAGAAGCAGCGCAATACAGAAAACTAGGAACAGTGTTCCAATCGCTTGGTAATTATAACAAGGCGCAAGAATATCACGAGAAAGCACTTGCTATCAGTCTGGAAATTAGTGACAGAAAAGGAGAAGCAGCGGATTACAGAAACATAGGAACAGTGTTCCAATCGCTTGGTAATTATACCAAGGCATTAGAATATTATAAGAAAGCACTTGTCATCAGAATGGAAATTGTTGACAGAAAGGGAGAAGGAGTGGATTACGGAAATCTTGGAACGGTGTTCCAATCGCTTGGTAATTATTACAAGGCACAAGAATATTACAAGAAAGCACTTTCTATCAGACTGGAAATTGGTCACAGAAAAGGAGAAGCAGCGGATTACGGAAATCTAGGAACAGTGTTCCAATCGCTTGGTAATTATAAACAGGCACAAGAATATTACAGGAAAGCACTTGCTATCGGACTTGAAATTGGTGACAGAAAAGGAGAAGCAGTGGATTACGGAAACCTAGGAACCGTGTTTCAGTTGCTCGGTAATTATGCCCAGGCCCAGGAATATTACAAGAAAGCACTTGCTATCACAATGGAAATTGGTGACAAAGGGGGAGAAGCAGCGGATTACGGAAAGTTGGGAACAATGTTCCAATCGCTTGGTAATTATAAAAAGGCACAAGAACATCACGAGAAAGCACTTTCCATCAGAAAACAAATTGGTGACAGAGCAGGAGAAGCAGAGGATTACAAGAACCTTGGAATAGTGTTTCAATCGCGCGGTAATTATGACAAGGCACAAGAATATTACAAGAAAGCACTTGCTATTAGATCGGAAATTGGTGACAGAGAAGGAGAAGCAACGGATTACGGAAACTTAGGAAGACTGTTTGATTTACTCGGTGAACATGACAAGGCTCAAGAACATCTAGAGAAAGCACTACGAATTAGTAAGGAAATTTGCAACAGAAATCTAGAAGCAAATTGTTATGCAAACCTTGGAGCTTTTTTTCTGTCACTCGGAAAATACCCTAGAGCAGATAAATATCTAGTACAAGCATTGGCAATAGCAAAGGAAATTGGCGATAAACATGGAGAGGCAGCAGTTTACAGTAATTTTGGGAGAATTTCTCACCATATTCATGATTATGAAAAAGCTCAAGAATATCACAAGAAAGCCCTTGCAATCTATGAGGAAATTGGCGGCAGAGATGGAGAAGTAGTCGAATACGCAAGTTTGGGGGTATGTTTCCAATCACTTGGCATATATAACGTGGCCGAAAAATACATCAACAGGGCCTTATTAATAAGCAAGAATATTGGACACAACTTTAATGAATTTAGCTGCCTTTGTCAACTAGCGCAGTTGAAGCTATCACAATTTAATCTCAAAGAAGCCATATCATATCTTTTTCAGTGCATTGGAAAATTCGATACGTTGCGAGGTTTCCTTAAAGATAACGATCAGTTTAAGACGTCTCTTTTAGAGAAGCACGGCAATTTTCCATACAAGTTGCTCAGCAACTTGCTTTCTTCTACCGGAAAGACAAGAGATGCTCTTTATATTGAGGAGCTGAGACGGGCAAGAGGCCTCGCCGACTTCATGGCAGCCAAATACTCTGTTGAAGAGTTGATCTCAGGCAACCCACAGTCATGGCATGGCGTTCAAACCATCATTACAAAAGAAACAAACTGTACATGTCTTTACATTTCAGTTGAAAAAGAACACGCACGGTACTGGATTCTCAAAGCATCAGGAGCCATTCATTTCTCACGAAAGAAAGTGAGTCTGGAGAAACGTGTGGTGACCAGATTAGTTCCTGATTTGGATCAGTTTTTCACAGAAAGCTTTCGCAGCCTTGGCATTCTACTCCAACAGAATTGCGAAGATCGTTCATTAGATGACACCGAATCAATGCTACCTCACTATGACCATGACAATCGCGGGCTCATGCGTGATTTTGATCCGAAAGATTTCAAAACGAATCTTCAGTCATGTTACGAGATAATTATCGCTCCCGTGGCCCATTTACTGAAGGAGCCCGAGATTTTAATTGTCCCTGAATCCTGTATGTACCAAGTCCCATTTGCAGCCATCAGTGATGATGGAGGAACATATTTAGTGGATACCTTCAGGATCCGCGTCGTTCCCTCTCTGACGACTCTAAAGCTGATTCGGGACAGTTCCCCCGACTACCACAGTCAGAGAGGAGCACTGATAGTGGGTGATCCTAAGGTTGGCGAGGTGCTTTTGAAAGGAAAACGCAGGATCATAACATCATTGCCATGTGCAAGAAAGGAAGCAGAGATGATTGGACGACTTCTTGGAGTGACACCTTTGACTGGAGACCGTGCAACAAAGGAGGCAGTTCTTGGCGCAATAAATTCAGCAAGTCTGATTCACTTTGCTGCCCACGGTGATGCAGAAAGAGGAGAGATTGCTCTTTCTCCTAATTGCCCCACCGACTTCATTCCACAAGACGAAAACTTCCTTTTGACCATGGCGGACATTTCACAAGTTCGGCTGCGAGCTAAACTGGTTGTACTTAGCTGTTGTCACAGTGCACGTGGGAAGATTAAAGCCGAGGGAATTATTGGAATCGCTCGAGCGTTCTTAGGATCTGGTGCTCGTTCAGTGTTAGCGGCACGGTGGGCCATAGAAGACACAGCCACGGAGGAATTCATGAGATGTTTCTACCAAAACTTGTTCCGCGGTAAAAGTGCAAGTGAATCCCTTCACGAGGCCAGGAAATGGTTAAGAAAGAACGGCTTCGAAAAAGTTTCTCAGTGGGCTCCCTTCATGCTTATTGGCGATAATGTGACATTTGATTTTGAAAACTGGCCAGTGTCTAAAACATCCGAACAGCCATGAGAGAAGCGAATCCTTTGAAATAGACCAAGTAAAATTTGCAACCATCAATTGCCTTCCTGTAGAAAGAGGACGCCATATATGAAGGACAAATTGATAACGAAAAACCTTTCTGTGAACGCTTTGTGTAACAATCTGGAACAAGACAATTCATAATTCAGTCTTTATAAGCCGGCAGTTAAGCTGTGAAAAAACTTCAGGAGCCTTCCTTTCGGACAGAGATTAGTTCATAAGTCAAAAAATAACAAAATCTGAGCGAGTATTTACTGGAAGCGATAACCAAACAAATACAAGAGAAGTTTTTTTTTCGCAAATAATTAGTTATTCAAGCGAAGCAAATTTTTTCCAATTTTTTCCACTTTTTTGTATTTTCTTATAAAAGGATACGGTTATGAAATGTTTCGACAGCTCTTTATAAATAACTTTTAAAATCACAATGTAGCGCTCTCCATGTCTCTTGTATCTAAACATTATAATGCTCAATTTTTTTTCTTGAAATTGTTGCCCGAATGATCACTGAGTTTTTCACGGACTAAAATTTTCAAATATTCAATGAACATTCGTCTCGACAAAAAAAATCTCAAGACTATTCTAGTTTGAGGAGCAGTTTACAATTTGTAATATTATATTGCAGATATATGTGTATAGGTCTGTTTTGTAAACTTCTATGCAGAGTGACTTCCGTTGGTGGCCCTCCAGTTTTGTTTGTTAACATAATCATTTTTGGTAAAATTCGCTTTCAAGAATCTATGTTTAAGAGACAGGCCAGCCATCAACACAGAAACATCTGTAACTTTAGTTATAAAAATGTTTATTTTAGGACTCAGTAAGTTTAGTAGGGGCAGTGGTCATTGTGCCTGATTTTGGGTAAACAGAACGATTTTCTTGAGTTGTTATCGGTAGCGATGTTCAAATTTACGAACGTTTAATTAAAATCAATTATTTTACTCAATGTCCTCTCATATCCTGCTAAGGATTTGTAAGGCAGACTTACTTTCCTTCATAGACTCACTTAGGACTTGGATTCTTTAGCCAGTCCCTCTCCGTTTGTTCCGTCTTTTGAAAATAGCACCGCTTCCGCCAGGACCCACTCTGTACCGTGTTCCCAAGCTGACGTAACCTGTTCCAGGCGCTCAGTTAGTGAACGGCTCACAAAAGTCGCGCTCAGCCAAAGGGTTGCTAGCAATCTCTTTCCGCTCTGGTGACTTGCGTAGCCTGGGCGCGTAAAGATCGACTCAGGCCTCCTCTTGTTTTCACCCTACGCAGCGCTCCCCCCAAACCCCTTTAGCAACTGAACCCCTGGAGCTATCGACTATCACCTCAGGTCCCCCTCTCCTTTCAGCCACCTTGTTTGGTTTTTTGGACAAAAACTACGCGTTTAACTTTTGAAAAAAATACAACAATTTCTTCTGAATTTGTCTTTACTTTTAATTCACATTTTTTCCACTTTATTACATAAATACTATCTCAATTATAAACTGACACGTTTTCAATTTCGTCTGGTGTAATTTGTAAATGGAATTTCCTCATCCTATTTGAAAGATTGTTAAAAGGCTTCTTCATCTTAACCACTTCTATGTTTAGTCAACTCTTAGGGTATGATCCTATCACATTTGGAATGAAAGTCTACCCTGAGCGAGTCTAAGATTTTGAAAAGGCTTTATAGATATAACCACATATCAAAATAATCATATTTCACGACTTATTTCGGATTTTATGTTACAGTTTAAGATTTAGCGATGTTGGAATATAAGCTACATCCACAAGTTTTTCGTCCCGGAACACAAAATAGATAAAAACATATTTTGTATTATTATTCTACATTAAAATCACAGGACGAACGTGCATATAATAAAAGGCAGACGGTGCGAAACAGTAATAAGACTCTCTCTTATCATAACTACGTAAGTACTTCCAATCATCCAAGTAGCTAATTCTTAAAACGCAAGATTCTCGTCCAAATTTGAAAAATAAAACTTTGATGCAACACTTAAAGGTCAGGACCCCTTCCTGTTCACGCTGAGATGGCCCCATTAAAGTTTTTCTGTCATTTACTTCAATGTCGACTAACTTTTTTAGTTCTGTTTCTTCTAAATTGTTTTATTTTACTGCAAAGGAAGTCCACATGCTTCTAACTTTATTCATCTTGTTTTTTTTCCAAGTGAGAGAACCCAACCTCACCGACCTTTAAGGTTAGTAATACGTTTCCTCGCCATTTTTTTCATATTCATTGTTGTCAATTATTGTCAATTAATTTCTCCATTTAAAGCAAAATGAAATAAATAATATCAATCAATATAAGACTAAACTGTTGGCAATTGTAAGAAAAAGAATTGATTACGAATAAACTGAACAATAAAAAGACTCGGCGAAAGAAAAGATAAAAGACTATCATCACCACCGGCCATCATTGAAATTATCCTTTCTTTTAACATGTAGTTATTTAGAGGATCGCATCAATATGTCGAGAGATTCAAAGCTTATATGTAGTGTAGTTTTCTGAAATGTTGATTTCTTGCAATTTGTGTTGGATGAATCCTCCTCCCTAGGCCTTCGAACGATTGGCTCCTGCTCATGGACGTCCTCTCTCATCGTAGAGAATTGTCTGGCCATTAAAATAGGATGGTCAGCTATGTAAATTAACGTACAGTTCATTTACAAAGCTGATCATTCAGCTCCCCTGATCTCATGCCTTGCATTTGAAATTAGCGTCCCAGCTGCTAATTAGTGTGTATTTTCAGGCGATGATCTTACAGGGTGAGCTCTACAATATTTATTTACATGTTATACCCCATGTAATGGATGAATATTCAAAGAAACAGTGATTGTAGGCTTTTACTAGAGTTATTGTCAAGTTTATAACAAACGTTTATTTTAATACTTAACTCTAGTACACTTGAGCTGCGCAGAGCACGATACTGGCTTAAAAACCTGAATTGCCGATTTATTTTAATGATTCACTCCCTGTTTGAGCGTGATGTACAAGTACACTTGATTCTAATGGAAACGATATCTACCTAATAACCGTCAAGCGTCAAATGCCATAAAATGTAACCGTCAAGTGTCAAGATCGGAACGTTTTAACCGTCAACCGTCAAAGGTATCCTCCTTTTGAGACCTTTGAGGAAGAAAGGGCCACTGGTTGGCCTGAGAACGAAAATGACTGTGAAGATGACAGTTCCGATGACTTTGTGCCAGAAGCCAATGATCGCATTTCATTGGCTGTCTGATGAGAGGACTAAAAGAGGAAACTAAATTTATTTTTAAAGAAAGACACTGAAGACTGCTGATCATGGTAAGTGCTGTCTGTCTTAAAACAACTGATACCATGCTATGTATGCACTACTGTTGCCTTTACATAAGTAAGACTTTGGAGTTTAAAGCGTCCGATCATGTCCCGATTATGTCGTTGATGCGACTTGGCAGAAGGAAATTCTGATATTTGCGATAGAAAATGAAAATTCAAGAGTTCGCAACGAACAGTTACAAACAGTGCGTACGGTTTGATGTTTTGAAATCCATTCTACCGGGCTCGATCGATAAATAGCTTTAAACCAACACTAGTAATTTGGGTAATTATTTTAGTGAGTTACCCTTTTATGGAATATAAAAAGGTGGCCTCTTCATAGTCAATCGCTGTATAACTTTGGACTATTGACCAACTTGAGTAGAATTCGATCTGTAAAGATGAAAAATGGAATACGAATGTCTATTACAGGAGCGTTACTAATACCTTTTTTTCCCCTACCATTGAAAGGAAGACGAGATGCGGGTCACCCGAATATTATGTGTTCGATCTTAAGTACATTCATTTCAGTTTTCTACGTCTTTCTTTCATTACTGATGATGGATTTGAACATGAAAAGATAAAACAATTCACTTTATTTTACAGGAAACGACAAGCCTCATTGTTCATTCCTTTTGAGCAGTTGAATTTTCATCAAGCGATCAACCACAGCACAATTGAAGCTTTTTCCTGTAAAAGGTAAGCTATCTGTGTGCGATGAGTGAATGTTTTCATTTTCTAGTAGTGGGCTTTTACGGGCGTTTTCTAAACCGACGACATTTCTAACTAAGTGTTACCATTAAAGTATTTATTTAGATGAGAATGAAACATCGAGACAAACAGGTGTCACCACTGAGGTTTCAGGTAGACAATCTTTAAGTAACAATTAACAACTGATATGTCTCTCACGGATTTGGAATTTGAGATTACTGCACTGAGCGATCATTCGAATGATGATAAAAATTCTTCGCAGCTAAGGCTAATTTTTAAACTCGAAAATTTAGCGAACAAATTTGAAGAAATGCTTGCAGCCTTTTCCGCTCTCAAAATTCTCGAATTCCTTCAAAGAAAGTTTAAGGTTTATTCATTGATGTTAGGATGATTTGATTATTCAGAAACTGGAAAAGTTTCACTATCCAAGGCTAAACCAAAAATTTGCATGACGTTGTTTGTTGAGAGCACGAATTTGAAGTAAAAGAAGCAATAAACCCCGTTTTACAGATGCAAATTACGTTTTAGTTTTTCTTACTATTGTGGTCTGTTATCTATGTACCTTTAAACCAGTCACAAAACTTATTTTTTAACGGAAGGGAGGGAAGTGGGCTGCACCTGTGTTTCATTGGAATATACTAGGATGTGTTGGGGGGGAGGGGAGTTGTAAAGGTACTCAAGGCCCACGTGGATGCCCCCCAGCCAATTTATCGCCAATTTGTGACAAAATGAAGGAAAATGAAAAGGCCCGTGTAAGGTATCTGACGAGAACAATGAAAATAGGAACTGATGAAATCTAAATGGATCAAATTCAAGAAAGATCTGAAATTGATATTTGATGCTCGGGTCGTTAAACTAATGGTGACAAAAACTAGATTAGATCTCAATTAAATACTGAGAGGATGATGTATTTTACAATATCTCAAATTCTTGGCTTCAAGCAATCAATATATTTTCTTTTTAGTTTCATAGATTGCGTGACAAAGAGAACCACTGATACTGTAGCTGTTTCCCTAGGCCGACTAATTATAGCTTTGGAAATGTTTCCGAAATGCAAATGATCGCAAATTCAAACCGGAAATCTTTCCTGACTGCAAATGATGCCTTTACATATATAGACATGTGATTACATAAAAACCGAAATTCTGTGTGCCTCTTTTAGTGAAGTTCCAAAATCAGCCAATCCACTACAAACTTTATTCTAAGACAATGATAACAAACAAATGACCAGAGAAATCACAGAAAGAAAAAACCAATAGTAAGAAATTATTTTAAGTCGAACAGGGGTTGATTTTTAGTGTTAAGTACGAATGAATGTCACATTGGCTTTAAAGGTCGCACCGTGATGGTTTGGCACTTTCTTAGAGATTATTTACATTTCAAATTTGAAAGCGAGTCATGCTTTGTTGATCTGGAGTGAATTACACAGTAACAAAAGTTGGATTAGCAAGTTTCAGCGAGCGCGAATTTTACGTGTCCATGATTAAAAACTGAAACGATAAGTATGGACAGCTTCTGGTATCAGAATGAAAATTGGTGACAGATGGGAAGAAGTAGCGGAGTAGAGAAACCTAGGAACAGTATTCACACAGCTTGGTTACTATACTGGCATCAGCAATAGGAGATTCTGAAGAAATCTTGCATTTGTCAGCTGATTAACTAAAGCAGTGTGCATTGGGAGTTAACTGTAGTGACATATCTCAAGCACTTCAAAACTGTTTAGAATGTCTTGTTTGAAATAAGTGTCTTACTCAAATCCTATCGCTGACGTAGATTGAAAGCCTCGCACCAGAAATCCCATTCGTGACGTCTTGTAAGATTCCTGTTCCTTTTCCACGGTGTCTGGAGGGTCTCACTTGGAAACAGTTGGAATACTTTTAATCCACGGATACTTTAGGTACTTTCCTTTTAATATCCATAACATGATTTTTCTTTGCAACTGGTTGTGATGAATGAAACAGTTAATTGGAAAATATAGGAAAACATGTTTGTTATGAATTATCCGGAATTTCCTTTCCAAAATTAATAAGAAACTAGGTAAGTTAAGTAATAAGAGCACTTTTCGATTGAGTGTTAATTGTGTGTGAAATCAAAACCAAAGTAATCTTAACAGCCGACCAGAATAAAGAGAATTACCCTTTAAAAGCCAATGAGAACTCAAAGAGTATTCACTTAAAAGCATTTCCTTCAGAGCCTCTCATCATTTACGTATAAGAAGAACTACCGACGAGCTAAGCCGTTAGCAGCGTTTTGCGCGCTGCAAATTTTTTTCCCTTCTTATGTATAATGTTTCCTTCACTTCTTTCAAACTTACAGCAAAGAAGCCAACAATGGACAACATAGAAGGGGTTTTAAACACAGTGCAAGTGGTCTTGGTAGGTACGACGATCACCAATTTCCTTCTAAACACTGGTCGTCTTTCACCAGCCATAGAGTTGTGTAAGGAATGTTTGAGTTTACTAAACAGTCAGCCGCTTGGTAAGGATGGACCAATTACCCACTCAATTCTCGTCCAACAGGGAAGGTTAAATTTATTACTAGCAACTACACTTTACACTCAATCGAAGTTTGTGGAGGCCAGAAAATTTTATGAGAGAGCAATAAAAATCATGAAAACGAATGACGACGAACCAGGAAAAGCAATTTGTTACGGAGGCTTAGCAACATTACTTTATTCCTTTGGAGAATATGACAAATGTAAAAAATATCTGGAGAAGGCCCGTGCGATTAGAAAGCAAATTGGTGACAGAGTCGGAGAAGCAGTGTATTACAGAAAACTAGGAGGACTGTCCATATTGCGTGGTAACTATGACAAGGCACAAGAATATATCAAGAAAGCACTTGCCATCAGAACACAAATTGGTGACAGAAAGGGAGAAGGAATGGAGCAAGGATTCCTGGGAACAGTGTTCCAAATGCTCGGTAATTATGACCAGGCGCGAAAATATCTCGAAAAAGCACTTGCCATTAGACTGGAAATTGGCGACAGAGAAGGAGAAGCAGCCGATTACGAAAACCTTGGAACAGTGTTCCGATCGCTTGGTAACTATGACAAGGCACAAGAATATTACAAGAAAGCACTTGCTATCACACTGGAAACTGGTGACATAAAGGGAGAAGCGAAGATTTACGGAAACCTAGGAACAGTGCTCCGGTTGCTTGGTGATTATGACCAGGCGCAAGAATATTACAAGAAAGCACTTGCTATCAGACAGGAAATTGGTGACAGAGTAGGACAAGCAGCGGATTACAACAACCTAGGAGCAGTGTTCCAATTTCATGGTAATTATGATCGGGCACAAGAATATTACAAGAAAGCACTTGCTATAAGTCTGGAAACTGGTCTCCGACAGGGAGAAGCAGCGGTATACGGAAACCTAGGAACAGTGTTCCAATCGCTTGGTAATTATGACAAGGCGCAAGAATATTACAAGAAAGCACTGGCCATCAGAATGGAAATTGGTGACAGAAAGGGAGAAGCAGCGAACTACGGATTCCTAGGAACAGTGTTCCAATCGCTTGGTAATTATACCCAGGCGCAAGAATATCACGAGAAAGCAATGGCCATCAGAGTGGAAATTGGTGACAGAGCAGGAGAAGCATTGGATTACGGAAACCTAGGAACAGTGTTCCAATCACTTGGTAATTATGACAAGGCACAAGAATATTACAAGAAAGCACTGGCCATCAGAATGGAAATTGGTGACAGAAAGGGAGAAGCAGCGAATTACGGGTGCTTAGGAACAGTATTTCAATCGCTTGGTAATTATGCCCAGGCGCAAGAATATCACGAGAAAGCAATGGCCATCAGAATGGAAATTGGTGACAGAGCAGGAGAAGCAGTGGATTACGGAAACCTAGGGACAGTGTTTCAATCGCTTGGTAATTATAAAAAGGCGCAAGAATATTACAAGAAAGCACTGGCCATCAGAATGGAAATTGGTGACAGAAAGGGAGAAGCAGTGGACTACGGAAACCTAGGGACAGTGTCCCGATCACTTGGTAATTACAATCAGGCGCAAGAATATCACAAGAAAGCACTGGCCATCAGAATGGAAATTGGTGACAGAGCAGGAGAAGCAGTGGATTACGGAAACCTAGGAATAGTGTTCCAATCCCTTGGTAATTTTGACAAGGCGCAAGAATACCACGAGAAAGCACTGGCCATCAGAATGAAAATCGGTGACAGAGGAGGAGAAGCAGCGGATTACGGATGCCTTGGATCAGTGTTCCAATCGCTTGGTAACTATAAGCAGGCACAGGAATATTACGAGAAAGCACTGGCCATCAGAATGGAAATTGGTGACAGAGAAGGAGAAGCAGCGGATTACGGAAACCTAGGAACAGTGTTCCGATCGCTTGGTAATTATGACCAGGCGCAAGAATATTACGAGAAAGCACTAGCTATCACACTGGAAATTGGTGACAGAGCAGGAGAAGCAGCAGATTACGGGAACCTAGGAACAGTGTTCCAATCACTTGGTTATTATAACCAGGCGCAAGAATATCACGAGAAAGCACTGGCCATCAGAATGGAAATTGGTGACAGAAAAGGAGAAGCAACGGATTACGAAAACTTAGGGAGACTGTTTGCAACACTCGGTGAACATGACAAGGCTCAAGAATATCTCGAGAAAGCTCTACGTATTAGAAAGGAACTCTGCAACAGAAATGGAGAAGCAAGTTGTTATGCAAACCTAGGAGCTTTGTTTCTGTCACTCGGAAAATACCCTAAGGCAGATAAATATCTAGAGCAATCATTGGCAATAGCAAAGGAAATTGGCGACAAACATAGAGAAGCAGAAGTTTATGGTCATTTTGGGATAATTTCTCATCATCTTCATGATTATGAAAAAGCTCAAGAATATCACAAGAAAGCCCTTGCAATCTATGAGGAAATTGGCGACAGAAAGGGAGAAGCATTCGAGTACGCAAATTTAGGGGAATGTTTCCAATCGCTTGGCAGATATAATGTGGCCGAAAAATACATCAACAGGGCGCTATTAATAAGCAAGAATACTGAACAAAACTTGAACGAATATGGGTGCCTTCGTCAACTGACGGTGTTGAAGCTATCACAATTAAATCTCAAGGAAGCCATGTCGTATCTTTCTCAGTGTATTGGAAAATTCGACACATTGCGAGGTTTCCTTAAAGATAACGATCAGTTTAAGACTTCTCTTTTGGAGAAGTACGGCAATTTTCCTTATAAGTTGCTCAGCAACTTGCTTTCTTATACCGGGAAGCCAAGAGATGCTCTTTATGTTGAAGAACTGAGACGGGCAAGAGGCCTCGCCGACTTAATGGCAACCAAGTACTCTGTAGAAGAGCTGATCTCAGGCAATCCACAGTCATGGCATGGCATTCACAATATCATCACAAAAGAAACAGACTGTACATGTCTTTACATTTCAATTGAAAAAGAACATGCACGGTACTGGATTCTCAAAGCATCAGGAGCCATTCATTTCTCACGAAAGAAAGTGAGTCTGGAGCAACGCGTGGTGACCAAATTAGTTCCTAATTTGGATGAGTTTTTCACAGAAAGCTTTCGCAGCCTTGGAATTTTACCCCAACGGAATTGTGAAGATCGATCATTAGATGACACCGAATCGATGCCACCTCACTATGCCGATGACAATCACGGGCTCCTGCGTGATTATGATCCAAAAGATTTCAAAACGAATCTTCGGTCGTGTTACGAGATAATCATCGCTCCCGTGGCCAGTTTACTGAAGGAGCCCGAGATTTTAATTGTCCCTGAATCCTGTATGTACCAAGTCCCATTTGCAGCCATCAGTGATGAAGGAGGAACATATTTAGTAGATACTTTCAGGATCCGCGTCGTTCCCTCTCTGACGACTCTAAAGCTGATTCGGGACAGTTCCCCCGACTACCACAGTCAGAGAGGAGCACTGATAGTGGGTGATCCTAAGGTTGGCGAGGTGCTTTTGAAAGGAAAACGCAGGATCATAACATCATTGCCATGTGCAAGAAAGGAAGCAGAGATGATTGGACGACTTCTTGGAGTGACACCTTTGACTGGAGACCGTGCAACAAAGAAGGCAGTTCTTAACGCAATAAACTCAGTAAGTCTGATTCACTTTGCTGCCCATGGTGATGCCGAAAGAGGAGAGATTGCTCTTTCTCCTAATTGCCCCACCGACTTCATTCCACAAGACGAAAACTTCCTTTTGACGATGGCGGACATTTCGCAAGTTCGGCTGCGAGCTAAACTGGTTGTACTTAGCTGTTGTCACAGTGCACGTGGGAAGATTAAAGCCGAGGGAATTATTGGAATCGCTCGAGCGTTCTTAGGATCTGGTGCTCGTTCAGTGTTGGCGGCACGGTGGGCCATAGAAGACACAGCCACGGAGGAATTCATGAGATGTTTCTACCAAAACTTGTTCCGCGGTAAAAGTGCAAGTGAATCCCTTCACGAGGCCAGGAAATGGTTGAGAAAGAACGGCTTCGAAAAAGTTTCTCAGTGGGCTCCCTTCATGCTTATTGGCGATAACGTGACATTTGATTTTGAAAACTGGCTAGTGTCTAAAACATCCAAACAGCCATGAGAGAAGCGAATCCTTTGAAATGGACCAAGTAAAATTTGCAACCATCAATTGCCTTCCTGTGGAAAGAGGACGCCGTCTATGAAGGACAAGATTGATTAACGAAAAACTCTTCTGTGAACGCTTTGTGTAACAATCTGGAACAAGACAGTTCATAATTCAGTGTTTATTAGCCGGCAGTTAAGCTGTGAACAAAGTTCATATGTCAAAACAAACAAAATCTGAGTAAGTATTTTCCAGAAGCGATAACCAAACAAATATAAAGCAGGTTTTTTCGCAAATAATTAGTTATTTAAGCGAACCAAATTTTTCCAATTTTTTTTCCACTTTTTTGTATTTTCTTATAAAAGGATATGGTAATTAAATGTTTCGACAGCTCTTTTTGCAAAGAAATAAGTTTTAAAATCGCAATAAGGTCGATATAGCGCTCTCCTTGTCTCTTGTATCTATACGGAATATAATGCTTAAAATTTTTCCTTGAAATTGATTGCCTGAGTTATCAGTTTTTCACGGGCTAAAATTTTCAAATATTCAATGAACATTCGTCTCGACACAAAACATTCTCAAGACTATTCTAGTTTTAGGAGCAGTTTACAGTCTGTAATATTCTATTGCAGATATATGTGTATAGGTCTGTTTTGTAAACTTCTATGTTGAGTGACTTCCGTTGGTGACCCTCTAGTTTAGTTTGTAAAGGTTATTATTTTTGGTAAAAATCGCTTTCAAGAATCTATGTTTAAGAGACAGGCCAGCCATTAATAAAGAGACATCTGTAACTTTAGTTATAGAAAAATTTTTTTGTCAGGACTCAATAAGTTTATTAGGGGCAGTTGTCATTGTGCGATGTTCAAGTTTACTAACGTTTAATTAAAAGAAATTATTTTACTTAAGGTCTTCGCATATCCTGCTGAAGATTTGTAGGACAGACTTATTTTCCTTTATTGACTCATTTAGGACTTAGATTCTTTTAGCCAGTCCCTCTCCGTTAGTTTGAACGTGACACATGATGGCTGGTAGACTGGGACTGACGGAACTCCGCGTTCAATTTTGAAAAAAGTGTAACATTTTCTTCTAAATTTGTCGTTACTTTTAATTCACATTTTTTTCCATTTTATTACATAAATACTATCTCAATTATAAACTGACACGTTTTCAATTCCGTCTAGTGTAACTTGTAAATGGACTTTCCTTATTATTAAAAGGCTTCTTCATCTTAACCACTTCTATGTTTAGTCAACTCTTAGGGTATCATCCTATCACATTGGAATGAAAGTCTACCCTGAGCGAGTCTAAAATTTTAAAAAGGCTTTAAAGATTTAACCACATGTCAAAATAACCATATTTCACGACTTATTTCGGAGTTGATGATAAAATACATTTTGTATTATTATTCTACATTAAAATCACAGGACGAACGTGCATATAATAAAAGGCAGACGTGCCAAACAGTAATAACACTTTCTCTTATCATAACTACGTAAGTACTTCCAATCATCCAAGTATTTAATTCTTATAAACGCAAGATTTTTATCTAAATGTGAAAAATAAAACTTTGATGCGACACTTAAGGGTCAGGGCACCTTCCTGTTCACTCTCAGATGGCCCCACACAGACATGATCCCTTTAACTTTTTTGTCATTTACTTCAATGTCGAATTAATTCTTCTTAATTCTTTTTTGTTTCAACTAAATTGTTTTATTTTACTGCAAAGCAAGTCTATTTGCTTCTAACTTTATTCATCATCTTTTTCCGTAGTTTTTTTTCCAAGCGAGAGAACCCAACTTCACCAGCCTTTAAAGTTACTAAAAGGTTTCCTCGCCATTTTTCCATATTCATTGTTGGCAATTATTTTCCATTCATTTCTCCATTTAAAGCAAAATGAAATAAATAATAACACAAAAAGTCGTTTAACTAATTCAACAAACTCAAAATATAAGACTAAACTGTTGGCAATTGTATGTAAGAAAATTGATTACGAATAAACATATCAATAGAAAAACTCTGTGAAAGCTAAATAAAAGACTATATTCGAATTTTCAAAACGCCTCACTTACTAAATGAAGAAATATGTAAAGGAGGTTTTACTTCCATGAGAAAAACTGGTCATTTTCATTTCAACTGCTTCGCGCTAACCCTCCTAGGTAACTCGGGCAACTCTTGGGCAACTCGGAAATTGCGTGCAACATAATAGCGCTCATCACTTAACTCCGTTTGAACAGCATTCATACATCTTGAACTTTTAAGATTTTTCCTTCGACTTCCGTATTTCTGTCTGTCAAAATGAGTGAAATGCTGAATGTTAGTGTTCAGTTTTCTCAGTTTTCTTCATTCTGGTTGATTTTCTCGTTGCCAACACTACAAGGGAGGAAGGGAGGAATATTGCAATAACTGCAAGGGGGGCTACAGGACAGGATAAAATGATATGTGGCTTTTTCTAAACTGGCGCTGATGCTTGGTCAGAATTGCGATATATTTCATTTAAACCAATCAAGATCATCATCTTCATCATCATCAAATAACGGCGGTGGCACAGCACGGGCCGGTGGAGAATCCTGGGGAAAAAATCACACTTTATGTTAGTTTTATTCCACATATTTTCCAAACAATTCGATAATATTTTAAGCAATAGTGTTTTGGTCTCTTCTGATATGTCTTGGTCGGGAGTGGTTCACAAAATTTGAATAGTTCATGATTTCTAATCACAGCTAATATATACGAGTGTCAAATTGACGACTAAAGTAGCATAAAAATTCGATACCCGCCGCCCGCCGGGTATTTTACAGGTGGGGAGAATGGGGGGGAGGGAGGGAAGGGGGGAGACGGAGGGGAGTGGAGGGGAGGGGGCATCCAGGCAGAGAGTTGAACGGATTTGAGAGGATGTTCAGTTAAACCAGAGTATAACATAAGTTGCCTCGGTTGAGTTCAAACACGCAATTATAAGCTACCGGCTTTTCCTCTTCTTTTTTCTTTGACAAAGATCCAAACGTAAATTCCACATCGTCATGTTCATCGTCACCAAACAGTCTGATGAAGAAAAGCGAAAGAGTATACATCTGTTAAAGAAGACTTTCTCAGCGTGGACCCTAAGAAACTAGCCTTGTCTGGCTCAACGTCTTATCACATCACTCCTTCGTATTTACTTAAATATAGCACAAGAGTGGACATTCACGAAGGGCGCCTTCTTGTCCTCTGCCTCTCAATATAATTGGAATTTGAAGTGTATATTTTGAGGTAAGGACAAGGGCGGAACCTTAAAAAAAACCCTTGGAGCAGGGGCAGGAACAACTATCAACTCAAGGGAGTTTCAAAGCTGACCTATCGAACGTTACACTTCGTCGGAGTGAAATGACGATGTGGAAGTAACTCTGACGAAGGGCTAACGCTCGCAACGTCTACTTTGAAACTCTAAAAGGTGGCCAATAATACTTAATTACCCTGTTATACTCTCCCACCGACGCAGCACCAACCTTTCTTTAGAAATTTATCCCCCAATTTAAGGGAATCGAGCCCAGGTCACAACCAGCTCCCACTTTGCTTTCTACGTATTCCATGTGTCAGTGGGAGAAGCGCTGGTTTAACCGTGAGCGTGCTAGACTCCGGGTCGAGGGTTCGGGTCATTGTGTTGTGCTCTCGGGCATGAAACTTTACTCTCACGGTGCTTCTTCAATCAGGTGAGAGGTGTCGGCGAAAGACACTGAACCCTTCAGTCAAGACTACCATCATATATTTCAACTAACAAGACATGTACTTACGATTTAAGTTTATCTTCACTCGGGGCCTCACTCTGAGATGTTGGCAATAGCACATCTGTCATTACGGAAGAAAAACGATGCGAATGAGCGATACACGAGATCTTTATCCTTTCCTAAGCTATAAAGAGTGAGCTGTCAGTGAATTCAATAACAAGCACAACCGCAACAAAGACGAATTTGAATAAATATATGCGGTTTCATCCTTCGGCTTAATGGCGCCTAAGGTCTAACCGATTTATCCAAGGGTAACAAATGCAGTATCGAGCAAACAGTTGACGAGAAGATATATTAAAAAATCTGGATCATGGTTTCTCTTTTCTAGATCAGAAAAATCTAAGGTTACTTTTATTTCAAAACATCATCGTCCGTTTGGTTATCGATAAATAAAAGGTTAATAAGTTCTCTGTCATTTCTACCTTGTGTCTCTTGTTCTTCTTTACGTTGCTCAGAGACGCCAAAAGCATCTTCTATGCTTTCTGATACAGATGGCACAACCTTTTCCGAAGTATCGGCTCCAGCGTCTTCATCTGTCTCCGCAGAAAGTTCTTTTAAAGAAGGAACATCTATTTGATTTCCTTGAAATGAGTCCTCGGAAGAATTGTCTAAATTGTCAGTGTTTTCATTGATTCCTCTATCGTTAGAGCTTTCTAAATGACCATCATCTACATCATCTACAGCTACAGAATCCACTTTTTCTTTGATTTCACCGTTGTGTGCTAAATGCTCGGTTCCTTCATTTTTCATTTCATTGGACTCTATTTCATCTTTGCTTTGTTCAACGACAGTTCCTTGGAATCCTTCTCGCTGGTGGTTATCAGCCTCCTCTGTAACAGACTCTTTACTTTCCTTCTCTTCATCTCTTTCATCTTCATCTCCTTCATCAACACCTTGAATAGTTTCCTCAGGTTTCACTTCTTCCTCTGATTCTTCTTGGTCTTCTTCTCTGTTCTCTTCTTTCCTTGCTGCTTCTCCACCCACAAGTGTCTCTTCTTCTTTTCCTTCTTCTTCTTCTTCTTCTTTCTCCTTCTCTTCTTCTTCTTCTTCTTCTTCTTCTTCTTCTTCTTCTCCATCTTCTTCATCTTCTGCTTCTTCTTCTTCATCCTCTTCCTCCTCCTCTTCTTCACTTTCTTCCGTCTTGGATGATTTTCCACTCACAAGTTTCATGGTCACTTCCTGTAACAAAAACAAATTTGCATTATCGGTAATTCATTCACCATGAAGTTCGCGACTCGTCCTTTGGTTGATATCTACTGGCTCATATTTACCAAACTTTTGCAAGAGGATACTTTTCCTCTTCTTGTTTTTCAATAATGTAACGGAATATCTTTTTAAGACACGACTAAATTCAAGGGACACAAACTTTGCCGGGTCTGAACGGAGCGAACTGCTTTAATAGCTCTTCTGCTATTTTCACTGAAGGGACACCACTACCAAGGGGACACTGTTTCCAGTGTCGAACGTGTCCCTTGGATAGAAGTTCCACAATAGCAGCACCAAATTTCGTACTCTATTTTGGTGAATGTGAAAAAATCACTACGTTTTCGACTTCAGGTTAACAGCACAATGTACTCTGTTCACTACTCACAAGATACTGCTATGCTATTTACTCCATTAGGAATGCAGCGAGAAACAAATAGCCAGAAATATAATTTCCATTACAGGCATTAGTTTTTGTCAAAAAGTAAACGGTCTGTGTTTATAACAAGGGCAGCCACTGAATTTTAAATCGAGCCTTTCCTTAACAATGATACACTTGCAACAGGATCAATTTGACGGATTTTTAACTCAAAAGGTTGACTGCGTGTCGACTGAGTTTCTATTGACTCCTGTGTAAAACATTGCTCATACCTTAATGGTTTTAAGAATTACGGACATGACTTGCGAGCCTGTATAACTGTCGTCCGCTTCGAACTCACTTCTCAGCATATAGAACACCGTGTTCATAATACGTTTGACCTGTGTAATGCAAAAAGGTAATAAAAGTCAAAACGCATTGCTACCATAACGATTCCGAGCAAACTTCAGCGAAGGAATTGATATTGTTTACATAACATGCTAAAACGAACCTGTGACGTCCAAGTAAGCTAGAAGTTAAAAGCTTTTTGATTGAAATTCCGACTTACTTCATCAGTCACGTTGACAGAGGATTTTTCTTTGCTCGTAGCGCTCTGTTTCTTCCCTTCCGTCAATCCTTTACTGTATGCTTCTGAAACAGCAGATTCACGTTCCTGAAATGAAATTCAACACAACGATGAGACTAACAAATTATGTGAGGCCTTGTCTTCATGCAAACCAACACCTAATCCACCAGACGAAAAGGTTTGTCTGGAATCATCATCCGATTTAAGTAACAAAATTCTAGTAAGTTAGACAAACCTGTTCGGCGGAAGCCAGTTGCTCTTCATACTGTTCCTTCATTTTCAACGTTCTGGAGCGAACTTCTTGGTACTATTTAGTTGGACAAAACAAACAAAAATTTAAAAAAAGCCTCCTCAACAGTCGCAAGTCTGCATGAGTATTCAGGCGAACCAAGGAAAACACTTCATTTTTTTCTCAGTTTTCCGCCTGCACGTGACTCGACCTTCACGGTGGCCTCGTGCTTGACACCACCCCCTTGTGAAACGTAATTTTTGGCGTGTTCTGACGCTTGTTGATGTTGTTCTCCTTACCTTGGCCTGAAGCGCGATTAGCTCTTGTTCTGATGAGCGAAGTGCTTCTATCTGCGAATCTCTGTCACCTTGAGAATCCTGAAGACGCTTGTACTGTTATTTTATAAAAGAAAAGGCAAACAACTCTTCTGAGATAATCACGAAAAAACTTCTTTCGGTCGGTTTTTTTCATTCTATCTAACGCCCTCACATCGCATAAATTTGTAAGACGTCGCCTTAATCTTCACCTTTATCTCTTTTTTTTTTTAAGGCCAGATAACTTGGAAAGGTTATGATAACTTAAGGAGGGGAAGAGAATATTAAAGGAAACGACAAAGAAGATAACATAGACTACATTCAAAACTGCTTCATGAGGCCAAATTAACAGTTTTTCATCTCGTTTATCTCTAATTTACAATCTATGTTAGGCTTCTTCATCCGAAGCCATAGCGGTTCTTCCTATGTGTTAAGTCGCCTTTTCTGTGTTTTCCAGTATAACCATACCAATATTATTTACTCTCCTTCAAAAGTTGAGAGCAGTTTTGAACATCATTCAACACCAAAATATCCCTACCTTTTCTCGTATTCCGGCGAGATCTTCTAATTTCTCTTGAAGGTCTTTGATCTTCTCTTCTTTTTCATCGTCGCCTGCTTTAAGCGTTGAAACCTTCAGGAAAACCAGGAAAACTGTCTGTTAACTTCAATGTTCTTTCGTTAACTGTGTCGATTCGAAGGTCGTATCGAGACACGTAAAAATGTCCGAAAACGATCAGATTGGACAGAAGTTTTGGCACTGACTTCACAAATTTATTTTGTACCACCCAAGAACACGAAATCTTAACAATATATCTGTTCTGAGCTCAATTTGCAGTACTCCCAACTGGTAAAAACAAACTTTCATAACCTTTTCTCGAAGTTCTGCCAGTTTTTTTACTGTCTCTTCCTTTTCATCAGTAACTTCTTGGAATCTCCTTTTCCATTTCTCTTCAGTCTGTGCAACCATTTTTTCTGCTTTTTCTGTCCATCTCGTTTCAAGTTCTGCTTCCGCCTGAGCGACCTGAAAATAAAATCAGAACATTTGTCTTTTCTTCACATTACACCATTGTCAAAAGATTGACCAGCCAACCTGCACCGTCATAAGTCTGTGAGGGGCCTGGCATGTGCCACAACACTCGCACGCCCTTTCAAACATCTCGCACGCTCGCATAACTCGTCGGCTCGAAACGCCGCGGGGTTTGTACATCTGTCTCAACATCAAATGTAAGCACTGTAAATCGGGATCAAAGCAAAAAACAAACATCAAATGCTAACCTGTTGCGCTGTGACTGTTCCACTTGATTGCTTCTCTTTTCTGTGTTTTTCCTTCAAAAATTTTATCTCCTCCTACCAGAGAGCAGAAATGTTACTGATCTAACACAATAGAATTTGTAATTGCTAGTTACAATGGATCAGCTTGCACATAACAGAACGACTAGTATTACTACCAACACGGAATGGGATACTGGTCCATCGTAGACCTGCATCTAGCATTTAATAAACTTTGCCAACCACACTCAGTACATCTTTAAACTCCTGGGGTAGAGAGGGACACCGTGGGAAAACAGTGTCTTACCCAACAACACAAAGATCTTAGCCCAAGGCCCTGACCCAGGACTTGAACCCAGTCCTCTCAATCCAGAGTCTAGCGCGGTAACAACTAGACCGCTGCCTATCCCATAGGAATCAAAAGCACTTACAAAAATTATCTCAATTAACTTATTCACTTCCAATAGTAGTAATTCTCGTTACTATCTGCCATAAATTGATGCTGGTTCAAATGATATCCCTTAATTGACATTTTTTCCGAAATGTCATTACCTTTCTGCTTGATAGTGTGCCGATATTGAAAGAGAAACCACATCTTGGTCACACCTGAGTGAGAAATTGTTAATCCATGATACTTGCCCTTCTGTGGGAACTAGTAACACTCAGATGTTGACGTGATCCTGAGCTGAAGCCTAAAAACTTTTTCAGTTACCTCTTGCTGTGATCGCAGATCTTCTAGTTCTTCCTCGAACTTCTTCTTGTCGACGGCATGTTTCTTTTTTCGATCTGTTAAACCCTGAAAAGAAAGACAAAATATAAAGTCATTCACTGCGCAAACAGCTGTAGCGAGGCTAAATCACATCAGTAAGTATCTATCTGGTGTCAAGTTTTATACCAAACGCAGTTGACTGTTCCTACCTTTTCCAAACTTTCTTTTTCATGTTTCAAATCATTTAACTCCTCTTCAATGTGCTCCACTTTGCTTTCCAGTCTTTTCCTTGTCTGTTTTTCCTCTTTAAGCGACTGCTTCAGTTTATCACTCTCTTCTGCACTTTCTACAGTCACACGAGAAAAACAATCCATAAAAAATACGCCTGGATTTCCTGACCTCGCTATGCAAGGCTTACACATAGAAGAGAGCAAGATGGGAAAAAAACAGCTACGTAAAGAATTTATTCAATCTGGAAAGCATCAGACACGTCATAATTTGAAGAGGTAAGAGGGAGATAAAATAGAAAGCTGGTAGCTGGAGACGATAGCTCTGGAATCGTTGTTATTTCCCTGTTCGATAGATGGGAACTCGAACATCTATTTTCTTATAGAAAAGATAAGAAGTCTCTTTAAATTCTTTCTTCAACAAGATGGGTATTAAAATAATTTGCCAAATTCCAAAATTTTCCTCCAAGTTAGCGGCATATTGACACACATTTGGTATGAATTACTTTACGTACAGGCTTGATCTGTGTCAACCATTAGAGAACACTTCTCATTTCCAAACCAACCTGTGTGCGAATCTTTAGCTCGCATCAGGTCATTTCTGTATTTTTCAGCTTCTGATGTCGCCTTGCTGAGATGACCACTGAGCTCTGCTTCCCTCTGACGGAGTAACGCTACTTCGTTCTGTAGAGCTGCCAAATGTGTCTTGGCTGATGTTAGCTCGCTGCTCATGGTGATCTAAGAAACAAACGACAAACAATTTAAAGATAAACAATACAATTTGGATATCAAACTACGCTCCCAGACATAATGAGTTGGACCTCTTCTCTGGATCAATGTCTATGATGTTCTTTCACCCCTCTCCCCCTTACAATCTTGTTAATTGCTAATGTTTCTATGCCATCTTGCAGACCAACATTCCAGGCAGGAATTGTCCCAACAACGCTTTCTGAGGTATTCCACCCAACATAACAGGGAAAATGAGTTTGCAGATTACCTTTTCTTGTTCTAGCGATAACACCCTTGCTTGTGACTGTGCTGTGTTCACTTGTAAAGAATCACTCCTTTGTTCCAACATCGTGTTGCTATGTTCAACAAATCTGAAAATCATAACACAACCACACGTTACTTCCTGAGTTTATAAGGCGAGAGTTAATAAAAAAAAGGAAACTGGAATGGGCTCATATACATGCATCTGTCAACTTTTTGTATTCTGGGAATTAACGCGACTAAAAAATACCTCTGACTCTTTTGCAGTAACTCTGATATCTTGTCATTCAGCGTCTCAATCTTTCTGGACTTTTCAGCACCTTCAGCTTTTAACTTTTCATTTTCCTAGAATCGTAGGGAATGAGATTTTATAAAATGAATGTACCTAGATTGCCTTACTGACAAACTCATTGCGGACAATGTGCATGACAAGTTGTCTAATGGTCCTTGAACTCCAGATAATGACGCAAAATTCCGCAAAGAGGTTTTCCTCTTCAAAGATCGAAAATAGTCCTCTCAGTACGACTACAACCCTCCTTAATGCTGATTATCGATAGGAAAAGTCACCCTCCCCCATTGTATTTTAAATAATGTAGCTTGTTCTGTGATTGGCCGGCTTTCTGAAGGACACAAAATGTCCCTCCTGCCCTCGTTGCATATAAAATACTTGGCACAAATTATTGCCATGAAATATACTTACTGGTATACCTATTAGCATCTGGAGGCACGGGTTACAATCCCGTCAAAGCCTGAAGTTTAGTCAAGCTTTGTTTCTTCACCGGGCCATTTTAGAGTACTTAGTTGCTAAGCCTTTGATTTAGAGTGAGGCTGAAGGTGACCTTGTTGTGATAGAGACCAGTATCTCGTTAGCATGAAAACAAAGTAATTTGCATTTGATTAGCAGCAAGGTTTGTATCATAACAAGGTCACCCTTAGCCTCAATCCTGTTCAAAGGCTTGGCAACCAGGCACGCAACTGTAAGTGGACTATTGCTTAAATCTGTGAGGATAACGGCTTTATTTGAAAGTCTGTTCTCCAGCAAAGCAAGATATTGGCCGCAGTTCAACAGTAACTTGACAACCTAATAATTTTATTTCACTTACATGTGCATCAAAATCATACTGAATATGCGATATGTTGAAGATTGGCACGAAAAAGTACCAAAAATAACGCATATTTGACCAAGTTAGTCTAATGTATTACCTGCACTATTCTGGTAATGTTGTGAACTAAAACAGCAGCTTCCATTGCCGCTTGTGGATTACCAAAGGCACCGATTCCCATCTGACCAACTTGTGTTAGTTGTCCACCATGCTGTGCTGTGTTCTGCTGATGACGCTCAACCTACGACAAAAATCGCCCGAAAATTTAGTTTCTGGTAGCTGTATTGAGTCACGTAAAGACTTCGATAGAACGAAGTTTAAAGATCATACGGAGCAGGAGTGTACTTACTGTTCATTCAAAAGTTCTACTAGGAGGATGCAAATTGTGAACATTTCACTTCACGATATGGTGCTCGAGATAAAATCAAAACATTTTTATATTGATATTTCATGCATCGCAGTGCTGCAATGCCAACCTACTATACTGATACTGATTGGGAAACAAACAATAATTTCATACATGTAATTTCTCATATCATAGGGCTTGAATTTATCCCGCTCCTGTAGAAAAAGGCATTACTAAGAAACAAGAGCTTTCTAATAAATTATTCATCACTTTTCGACGAAGACAGATTCAGGAATGAAATAATATCGTAACACCGATGATCAAGTAAGCTCACCTTGTTAGAGAGCTCGTCAATCTTGTCTGACAACTTGCCAATAGACATGCGTATTTCACCTTGCTGTTGCCGTGTCTCTGCCATAAGCACTGGGACCATTGCGTCATTAGCACTAGGCTGGGGTGGAGGGGCTGGAGGAGTAGGGGGTGGGGCTGAATATGGTGCAGTGATTATCTGTGGCTGAGGTCCCATCATGGGATACCCCATGCTGGGTGGAGGCTACAGAATAAAACCAGAACAGTGGTTAACTTAATCTGTCATCAGCTACCTCTCTGATTTGCTCTGACGAAGGGCTAACATTCGGAACGTCAGCTAGGAACCTCTTTACGGTGGCCAATTTCCATTTTCAACTCAGCTGATAAAACTAAATTATTTTGTTATACTCTCCACCGACGCAGCACCACAGTTTCTCTAGAAACATACCCCCTTCATTCATTTACCTCTCTAGTAAGCTCACTATCTCAAATCTTTGTTCCTCCCGTGGGATTATTTTTCAAACGGCTGGTTATCAAACCTGGAACTGCATTTTTCTAAAACATACCAGACAAAGAATGACTTCTTTTCATCATGAGCAAAATCTCATTTTCCACAGAGGGCAACTCAAAATCTTACGTTTTGCAATAACAAGGCAAAAGCAATTGCAAAAAATTCAAAACATGTTTGCAGCGACTTCTCTCGTCATTGTCCAAAAGTAACTTCTCGGTGGCTCAAAATGTTTCACAAAACATAACCTAATCATATGTATCATATTTCAGACTAACGTTTAACCTGTTTCAAATTTAACATATGAGGCGCCTTTAGACTTAGCTATAGGGCTCACTCTGCAATTTTCTTCTACTTAGAGCTTTTAAAGCATCGTCACTGTGAGCATCTTAACACACTGGCTATGCAAAAATGAAGTCACTCTTATTTAACTAAGTCTGCTGAGGGCAAGAAAAAACGGCACTCGAAATAAGAAACTGTTGAAGCACAGCGCAGTTTTGTACAACTTGCTTGATGGACACTCTTGGAAACGAGATGTTTGTTGTCATTGGTAACTCTAGGGCAATCTTAGGGCCTTTCTGTACTAGCGGACAAAACTAGAATTGTCCCGACAAAATCAAAGGACAAATTTTGTCCTGACAAATTTTTGTTTCGTCTGGTGCATCCGCATGAAAAATTTCAAAGCCGTAAAATTCCGTCAGCGCCTAATCTGTTCATAAGACCAACCAGCATAGTTTGCCAAAGGATTCCACCTCCAATTTCCAGGATTTATACTAAGTCGTTTTAAAATTTTAGAATTTCCGAGTTTTGCTGCAAAAGACAATTTTTGCCTTTCGAGTAAACTGATCTCAGTTCAGTAACACGCTTGTCGTAGCTTATACGACAAATAATTGACAAGTCTATCACGCTTTTGCTTTTGTAGTCGATTTTTCCTTTTTTGTTTTAAACAGGACCAAAACTAATTTTGTCGGCGGTGCGTTTGAAGATTTGCCCGCCTCGGCTAAAATTTGCCGAGTCGCGACCAACCATCCGCACTTGTAAAATGTTGGTGATAACACAGAATTTGTCTGAATAAACAATTTTGCCGCTGGCGCGGAAAGGTCCTTAGACATAAACTTTTACTTTTACATTAAAGGTCTACCTAACTTATTAAAAAACTTAAATAAAAGCAACACTTTCATAGGATAAAATCTGCTAGCTTTAAACAACTTCTTTTTACTAATTTTATTAAAACCAACCTGATACAAAGCAACTTGCTGATGGGGTGTGAAAGCTGGCTGCATCACTGGTTGTGGGTTCATGACAGTCTGTTGGATTGGCTGTGCAGGAGGCGTTGGATTATGGACTGGCTGATGGACCTCTGGGTGAACCTGAGGTACTGGTCGCGGAGGAGGATGGGGCTTGGTGCGAACATTAGGATGAGGGTTGGAGCTAATGGCTGGTGGATTTGTTGTCCTCCCATCTGCTGTTTCTGGAGTACTGAACTCACCATGAGTTGGAATTTCCTATCAAATAATTTTAATAAACAATCAACACTATCTTGAGAAAGACGTTTTTCGTCTCGTCACGAGCGTGGGACAAAGAAAAAAATCTGAGTCACTATGTGGAATCGAACCTCAGACCTTCGGATTCCGCGCTCCAATGCACTAAGCCTTTTTTTAGTATGAGAAAAAGATTGAGTCTGTCCTCAGTTTACATTGGAAAATACTCATTGTAGACTAAAAGCTTATTTATGTGCTTCAGAGGTAGTTAGAATTCTAATCAAACTATAAAGTTTGCTTCCATTCTCTTCCGTAACTTTTTGTCTGAGGTTAAAGACCAAATGTTTCATTTATTCATTCATAAATTAACATACTACTGCAGACGTATGACTATGATAGATACAATTGTTAGAGATGACTGTGTTACTTACCTGCTCCTGCTCTCCCAGTTCATCATTTTCAGGTTCGGCAACCACAGCTCCAGGCAGGGATAAAGGATTTTTTCCCATCTTAGACATCCGTGCAAGTAAACGAGCCTTATCTGTGTTTTTCCCTGGAGACTACACAACAGAGAGACAATTTGAGTCTGGAAAAGGGTGTGCTAGTCATGTATATCAGTATAGTAAGTATTGACTGGTAAATTCTCCCGAAGGGAGCAACACAGGAGGACTACAATCTCTTTGTTGAGAGGTCACCATGGCAACTGAGCCACAGCCCCCTTTCAAGTACCTGTAAAGATATCACTGCCACACTTTTACAATGGGCAAGAAACACTTTTACAAAATTAGGGAGGGAGGGAGGGAAGGGAATGAAACAGGCTTAAATGTATCTGTTGTAGCAGGCAAAATAAATTTTAACAAAAACATGCGGCAATGCCACTGCAAAACCCTTGCAAGTATGTTGAGTACCTGTCCCAAGATTAAACCTTTGTGCAGAGCTACAACTGACAAATTTCTAATAGACTCTTATAACAAAACAATTAGCATGGTAAGTGGCATTGAAAGTTTCAATAACAAAAGCTTCATCAGATAAACAAACAGAGTACTGCCTGACCTGTGAAAGCTGTTCTGTGATTGACGCAGTTCTCCCTTTAATTCCAGAGTCTCCTGGGACACTAAGGATCACAAGTAGAACTGTTTAGCCAAAGGTAATTATTAACAGCCAAATAACCCTTGCCCATCAAACTGACATAATTTTTTTACATAAAAGATCACCATGTTAACAAGCTTCTATGACTCTGAGAAATAATCTTAAATTACCAATCTATGTACCTGTGTGGTATGCTCAATATAGTGCAGTGAAGAGATTAAGAAATGAAATGAAGTGATTTTCACAGAGCCTCGTCAACTTACACAATATCATGTCACACCCTTTATTTCCATGGTGAGATTACACTGCACACTTTCCAATAGATAATTTCATGCTACCTTAGTGACGAAACAGAATCTGTAGACTTTTTTCTTGTGCCAGAAGGCTCAGACAAAATGTCAGGCAGTTGATCAGTATTTTGTGCTGTAGAAGGTTCATGAACTGTCATTGGAGATTCATTTGACTCTCTACTGGACTTAATCTGTTGACAAATGATCTCAATCAGTATATGAGTCAACAGCACTATGTCTTGTTTTTCATGAAAAAAAACACAGGAATATTTTTTCTTTCCTTGATATTACTTGAATGTTAAATTATTATTGTTGTCATTATTACTATTACTATCATTGGTGTTATCACAGTTATCATAACTATCACCACTAATCATTGTCTTGATGTAAATGTAGGGATGCTTGTAATTTGGAAGTATCTTAAAAATACATACCCTTAAAACCTCTACTTCAAACAAGAGAGAGGAGTTAGGAGGCACTCTGGAAGGTACACCCTGCAAAGAAACACATATGATCAATGTTTGCAATGAATGCAGAGAAAATTATCTTCAAGTTCAATCTAGGAGAATATCAATCAATTACAGTTAACAGAAACTAAGTGAATTACATTATGTTTTTTACTGCCAGTTATTGTACTTGTATCATCATTCAATAACAATGAATCCATAGTATCATGTTAACCCTTACACTCACAAGATCTCACTGTTTAGTTTAAGTATTCTCATTACCTGCTTGCCTTATAATGACAGAGTTCGACAAGGTAAGGGAAACCAGTTCTGTTTACAATTATCAGAGTTGAGAGAAACCAAGGGTTGGTGAATTTCACACTCCCCTTAAGATTTAAAATGTTTAACTTAAGATCTGACCTTTTCTCCATAAGCCAGAGCAGACGGAATGGCAATCAACCTCTTTCCACCTTTTTTCATGCCTATCACTCCTTGCTCCCATCCCTAAAGAAATTTAAAATATTTCACCACAGTTCAAAACAATGTCTTTACCATGACAGAGAATATGAACATTGAAAGCCAGTACAATAAATATTTCCTGGAGTATAACTCAAGTCATAAACTTAACCCTTTGACCCCTGAGAGTGACTAGCATCTAATTTCTCTCCACAATATCACCACTGAATCACAGATTAAGGTCATGAGAATAAAGGAAATGATCACCAATTAAAATAACTCTTGTCTGTTTAACTATTGTTAGTACCTTGGAAAACACATAAAGAACAGTATGGAGGATATATGATGTGGTTTAATTTTATCCTTGGTTCAAATTTTATTTTCCTTTCTTTCAACCTTACTATCATACATTACAGTACCAAAAGGCAAACAAAAAAAAATTGAACTGAGGATAAAATTGCACCACAACATATACATACTGATGTTGGGGTGTAAAGTGTGAAGGAAAGATTTTAAAAAATTACAGAAAGAAAGAAAGAAAACAGAAAAGGCATACAGATGAGAACTAGAACATGGATAGACAAATGGATGAGAAGCATCCAAACAGACAAACTGAATGAACAGAATAAGGGACTCTGACAGATCAAGGAGACTTAATATATGAAATTACTGTACTGTGTGTTGTCTGTGTACCTTGATTACTTTTCCTTTCCCTGTTTTGAATTTGAATGTTTTATCTGTCTCAGCATTGCTGTCAAAAACCTAAAAATTAAAAAATTAGTTCCAGTGACGTGCATTTTACAGTCAGTAGAAATTACATAAGATTGATTGAAGTAAAAAATTTACTTTTCCAAAACTGTTATTAGTCCATAACCATCCAGTGTACTTGACTTCTAAAGCATCCCCCAGTTCAATAGCCTGAAGGCATGATACAAAAACAAAAGTGAGTATTCTTTTTGAAACTGCAGTTATAGGTAAGTACTCTTCAGTTATTACACCACTTCCAAAAGGCCACAGGGGTCAAAATAGGACAATTTGGGAAGTTGACTTGTTTTGAATGATCAGGGAAAATAGTTATTGGCTGAAAATTGTTTGTCACCAGTAGTACATCACAAACAGAAGTTGCTGTCTCACACACTATTAGTTGAAATCTTATTATAACCTTTGACCTGCCTCCAATTGTCAAAAACAGGTTTGAAAGTCTTCTTAAAAATTTGTTACATGATTTAAACCTTAGAATACACATAGTTTTAAGAAGGCATTCATGGTTTTAAGCACAATAATGGGTTTTTTTGCGATTCAATACATTTTAATAGTTGAGTAAAACTGATTGATATAAGATCCCTTTTACTATGCATAACCTCCTTTTTCAGGGTGGATTCATGGCTTGTGCTTGAGTACTTGATCAGGAAAACTAAACGGTAAAATATTTCTCAAAAGAACATCTAGAAAACAAAAACTTATTTGACCACTGGAGCAGTCATTTAGCTGCCTAAAAAAACATGATGACCCTTACCTGTCCATCACCAGGAGAGAGATCTTGTGTGCAAAGATTTGATGAAGCAGAATTGAATTTTGATAACCCAACCTGTAAATCAATTCCAACAGGACAACTGTATTCCTTCTCAATTAATTTCAAAAGGTTGCAGTGGCTTCTTAGCTGCTCCACTTAAAAACTAATTTTCTCTTTATTTGCTTTACCAGTAACCCACACTTGTCATGTTATGATACAGACAAAACTATATTTTCACAGCATAAATTCAAACCACTAAGTAACAGTTTCATGTCTGTCAAAATCCAATAAGTCTTACTGTAGTTAATTGCCAAAGCATTCTTTGGGCATTCTACCAGGATTAAAATCTACTGTTATGCACCTTTCAAATCCAACCTCCAGCACTAATCTTTGAAAACTTAATTTTCTTTAAACCCTGATTTTACCCTGTCTTCTGCAATGCTAACGCCAAATTTATTCCATCAAAATGCTAATTTTACTTGTTTGCAACCTTAAGATCTTGATTTTTCTTATTTCTTGAAAGATTAATCCATGGCCGTAGTTCAAATGAACATGAAGGAAAACTCACACACAGTTAATTGTCATATATAAAAGCACTTTTTGATTGAGTTCTATAAAACCAAAACCTAAGTGCAGATCATGTTAAGGCCAATCAGAAAAAAGGAAAATACCTTTAACCCTTTAATTCTCAAGATGTCATTAGTAATTCTCCTTACTGTCTGCCTTACAGTTTATATAACAGTGTTTTGGAGAATTTGGAATTAGATCAACCAATAATCCCCCAATTAATATTTTTCTTTATTCTCATTACTTGTCTGCTTGATATTGTAGATATGGTGTAAGAAGGAATTCTGTCTTGGTCACTAGTGGGATTTAAAGGGTTGAGAGCCAATGAAGACTCCAAGTAAAAACAACCAAACTGCTTAAAGTGCAGAAAACACATGCAACAAAGTTGTGACTGATTCTAGTTTTGTATCTGATGGTTGAGAGCATGGAGCTTGTTTCTGAACCAATCACAGAGCAAAGTAAAACAAAACCAATGCACACTCTCGTACAATCTCAGCTAACTAATTACCTGTTTCGCAAAATCTGTGATATTCTTATCCGATTCAAAATTAAGTGACCATGTCTGCCTCTGGTCATCATAAAAACTTGCATAATTACTTCCTTGAACCTAAAAAAAAATATATAACTGTTAAAACTACCGTCTGGGGAAATAAAAGTATGAATGCTGAACACTTGAAAATTTACAATTTAACTAACATATCATACAATGTAATCCACTCATATATTTACCGTGAATGAAAAATTCCCATGAATTTTTGCTGTGGTCACTTGCTGTTGTTTTGAAGCATAAACGAGAATCCGGTACTACATTTGTAAAGAAATAATAGCACGATATATAAGTATTGGAATTTCCATTTTCCCTTATACATCATTGTGAGAGTAAAATATGTACAGCTAAACCCGTATTTTATGAACTTTCATGAACAAGTGTTATAAGTGCAGTGACAAAGCCAAGTCCTACATTTACTGTAAAATGGGTCTGTATTCAGTGAAGCTTTTTTAACCCTGTGACCACAGAGAGTGACTTGCATCTAGTTTCTCCTTACAATATCACCCCTAAATAAACACTAAGGTAACAAAAAAAGAGGAAATGATTACCAACCAAGCTCTTGACTGTTAAGCTTAGCATGGATAACTTACATCATTTGCAGGATGATTGCCCAACACTGCAGCACCCAGTTTTCCCTGACTAGCATATTGGCCATTGACACTAGAATGTGATGTAACAGATGTTTAAAACTCTTTTGCAAGTCTGCAAAATTTTTTATCAAAAAGTGCTGAAGAGAAACAGGGATTTACATACACAATACACTGAAGAGCCACTTACTATTTGTAGGCATGGACTGCAGTTGCAAACAAGAGTGTTGTTTCTCCACCACCAGCTTGCGCTGCTCCAGCTAGAGATAAACAATGGTATCAACAACAAGTGCATCACAAAATTATGCCAGATTCCTCAAGCTGTTCACAGTTATAGATCACAGAAAACGTCAAAATGCGACAAGAACATCAGTATTACACTTGGCTGCCCCTCCTGTGCCACCTTTTTGTTCTTACCATATTTTGATGTCATCTGTGACCTACAAGGGACACATGACAACATGGGATTTATTTGGTAAAGAGATTCAAACCCTTAAAAAGACAGTTATCTGAAATGGCACTCTCTTTTTTACTTTGATTTTACACATACTTTTAGGATATTCTACACTAAAATTATTGTTCAAATTTCAAATCCTTAACTGTTGAATTCAATTAAAAAATTGATTTAAGCTCTGTAAGCTCCCCTTCACAAAAAAACGTGATATAAATATAATAATATGGTATTAACACTGACAACAGAATTAGTTGATACAGTGAAAATGTGCACAAAAAAAAAACGCTTAGCAGGTCACTATATTCGCTCTCAGCCTCTGGTTAATGGAGAGAAGTATTGGCAGTGCACTTATAAAAAGAGTTGCTTTACCTTAGTTGTCATAACAGACATCCCGGTGAACGAAGTGACCGAAAAGAGGATAGCTGGAGGCTTGGAGCAAGGGGGAGGGGTACGAAAGAAAAAAGGGTTGCTGATCGGTTGTGTCACTTGTGCAAAATTACAAATTCTCACGTGTTTCTTTCTTTTGAGGTATTCTCAAAAGATCTACTTGAATTGCCTGATTCAGCGCGAAAAAATGACCACGCACTTCGTACACCGAGATCACGACAAGGTTGATTCGATTGTAACCGCACACTGCACATAAATTAATTAGCCGTTCACCTGGTTTCTCTTTCTTTGGCTGCTTAGGAGCAGTGTACGTCAAGGATTCATTCCCTCCTAAAAACGATGCTCTATCCTGACCAAATAACGATGCAAGCTTGGAAGAGCTATGCGAGATAAGAACACTGTCACGCGACCTCAATTTTCCGCCATCTTGAACTTCTACGATAACATGTGAAATGGCAAAAGACAGATTACAAAAGTAAATCAATTGCTCACCCTCCACGGGTCGGGGACATGAAATCTCCTTCGTCATCATCAAGAGGGGAAGAAAACATTCTGAGACGAGTAACAAACTTATAGTAAACCTCCTAGGTAGATAGTTTTCGTTTAGTGATAGCGATTAGGAAACCGAAAGCTTCGTTTACTTCCTCATTGGAGGCTGGGTTCTAGTCTTGCGTCATACCGCTGAACAAGATTTCGTTAGTGACAGGAACGTTGATAGTCTTAGGTTGCCTAGGTTGTCATTCGTTTCAGCTGAAATGTTGTTGTGAGAGAATAAATAACACATAAACATAGCCTAAAAAAGTCGTACCCCCCCCCCCTTAGGAGAATAGATTAACGATGATGATATTAAACAAAAAGCAGAAACATTTTCTTGAAAAAGAGAAGACACGGTCCTGCGCCCCTCAAGGCCCACCCAAGGAAGATCTACGCACAGTATCTCCAGACTTACTCTTCGCTTCATTTGGTGTCTTCTTAAATGACGTCCTTCTTGGAGGTCTGATGTATTTCAGTCCAGGTGAATGGTCTTCGTCGATGCTAAGATCTGACTTGGTGGTTCCCACTAATCCGAATTCTTCTTGATCGCTTGCTGCGAAGTAATAATCAAGTGTAAAAGTAGCCTTTGTCAAACACTACCGAATTTTTCATTGCGGGAATCTTAAAAAGAAAAAAAAAACACCCGGCACAAGTTTAATAAGAGAAAGTTAAGAACAGAGTCGTCACTTTCCCTTTCCATTTCTGTCTAAAAAAAAAGTCATTCTGAAGTCTGATCACTTTCCTATAAAATTAAGCATAAAGCAAAAGTAACAATACTCTTTTAGGCCATATATGATACCACCCTAGGGAAAAATCGCGACAGTTTAAGGTCGTGTTTGAGATCTCAGGAGAAAAGGTTATCAATGAACATATAAAGGAACCCATAAAGGAAGAAAGTTTTTTCGACAAATTGTGTTCAACAAGTTCAGGAAAAGGGGAGGGCCATTCTCAATGGCAAGCCAAACAACCGTTATAGAAAAGAGCATATAAGTCGTGATTTAGAGATAAGGGAATACGCTCTAACCGAAGTCGAGAACGTTATGTCACATCCATATAACGTACCGGTAGTTTTGTTCCGAGATTCTACACTGTGACTTGTTTAAGCAGTAACACAGTATACAATACAGTCCCTCCTTTTCGGTGACGGAAGTCTTTCAAGCATGTCAGAAAAAAAAATCAGTAACCAAAAAAGTGATGTCAGCTCTCTACTTTTTGTGCACCGCACTCCCAAAGTTTAGCGCAGCTGGTGAACAGTTTTTGTTTCAGTAAGTTTTTTTGTACTCGCTCAAACAGAGGAACTACTCGTAATAAATAGCACATTTAACGTTAACTTAATATTTCTAACTTTGTACAGCGGTGTCGCCAAGAATTTCATAGTCTTCGTAAGTTCCTTCGTACAGCATGGAGTCCGCTGGAGCAACTGTGGCGATCCCATGAGAATCGTCAACTTTGGGAACATGTGATACCCAATCTGTGCACAAAACGAAACCCGAAATACATAGGGATAAGATAAATTAATTTTCTGTCACTTATTTTGTAGTCTGTAACATAATCCCGTTTCAAGTCTTTTTGTTACCCGTACAACAAGAAAACCGTGACAACCGTGAAACCTGACAAAGGAACAAATATGTAAGCGATGTAACTCAATTGAAGAAAAAAACCTACTTCGATTCTAAACAAAACACAACTGACTAAGGATGACGTATTGGTAAGTACCTGTAAGATGAGCAAGTATCACAGGCTGTACGTTCCGCAACAATGTTATAAATTATTACGAAATACTTCGTAAATATTCTAAATTGAATTGATGTAATGTATTACCAAAATAGATACTCATCTTGTCCAAGACTGTAGATAAAAAATGTTTTCTCATCTAACCTCAACGCCATAAACGAATGAAACAACTGATCACTGAGGAATCAGCTGAATAACACGATATACAGCACGTGAGAGCGATCCTACACTACAAAGATCGATCAGCGATTCGAACTCACCTTTATTATCCGAGACATGTTCGTTCAAACCATGTTCCTGTGTGAGGATTGAAGTATCTTCTTCGTGGCTGATTTCCACAGAGTCGACAAATCGTATGACGCTGTTTTCTTCGGCAATGCTCTCTACAGCCCCCATAAAGTACCCATATAAATCGACAGGGTTAATAAGCTGGCGAAAGATCTCATGTTTGCCGATGTGACCGCCAAATAAAAATAGATTACGAAATACCCAACAAGTTCGATATTGAACCGCGCGATTTGCGCACAAAAATTTTTGTCCTCGTCAAGAATTTCAAGAAAAACAGTACCTTAATTTTGGTAGAAGAAAAGTTTCTAATGAACCAGCGGTTACCGAAGCATGCTAATTGTAAACAGAAACAGCAATTTACATATTCGTCTTTCGTGACACAAAAGCAACGACTGGCATTGCGTGACGAGACTAAAACAATCTCTGACTTTTGAGATAAGTTTTTCGTAATACCATCCCTTGTACTGCGAGAAACTCAAATATAGAGAGCGAGTAAAAGCCCTATAGCCGGTGGTTTATAACTTGTTAAGGTCACCCTTGGAGCTAAAGAACACACTGCTCACTGTGTTCCAAATAAAAAGATCAACAAGCACACAATCTGGATGGAAGGAAGCGCCACGGAAAATACCACTTCTAACGAAAACAGTCAGGACACATGGAATTTATTAGCCTCTTTAACCTGAGGTTAATGTGAGTCAAAAAAGACGAAACTGCTTAATACTGTATAAAACTATTTCAAAACTATTTTCAAAAGTGGCATTAATCCGGCTATACATAAGTAATTTCAAACGAATCATTTACGAATTTGGTCTTTGAACATGATAACGTTGGGATTACAGAAAAAAAAAGACTCTTCCCTTTTTCTTCAAGCATCTGAATCTTAATGCCTTCTCGTGTGAATCTGATGTAAAGGGTGTGGTTGATACCTCGTTACAGGCCTTATTTCCACGATGATCCATTTCGTTTATGAACGAACAAAGAGACCAAATAGTATAAGAAAAGATAGCATATTTTTCTCTTTGAATCCGCTACTGAGAGGGAGAAAGGCATTTTTCGTCTTGCGTGGAATAAAATAGATAAAAATCTGAATTTTCACGAGGATCCGAAGTCCGCCCACTAAGCTACAGACTTAACAGTCAGCGTGGCTGTCAGTAGGTTCCCATGTGACACTCGTCCAGCAATGTCGAAAGCGTCGTGTAAGTACAAAGAAAAAAGAACTCGAACTTAAGGGACTGAACCCCTCAAGTGGGTTCACATCATGTTCAACTCAAACCTCTTCCACTCATGGCTATGCGAAGCACAGAAAAGAGCACAGAGGGGATTAAGTGGCGTCAGAACGGCCTTAGAGATCTGCGGACAACTTGCATGTTATTAAAGATAGCGGACCGCTTGCAAAGGCCTTTTGTGGTGATGACGCCTCAATTCTGTTTCTTGGACTCGCAGGATCATTAAAACTTTTAGTACAGTCACTGTATATCATAATTTTCATGCGTAGAGTAGATCCACGAGCTCGCCATGGTGTAACTACGAGAGAGTCGTTATGTTTTTGTTGTTGTTGTTGTTGTTGTTTTTCTTGGTTTTACTCTCTTCTACCGCTTTTTGCAACTTGATCGCCGATATTTTCCAAAATTTGCGAACTTTGTGAGTCCGCTACGCGACACTTTTTTTCTTACGCGGGATCAATGCGGCCAATCCCGCAATGGGCCCATCTTGCCCCCTCGGGGAGCCATTCAAAACAAAGGATTCGCTTCGTAGTGCCCAAAGGCGCTGCCAGCTGTATAATAAAGAGAGATAACAGACAGACACAATAGGAGGTTTCAATGAATGACTTAAGAGACTTGAAACAATACGGTCTGCTTTCTCGAAAAGACCTCTCCTGATCAGAACTTTCAATTTGCGTTATACACTATTTCCTTCACCCAGCGGGGCTCCATGAAATTATCTCTTGGCGAATCAGAGGAGTTGTTCAGATTTCTGTTTTTTAATCATCAGTTTGTTGATGGACAATGAGCGGGCTAAGATTTCAAATCTTACTAGAATTCACTCAAAGACCCCTATAGATGTTGCAATGCTTTTAAATTATAACAATAAAAACTTAACCATAGTTTCACACGCATTTGGATTTCCTCAATTCCCCAGGATTTTCCTGAAACAACTTACCAGCTGGAGCCCACTAGAATCTAATTTTCCACCTGACAGATCTAACAATAGACATCTTATTTCCGGACTAAGTTGGATTTAACAAAAATGGTAGAACTTGCTATTCCTACATGGAAATCTTCCAAAAAGTATTTCCGTTCACAATTATAAAAAGGAAAAATATAACCCGAATTAAACCTGCGAAAAAAAAATTATAGGTCGTTGTACACCTGCTCTTTGACAATATTTATCCACGTTTACCCAGCATCTAATAATCAAAAGTCAACTTTTGTAAACTTCAAAAGAACACCTTTTCATGGAAGGTTTATAATTAATCTTTGTGTAGTTTGAGTGGTTGACTCCTGAAAGAGGTTCTTTTAACTTCGCGCTAAGCGACACTATTTAATTCAGTTGCTGGCTCAATTGAGTTCCTTGTGAAGTTGGATTTACTGGGAGATGCCTGATGGTAGTTTTTTCGATTGTCGGCGGCGATTAGAAAGATCAAACCACAAAGAATAATTTCCATTGTTCTCAAAATTGTTTGTGTGGAAAACCACGGCCAACTTTTTGCGAACCTGTCGCCAGCAAAAACACCAAACTCTCCAACGCTTACGTACAAGGAAATGGAGAAGTTACCCAAACCAAAAAGAGAAGCTGCACTCATGAAGAAAAACAAACGCTTCAGTTTTCCGGCATCCCGAAGAAGGCATGGATCGGTGAAGTTGCGAGCTTTCAATGAGGACTTCAAATTTTGCCACATCCGAAAACCCGCAATGAAATAACCAAAAGAAAGAGCGAGACCCCAAATGACGAAAGTAATATGGCAGATAAAAATCATGACTTTAGCTTCTGGATAAAACCAAACCACAACATCAGAGACCGTCACGTAAACGATGTTCGTGAGCGTGATTGAAACCAAGAGGGGCAGGTTTCGAAGTTTCGGTGGTCCCAAAGTTATTTTGGTCGTCTCCAAGAAGATTAAGAGCATTATACTAAATGCTGAGGTGATACAAGCTGTTGCAATTCCCCAAGAAATAAAAACAACAACATTTTGAATCGCTGACGAAGATTTCTTCGAGGTGTAAGGATCCCAGAAAAGAACAAGAGCCCGCCCGATTCCCGCGGTGATCAGTGCACAGCTCACGACCAACAAATGGACCTTCTGTTTCGCATTAGCCATTCTTCGAAACCGAGAAAGAGAAAAGACAGCGTATAACGTCAAGAGAGTAAAAAGGCTGGCAAAACCATAAATGTGGGCAAACCACATCCAGTTCCATTCTTCAATAGCGCGGGTCCATTCTGGAAAAGGCTCTGGCCAAACGTTTACAGAATGGCGATCTGAATCGTTCGCATATGTGGAGGACATTTTCTCTGGTTTAGAACTTGGTAATGACAGAGAATGCTTATCCAAAATTAATCCAGGTACCTATGAATCTTGAAACAAAGGTTTTGAGAAGGAAAACTTTCTTTATCAATGAGCCGTCTGATAATTTCAAAAACGGATGGCTTTGAAGAGTGCAGGTCCACAAACTAATACTAGCTATAGCGATCTGTGCGAAGATAATAAAGCTTTTGTTGAAATAGCTTCGTATGATTGCTGAGGCGGAATAATTGAATATGTTAATGTTCGCACGGGAAGTTCTGGAAGAAGATTTCAAAAGTGACCCAACAAAACAGGTGAAGCAAACATATTGATCATCTGTCCATTCTGAATAAATAACCCACCATGCTTTTTTTTTTTTTTTTTTTTTTTTTTTTCTTTTTTTTTTTCACCTGTATCGTTGACTTGTAATTTTTTTACCTTTGAAGATGGTTCGATAAAGATGTGGGGAATTTGTTAAAGTCCTCTGGCAATTTTCAGCCCTAGTGTGAACTTTTGTAAACGCATCTATGGCGCTTATTCCAACTGGATTAAAAATTTATAACTCTGACATGTTATTCACGAGAAAATGAAATTGTCCATCAACCGAGGGATATCCTGTTAACCTCAAGTAAACAAAACTGAAAATTTGCGGCTTGATTTGTGAAGAGCCTGTCTTAGCATAGTAACATATTATTTAAAAGCATTTAAAAAGAGTGAATTTATTGTTGCAAGTCACCATGAATACGATCGATAGTTGGTTTTCTTGCCAAAACCTAAATCTTCAATTTTGATAAATACTTTTTGAACTTTCAGACAATTTGATTTTAATTCGCTTCGTCTTTTCAAATTGCAATCGTCTTGAGTTGCTGAAATAATTCAGTGGATGCAAGGCGTAATGGAAATGAAAACACCATCAAAATTTCAATATTTTATGAAAGTCGAGTCACACCTTGGATTGATTAAAAATCAAGTTAAAATGACACATCTTCCCTAGAAACAGTAAATCTTCTGAAACATGTCTTTAGAAAGTGACAGGTTTTGTTTTTTTTTTTTTGTCTTTCCTACATTAATTTCAAATTGGCATTTTCCCGGAATGTCCTCCACTAAAGCAATGTTGACAGAAGGAATGTAATTAGGACAAGTATTCTTTTCTACAATTCCTCGTACAACCCATGCAACCCTATTTTTCGGCAAATTCATATAATACAATATTATTTTGCTGTATGTTAGTGAGTTAAAAAGATCTAGTCGGTTTAATTGTCCAAACCATCGATTTATGTCTGAAATAAATTTACTGTTACTATATTCAAAAACAGCGCATGCGTCATAACGAAAAATTGAGGCTAAATTATGAATTATCAATCACACATTTGGTTAGAGCGCTCTTCAATGGAGTGTCGTAAAAAACAAAACCAAAGTAATCCAAGCGACCAATCAGAGCAAGGTTTACGTTATCATTAGACAATGAGAACTCAGAGCGAAAACAAACAAGCTGCCTGAAGCGCGGGAAGACGCAAATGGCCAAGTTACAATTGTTTTACAATTGCATCTTATTGGTTAAGAGAATCGCACCAGCTAGTGAAAGCTTCCTAGAAACAGATCTAATTGCAGCTTACTTCTACTGATTTTGCCTCCCCCTTGGCCCAAGACTGAATAATTTTCTTTCATTCGCCATTTCGCCATGAAACATGCATGCTAGTATTGCGTCCTAAGGATAATCTGCCTCCTCCAGAATTTTCACCGCAACACGAATAGCCATGGTTTTTATACGATCTGTGGTACTCAAAGTTTGAAGGGGTAAGTGGTGCTGCGTCGATGGGAAAGCATAACAGGGTAATTTAGTATTATCAACTGAGTCGATAAAGTAAATTGGTCACCGTAAAGTGTTTAAAAGCTGACATTTCTGGCGTTAGCCCTTCGTCAGAGCGATTGAAGGAATTATGGATTGTGTGTGTGTTTATAGGCAGAAAATGGAGCTACACTATCGGTGGGAATATGGTGACGAGAAAACGAATAAATTAGTTGAATAAACAGCGCTCGTTGATACCATAGGGATTAGGAGTGCCGATTTGACAGATAAATTTTTGTGCTCAAAGTTCAATTGTTGAAGGCTTTTGTTGCTTCCAGACAAGCTGCCTTGAACGCTTCTTTAACGTCGATAAGCGCCCTTTAATGTGGATTACTCAAGGCAGCCAGATGCATCTTTTTCAAATTGCCGACAATGGCGGGAGCTGTATATATAGTAGTTTCTCATCGTATATGCACAGCTCAACATGTCCCTGGACTTGAGAGAGCGTTTGCGTTTAGATGGAGTACTCTTCCCTCGTCCAGCAGCGTAAAAAGACACTCAAATCCTTGTTTGAAGTAACAGATGGTTGTTAAAAGATGCTGACTTGCAAGCGCATCTAACTTCGACGTGATGTCGTCTATTTCACGAATGAGCAAGAAACGGAATTTTTGATCTGTGACATCGCCATCTTTCAGCTTTTCTGCTGCCTTATCTCTTCGCTCACAAGCAAACCAATGGCGGCTATGATATCAATTCACTATCAGCAAGTAATGAGGATAATTAAGAACTATTCTCCGAAGTGGAGGTAGTTAGGGGCGGTTATTTACCGAGCTGCAAAGCGGTGAGCCACCGAGTCTGAGGTGAATACTTGTTTTCGTATGTATTAAAACAGTGAGATCAGGGGTGGATCCAGGATTTTGAGTGAGTAGTTTCCACCCGAGGACCCACTCCTGCTAGGGGGGTTCGGGGGCATGCCCCCCTGAGAAAATTTGAAATTTGGAGCTCTCTAAAGGCCATTTCATGCATTTTTAGAAAATTTAATTGCCCCCAAAAGACTAAAAAAGCATGTAATCAAAAAGGCAAAAAACATTTATTTTTCTTGAAAGTACTACAGGAAACACTCTGATCTACAAATATTCCACCTTTAGCTACTGTGCAAACCAGTGTATATAGTGTTTTCAGGAAGGCCAAGTCATCACCAAGACTTTTCACACTGGAAAACATCACCTCCCAGTCAGGAAAATCAAGATGTGGAGAAAAAAAAACGAACCAAGTGTTAGTGTTTTTGATAACAAAAGAAAAACAAGCACAATTGATAATATAGTTTAAAGATTGATAATAAAAATCTACTTGCCTTTTTCATCCTTGGGACCACAGGCTTACCATCCATAAAGCCCTTCTCTCTCTCAAATTTCTTCTGTGTTGTGCTCCTATAATGAATGAAATGAATGAAAGCCAGGCTCAATAAATCCAAATGTTTAGTAACACTAAAAACAACATTTCCTGAGCTGGCTTTTATTCATTTCATTTATAGGAGCACAACACACAAAAAGAATTTGAGAGAGAGAAGGGCTTTATGGATGGTTAGCCTGTGTTGGGAGCTGGAATTAAAAAAATAAAACAATTATTAGAAAAATATAAATTATAAGAATCATAAAATGATATACAAATTGAAGTAAAATGATAATTTGAAATAATACTAGCCTTTCTTCATCCTTGGGAATTGCTGTGAAGCTGGTTGAGTTCAGTGAAAATGTTTGTTAACCATTTAAGCTTAACATGAAAACCCAATGTCAATGTCAATGGAAAATCATCACAAGTAAAACAAAATAGAAAATAACCTTGAAATGAGTTGAAAAAAAGTTATACAGGCACCAGTTTGAGCTTCTGTACTGTTCTCCATCAGTTTAAGGATTATGAGACTTAAAGGCCATAACCCAGACAGAACATAACTCACAAGTACTCTAGAAACAGCTGGTGCAAAAAATTATTACAAAATGTTTGCCATTCTCATTCTCCTAGGATGTAACTCAGCAAATAAATCTATTATACGTTCAAGGTCAAAATCCATGTCTCTGTGGGCATGCATCAGTGCCAATCCATTCAGTCTGTCCTGGGTCATTGTATTTCTCAAATAGTTCTTAAGATTCCGAAGGGATGATATGGATCTCTCACAAGATGTAGATGAAATTGGAATTGTGATCAGGACTTTCAGCATGGAATAGATGTTGACATATGCATCTTTGTTAATATCCTTCAGTGTAGCCTCCAAACTGTCAGGAATAATATCTCCTCTGTTATCCCTCCCCTTCCACAATCTCTCCCATAACAAAAGCTCTGCCTGTAATCCTGCATAATTTGGTATGTCCTGTCTGTAATGGTTACAAAATTCCAAAACATTGGCCTTCCAGGCAGGGTCAGTAGCTAGTAAAACAGAGGGAATAATCGAAATACCTTTATAGCAAACAAATACATCATCCTGGAATCTGGTGTTGAGCTGCTGGAGTACATGGTCAAGAAAAACTCTAGTGAGATTGATCTTGAAATACCCCTCAGGAGTTGCAGCAGGAGCATTATTTCTATGCATTTGTCTCTGGGCTATCCTTGGCATTTCTGGCTGGACTGCTACTTGTCTTGCAATGGTCACTGCTTCCTGGTAGAGATTATGATGTCTGTTATCAATGTCAGTGCTCATGTCTTCAAGGACTGATTTCAAAAAGAGCAAGTTCATCTTTAGCTTTTAGAAGATCCATTGCTTTTTGTTGCAGCTTCACTGTGAGTGGTCTAGTTAATCCCAAAATATGTCTGACAATAACAAGAGAAACAATAAAGGAAAAGTTGATTGCATTAATTAAGGACTGAGCATCATGTCTGCTTGTTGGATTCCAGGTTGAGTCTCCAGGGCTGTTTCTGTTAAGTGAGATGTCTTCAAGTGTAGCTGTGACTGGGTAGAGAAGTTCAACTATGCGGTCCATTCCATCAATCCGTTCAATCCATCGTGTGCAGCACACATCAATTAAAACAGTATGGTTTGCCCGAGGCAATAGTTCTCTGATCTTGGCTATTAAATGTTGTTGACGCTTGGGAGAGTTGTTAAAAAAATTAGAAATCTTGCGCACAATATCCATCGTGTTCCTGACAATTGGCAATTGGCAAGTGTCTGCTATGCACAAATTAAGCCTGTGGTTCATGCAGTGGACATAGATTGCCTTTT